GCAAGGGAACGACGGAGAGGACAGGAACGTGATGTCTATCAGAGTTTGGGGATCTTGACAAGGCGCAAAATGCTGTCTTGTTTGTGCTTAGGCGATCGGTCTCTTGACGTCTGGAAATTTCTCCATGGCACTGACGACGTCAAGGAGCCATCAATCAATCAATCAGAAAAAAAAAAAAATGCCGAGTGAGGGCAATGTTGAGGAAAAGGCGGGCGCCGAGGTGCCCCGCAGTTAAGTGGGCGGCGGTCAAGCAAGCGATTGTCAGTGCCGTGAAAGGGCTGCATTTTGCATGGGCGTGGATGGCGCGCAAACCGCCGATGTGATTATTTCAGTCAGCAGGCGATGATTGAGCCGGATCCGCGACGATCCTCTATGCCTGACAATTGATGTCTCGCCTAGCCTAAGTCAGCGCAGCTGCTGATATTCTGCATTTGGCCCTTTACGTGAAGCAAGCTAACGGTCTTTGAGGCTTGACTGAATCGTCCTTCTCTGGCGTTGACCACGAGCTGGGCAACATGAGCTTCCGAAGCTGCGCTCTTAACCAGCGAGCGAGACCTGGGTATTCCACAATAAACGCTAGTGCGAGGCTGGCAGCTTGAAGACGGCCAGACAGAGGCTAGTCCTAGATTTGACGATCCGTCGCAACATGAAGGCTCAGAAGTGCAGACCGGCGGCATCAGAGCGGGCGCCTGACCGCTGGCAAGGTTCGGCAGGTATCTTTTCCCTAACTGGTGCCAGGAATTCAGCTGTGTAGTTTTACCATGACATTGTTTTGCTGTTTCCCGGGTGGGCAGCGACGAAACCATAAACGTGTTTGCCACCATCGACCGTCATCCATCCTAATAGCAGTACGTAGTAGGCTGGTGAAAAGGGAAACTTGCAGATCCAAGTTGGGGTAGTCGGCTTGAACGGACACACAGCATGGAGGAACTGGGTGGCGCATCCGACGAAGCAGGCGGAGGCGTGGGACGAAGGGGGGAGGATCAGGATCAGCCGGCGCAACGATCCACAACATCAGCAATGCGATGATCGATCCTGGGTATTCCTGGATCATGGCCGCACGATGCGTCAAGACGTGCTGATATCTTAACCAAGCGATCTTGGTTCGGGGTCACATACTACCTAGTCGAGGGTAGGGAATACTAAATGATTGAGTAGTTTGTTTGGGTTTGACAGTGAGACGGCATGGCCATATTTGGGCTGGTGTCGTCGAGATCTGACGATTACTGGTGGTAATCTTTTTGTGAATGGAGTAATCGTGCAGGACATGACACGGTCGGGTTCGTGGGAAAAGAGACGCGTCTTTTTGGGGGCTCAAAGTTTGGAGATGTGGGCGAATTAGGAGGGGTGGGGCGGCGAAGACAGACATGGATCGTCAGGAACAAGAGACAAGTGAGTTGGACCGGGGGCCGAGACAGTGCGAATGAGCTGTCCAGTCAGAAAGGACATTGGGTGTGTCGTAGTCCGTATTGCGTAAGGCTTGCACCGATGTGTGGCCGGCGGTAGGTCCGCTCTCCAAACTGTGAGGGCAGCAGGTAGGCAGACGGACAGGCAGACAGGCAAGTGCGGGCAGTTTGAATCGGAAAAGGTAGGCGTGACTGAACTTACTGGGCAAACACGACACAGAGTTTAGAAAGACTAGAAGGACGAGCAGGGACCAGGGACAGTTGATGGTGGGCACCTTTTTTTTTTTGTCTTTTTTTTTCTCCCCTTCCCCTTCTCGCCCTCTCTTTCTCGTTCTCGGGGCCCCACTTCAGCTAGCCCAATGTCTTTCCTTCCGACTTCCTAGCGCAACGGATGGTTTGTTGCAGTATGTTAGTGGAAGCGGTGCAGCAGAGTCCAGCATCATTCAAATCTGGACGAGTTTGGACACTGAGTGGGTCTTGTCGGTCACGTCGCTCTTTCCCCCGATGGATCACCTTTTGCTGGACTTGGCTGGGTCGATCAAATGGGCAGCAACAGCACATGACGAGTCTCATGTTTCTTTCCCCTCAGTGGGGAAAAAAAAAATCAAGAAGGGTAGTGACACACTGCGCGCACACACAAGGGCTAGTCTTGACTGCCGGATGAGGTTGGAAAAAGCGTGGGAAGAGATGGATTGGGAAGGATGAGGTGGGTTATCTGGATAAGGTACCTGAACACGTTTGACATCCACGCCGCCTTATGTCGGGACGAGATAATGCTTGGGATTTGGGGTTGAGACTTGGGGCTAGAGACTTGGGATGACGGCTTTGACGGTTTGGAAAGCTGGGGAGGGATGACGGGACGGAAAGCGCGTTCCTCTGGCATTTGCACCACAGGTATGGATTTACTGGTAGGATGTAGGAAGGAAGGACGGAGGTGCCTTATTTGAAAGGCGCCAACCCGTAAGGTACCTTGATGCGACTTGCAGAAACAAGCCCCTGTCCAAACGGCTCCGACAAGAAGGCCGTGGCTTTTGCCCCCGTTTGACGCCTTCGTGCATGACAAAGATCCCGGCCTGGTGGGTTTTGGGAGGTACCTATCCGGTAGCGTAGCGCTTAGCTCCGTAAAACAGTCATCGCAGTCGTCGCTTTCCTCGACGCAACCCAACGCGAAGCAACACAATGCAATGCAACCTCTGATCCTTTCCCCTTCACCCCTGGGCCTTGACAGGAACCTACGGGTCCGTTCTAGTCCCCACATCGTGTCAGTCACGGTCAAGTCGCCCTCAACCTTTCGGTCATCGTCCCACCGTGGCCTTTTTAATTCGTGATGCACGGAAAGCGAGAAAGGCTTTCTGCTGTGCTTGGGAAGCAAGCGGCTCGTTTGACTTGGGGGTACCCGTTGTGCGTAACAGAACGCCTGAAGGGTATCCGCATCTCATCCACCGTTGGTGCATTGCGTCGCTCGTCGAGCAGCCCCCAAAAAGAATGGGGTTTCTCCTCCGAAAATGTACAAAAACCTTTCTTGCGGATCCTGTCCCTTGGGGCTCCCTGGCCATGTTTCCCGTACCTGACAAGACGGTGAAGGACCAGCGCAGATAAGGGTAGGGCAAGGGGAGAAAAAAAAAAGGACACCCAAGATGAGACTTGACCAATGCTACGAATGCGAAAATACCAGAAGCCTTCATGCTCTTGCCGGGTGGCATAATAGCAGGACAACCGACATGCACCAACCAGTCAGTGCCTTGAGATCTACAGGAGAGGAGCTGCCACTCCCCTCCCGCTCGCTTGCCAGGACAGGCCTTCTTTCTCTCGCTGTTTCCATGTGCGGACTATGCTCTGCCGCTGGATGCTGTTGTTGCCACTGCCGCTCTCGAGTTGCTGCTTCGTCCCCACTTTATTATTTTTATTTTATCTTGGGGGACAGCTCCTGGGAAACCAGGTAGTCCACAGTACGGCTCTTGGTTGAATGGGATATCTCCTATCGACAACGGGAGGACCAACAATAGGAGCAGCGGTGTGGGTGGTGTACGTATCCTAAGGGAAGTCGGGATTTGTATAGTAGAGGGAGGCATGGGCAGGGCACAAAACAGAACGGAGAGACTTACATATCGTGCATACATACAAACTGAAGAGGAGGCGTCTCGAAAAGAACAACAGAAGCTAACGGCGGCCGGGGATGGCACTAGAGTAATCAGGCAAGGTTTTCCCAGTTTGAGATACGTATCGTTCATCGGCCGCAGGTACGGACGGTGAAGTGGCTTTTTGTGGCCAATGAGTAACGGCGCGTACCTGGATCTGGACCAGTTAGGGCCTTAGCCAGTCAGCGACGTGCTTCATTCTGGCGCGCCCCCCTTTCACAGACGGACATCCAATCCACTTCAGGGTTCCTCCCACCAAGTACCTGGCCCCAGTTGTAAGGGGGAGAAATACATACTTGCTCCTGTATCGTACGTACCTGCGCCGAGGCCGCAGGTTCCATCCCCCCATCCGCTTCCCCATCCCGCATAGCATACACTTTACACACACACAACCACTAATACCACTGGCTGCTGAGCCGCCGCTGCATACTACATCCCTCATCCCTCGTCAATCCTCACTCCTTGAGTGTTGTGTACGGGCCACCCTTTTCCCAATCCCAGTCAAGCCCATCCTTCCCTCATCCCCCCAGTCCAGCCCACAGTCCAAAGTCCACAGCCCACAACCACACATCCCCCCCAATTCATACGCCCCTCTCCCACGCCCACTACTCACGCACACGCCTCACTCCTCTTTTGGGGCTCCTGACTGGCCTCCTCGCCCGCTCGTTGGACTGGTCCCCCGGGACGGGACTGGACTGGACTGGACTGTACCTGATTGAGGAGGCCAAGGGCAGTTTGCCAGACCAGAGAGCTCTCTCTTTCTCACTCCTAGAGGAGACAGGGTGGGCTGGCACCGGTTCTTCGTTCGTTCGTCTGTTCCCTTTTTTTTCTGGAGCCCGCCCGCCTCGCCCGTCCATTCCTTTTCCTTTTTCTCCTCTCTTGCCCCCATCCCTCCTTCTTCTCATCATCTCCTCATCGTCATCCTCGTCGTTCACGGCAATCCCTTCCTCTCTTCCTCTTCCCCCACTCCTTTTTCTCTTTCACAGTCACTCTCTTGAATAATTCAACCATAAACTACTTCTCTGAATCCCGTCACTCCTTTCCGGGTATTCCATTACGTTCCTTCAGTCTGGTTGAATTTCGACACATTCGTTCGTACCGAACCGACAACCACTATTCATACTATCCAAACCTCCTGATTCCTTTTGCTGGATTCTGGACCACACGCTCCTTAGCATATCTTACTTTGCAGCTCCTTCTCTACCTTCCCTAGCCTTGACAGCATCATCTTTCACAACGCCTATTACCCGCCAAGAACTTCTTTTCCGAGAAACCATTGTTCAAGTCGACATCCCGATCATCCCGTGGACGCGACTTACACCGAGACTTTGACGCTCCCAACATCCGTCTCCTGATAATCATCGCACCCCAACCACAAAAAAAGCGATAAACCGCCTAGATTTTTGCTCCTTTACCGATCGAATTCTTTTCTAGCTTCGAGTAAAAGATAAAAACCATGTCTACCGAGGTGGAAAACCCGGTGGCTCTTGCCCCCGGTGCCGCGACGCCTGGCTCATCGACTCCTCAGGAGTCCATCCAGACTCCCTCGTCCGCGAACAAGAACAACACCACCCCTTCTCCCACTTCCGCCAGCAATGGACAGGCCCCCTCTTCGCAATCAAGGCGCCCGCCGCGCAAGAGCACCCTGACCCAGCAGCAGAAGAACCAAAAGAGACAACGTGCCACTCAGGACCAGCTCACCACCCTTGAGATGGAATTCAACAAAAACCCTACCCCTACTGCCACTGTCCGTGAGCGGATAGCTGAAGAAATCAACATGACCGAAAGGTCTGTTCAGATCTGGTTCCAGAACAGGTATGCCATTTTTCTTTGCGTCCTCGCAAAGCACTGCGCTAACCCCTATTCACAGACGCGCCAAGATTAAGCTTTTGGCGAAGAAGAGTCTTGAGACCGGCGAAGACATCGATTCGATTCCCGAATCCATGCGAGCCTATCTCGCCATGCAGGCGATGGAGTCCGGCAAGGGCTTGGGTGGCCCCTTCCTGGGTCGAACCGGACTTCTCCCCTATGGCCACAACAACATGCTCCTCGGTGGTGACCAGAACGGCCAGGGCAAAGTTTGTGAGTGTTCGTAAAACTGGACGACAGTTATGAAATGCGACTAACAAATCCCAGTGATCCACCATCTTACCTGCCGTTCTCTCAGCATTGGCAAGTGGACTCGCGTCGGACAGAACACGATGGATCTCATCATCTTCTACTCCCCTGACAAGTGCACCATGACCTACTACATCAACAACGAGCAGGCGGGCTACAAGATTGAGTACCCCTTTGCTTACATCAAGAACATCTTCCTCGAGAACCAGGAGGGCGACCCCAACAAGCCCGGCGGCATCGTCATCGAGCTGAACCGCCCTCCCAACTTCTTCATGGACTCCTCCCCCCAGGCGAGCGGGTTCTTCCAATGTGGTGACTTCACCGAGGATCAGCAGGCTTCTCAGTGCCTTGTCCACCACCTCGGTGGAAACCCCAAGGTCTTGAGCGGTCAGCTGGCGAAGCTCGTCTCTCTCGAGGCTTTCATGAACCGCAACAACCCCCACCCCTTCATTGACCAGCAGCACGCCCTCTCCGTGTCGGCACCCGTGTCCCCCACTGGGCGCCCTTCGTCGCAGCCCAACTTTGCTCAGCCTCATATTGGCATGTTCCAGGAGTCTTGGGGCATCAACAACATGCACCCTGGCATGCGTGGTCCTGGCCACAAGAGACAGCGTAGTCGCTCCGTGCCCATGGCCGTTGACTTCTCCATGCTTCAGACTCCGATGCCGTCGTTCTACATCCAGCAGCCTGGCGAGATGGCGGCTCCGCAGACTCCTGGCCCCAACATCTACGCTCCTATTCCTCAGCAACCTGGTGGCTTGGGTCCCAATCTGAGAATCGACACCCAGGCTGGCTTTGGTCTGGACATGCGCCAATACCCCATGTCAGCCACCACCGCCTCTCCTTCAGAGTTCCCTACGAGCCCTGCTTTCTTCTCCCAGGGTCCTGAGCCCAGTCCCCTCCCGACGTCCAGCTACAACACTCCCTACGGCAGCGCCTTCCTCTCCCCCATGGCGAACCCCTCAAACAACATGATTCCTCCCTCCGTCTCCCCGCTTTCCTTTGGTAGCCACGGGGAGCCCTCCATTGTTGAGCAGTCGCCTCCTCTCTCCATGCTCGGTAGACCAGCGTCGGCGGACATCTACCCCCAGGGTGACGCCGGCTCCTGCGCCGTTTCCGACGACGGTACCGGTCTGAACGAGATGTACTCTAAGCACACCATCAACCTGCCGATGCACCCCCACTCCCCTGCGTTCGTCGAGCCTGGCCAAACCGACATCGACATGAACCAGCTGGTGCAGTTCGACCACGTCGACCCCAGCTCATTGTCCCCCGACTCCATGTCTCACGTGCCTCATCAATGAGTTACCCTCTGGCCGAGGCCTGCAGCGCCTTGTTAGGCCAACGGATGTTTAGGGTCATTCCAGGCGGGAACATGGCGTACATAATACAGGCTTTGGAGTGTTTCGAAAAGCTTTCTTAGGGATGAAGGAGGAGTTGCTTGTCTTGATTATTCACAGCTGGCGTTGAGGAGCTCGATATATACCAGATGGGTTGCGCTTGGTCTACTTCCGACACCGATGACTACGATGCTTGATTCAGTTCTTGCTCTACTTTCATCCATCGGCCACGACGAATCTGCATGACGATACCTCTATTCGGATCTCGATCATGCGTGTCTGGCACAAGCGATCGTACATTTTCACATTTTCTTGAAATTCTTTTTTCTTACCATTTCGAGTCACTTATTGTCGCGAACAAACTGATTTTGTTGCGAAGATGGTGGTCCCGCGCCATCACCGAATTCCCTTTTGAGCATGCCGGACGCATAAAGAGCCGACGGCATGACACCTAATAATCCTTTCCCTTCATTCTTCGGTTGGCTTGCGCTGCACATTTGTTTATTTTTTCCCCCTTGGTTTCTTCTGTTATCGTTCATGAATCAAAGATGTCTTGGCCGCAGGTCTGGAGATGAAAAGGGGAAAAGCCCAGGTGGCTTGGGATTTTTCCTGGTTCTTAATCAGTCACAATCAATTTTTCCGAAGATATACAACCAACTCCCACACAGCTTTTCGGACTACCTCGTATAGGTATTTTTTGTTTATTGGTTTGATGGGATCTAGTGGGGGGTATAGGGGAAGTTTGTGGCTTTGTATTGTTTGCCAGGGCGCCAAACTGGGGCGGTTAAAGGGGAAACAAACCGCAACGTGTGGCCTGGCAGCGAGAGGCTGAGCCAGCTGTTACTCGAAAGAGACGGCTGGCTTTGTAAGTAACTGACGATAGAGAGTTGAGAGAGATAAGACGGGCATTGAATCCCTGTTTTCCCACTTTTTACATGCTTGACTTCTCAAAACTCCTTGGGGGTAAAGTTGACTTGATTTTTGAAACCCCACGTGTATGTAACCCGTGATGGCTTGCTCCATACGTAGGCCTAAGCGGTGACAGATAAGACGCGATGTAACATTCAAGGTAAGATGTGCGACTTCTAGAAATGATGTGAGCTGGGTATGGGGATTACGGAGAATCCATCATATGCCCGTCATCTGCGAGGTAGCCGTCTGTCTGCCTGTCATTTCTTTTGGTTCCTTTTTTTTTTTTTTTTTTTTTTTTTTTTTTTTTTTAAATAACTCCAGAGCACACTTCTTCAGCTATGCGAGATTGCAGAGTTGGATCTTGAGCCTGGTAAGGGGGAGCAAGGAGACCCAGCTCTTGTGTGGGCACGGCCGTAGGCTCGGATCCAGACTTTGGTGCTCAATGGTTGCGACCGGCGGCGAACGAACATGAGGTTTTCGTTTCTCCCAACTGGCTGGGCACTGGAAGGGGGCACACACGCACAAACACACACACACGCGCGCGCACGCACAAACGTGGGACTTACGATTCCCGCATTGGCGATATCAACTCTCAATAATGATTTCTGCTCGTAAGGCTGACTGGCGGCATGTGCAAGGAGAGAGGTATCCGCGGCGGATTACATGTTACACGAGGCGCAGGCAGTTTGCCAACGCGTACTATTGCGTGGTTGTACGACAACGTCTAAATATAGTGTTTATTGACTTTGCCTTCCTCAGGACAACTTCTAGGATCAAGCTGGGTTCATACGTAGTGATTAGGGTTCCAATATTCTCTTGGCTTTTCATCTTGGAAGATAGATTTGTTGTGAAGTAGAACAGGTCCTGCAGTTTACGCTTCAGAGACTAATGAGCGCTGTGGCGGCTGCGCGTTGTAGGTAGTAGTAGGCCGGCTGGAGGCGAACCTTCTTTTCGTTGTCTGCCTCAACTGGATGAGACACCCTGTTTCATTTCAAGAAGTGATGTCGAGTCTACTTTTATGGGGATTGTATTGTGAATATGCCTGCGACCACGTCAAGCTGTGGGAGATGTTTGGGGGTGAGGCTAGGGTCGCGTCGAGAGAGGAGACTCTGAGGGCCCCCGCTAACACGAGGTCGGGGAGAGTATTCAATTGCTGTTGTAGTACCAGACGAATTGGGTGATTCGATCTGGAGAGTCCCGTGCCCGAGACTGCGGATCCATCGGGAGAGGTGCGAGGTTGGGAATGCAGCCATCCATACGAAATATCTGGGACGTTACTGGGAGTAGTCGTGTGTCCGTCCCTCTTGCATCGAGTCCACCACACCCAAGTGCCGAATTTGGACTAACAGTGCGACTCTGGAGGCTCTGACAGGGCACCGGATGGAAATGAGACGGAACACGCTGTATGCGGGTTCGCAATGAAGAAACGACCCATAAGGATCCGGTTTATTATATTGCGGCAGCGTGTCCCTCGTGGAGATTTATTCACTTCACTTTTTTAGAGTTTCTGCCCGCCGTTCTTCCTTGACTGGGAAAACCCTGCGGGGAGCGATGTCGGCCACGTTCGTCCAAAGTGTGTGCTACGTGGAGAAAAGAGGGCAAGCAGCACAGACCTGAGAAAGTCTGCTTGCATAGCATGGATGCGTAGCTCTCAGAGCATGATCCTCTATTCGTCATTCCTCGATGTTACGGCCCCGCGGGAAGTGTAGGGTACTTAAAAGCTGCCTTGTACTTTGCGATGTGGTATGGATGTCGTGCCGCCCGGCGCCGGCGCCCGGCCAGTTCGTGGATAGTAAGCATGACACTAAGCTAGGTTTCTGGGCAAATGGGGGGCGTTTCTTGTGCCGTCTCGAAACAAAACCAAGAAAGTGTTATGGGTGACGGTGACGGTCGCCAAGACACCACCAGCCTTTGCCATGAGTAGCTGATGGTGGTGGTGATAGCAGTGAATGGCCTGCGAGGTGTCGCCTAAGGTGGTAGTAGTAGGTATAGGTAAGTAGGTATGTGCGTGGGCGGATGGATCAGATGGTACAATGACATTCGACGGGCACTTTTCCCGCAGCGTCCGGGCTCCGGTGACCGCGGAAGGCAAGGCCAGCACGGTAACTGTCACATCCTGGCTCCTGCTCCATTGACAGCTCCTTCCTCCTTGGCCAATGACGTCCTCGATGCGGGGCACGAGAAGAATTGGTTTACCGCCTTACCCTTTCTAGGCGTGTCCTCCCTTTCCTGCTTTACCATTTCGAACCAACTACGGGTAAAGCGCGAACCAATTGGGTTCCAACAGAATCCTCCAGATACTGGTAACGCTGCTGCGGACTCACTCGGGAAGGAGAGCAGATGTCTTGGGTATCGGTGGCAGTGCAGAGATGCGCCAAGCCGCGTCGGAGACACGCTCGTTTTCTGACTTCATCATGATTGGGCTCAATGGACAATCAATCAATGCCCCCCATGGTCGCTTTACTGGCTCCAGCTCTTCCGTGTCTTCCAGAGTTTTTGCCAAGCTGACTGTCGCTGTTGCTCTTGCGCGTTGTTGGCGGCGCAGCTACCCTACGCGGCAACCTTTTTCTTTCTTTTTTTCTCTGCTCTCTTCTATGGTTATTCTGGCAAGAAACCGACTGATTGTCTTGTATTCGTCCATCTCACCTCGTCTCGGTCTTGCGTAAATTGAAGGAAGAAAGTCCGGAAATACATCACTCCCCAACGTCTTGTGACTAGCCTAGTTTTTTTTTCCCCTTCGCTCTTTCCTCTATCTTTTTTTTTCCGTTTCCCCACGTCGCTTACACTTACTTTCAATTGCTACAGACATTCGTACCTGTCAAAACTAATCTCATCCATTACGCTAACCTTACCCTCGTTGCCTTGCTCAACTCTACCCCGTTTGTTGGGCACTTGTGACGTCGAACTTGCTGATTCATCTTACCTCTACGGCGACGGTTTCAGCCCTGCCATCATCACTTCATTCTATATCCGTACACCCTGCTGCTTTCACCAACAAGGTCATTGGGGCAGTCGCAAACAAAGCCACGCCAGATTTAGCAAGAAACACGCCACGATTCATAGGCCGAGGCCAATGAAGAGCTCCATGGGCCAGCCACTCTAGTGAATCCGGCCCGCATCAAGGGAAACCGCCTGGGCACAGGCGTCACTTTTCGCCTTCCTTTAATCGCAAGCTAGCTAGCCTCTACGACCTAGTCGTGTGCGCGGGCTTTCGATCTCCGGTTTAGGGGGTCTAGACTGCCACGGACTAGACAGAAACCGACCAGGTCTTATCCCCTCGAGAATGGATAGCCAGGAACTAGGCGACGCCTCCCCCAGTCGCCAACATGAACATTACCATAACCCCGCTCCGAACCCTCCACTGCCGTCTACGACTGCGACGACGACGACGACAACAACGACAACGACAACCCCCTCCTCCTCCTCCGACACTGCTCATGATATCCCATCATCCTCAGTGAGCCCCGCGCCGACCCGCGCGCCGCAGAGAATCCTCCCGAGACGAGCAATCACCGATCCCATGGGCGGCAAGGGCACATTCGAAGGCGGTCATGTCCGCTTCTCGGACGACATGCCTCGAGAATCCCTGCGCAGCTTCGACCTGTCAGGCTCGCACATGAATCTGGGCAATCCCGGCCTCTACACGATCCCCTCGAGGGGCGACCTCGAAAGCCATATCCTGCCCGAGCCTTCATCGTCGCGTGGCCACCCCGGGAGTGACCAAAGCTCTGCGCAACCGTCCGAGTCTGAACTGAAGCATCCCGTTTACCGACCAGAACCGAATAAGCGTACAAAATGGCTGGTCGCGAAGGAGACATTGACTGACCAGCTAAAGAAGGCATACGATGTGTACATTGTGCAAGGGTTATTGCGGCAGAAACCACTTCCGCCGAGTGCAGATGGAAGACATATTCCCTTGGACACGTCGAGGAGGCGAAGCGATGCACTAATTGACGAGCGCACGAAAAAGCCGTATATCAGCAACTTTATTCGGTCCAGTCGCTACACGATATGGAGCTTTTTGCCCAAACAGCTTCTTTTCCAGTTCAGCAAGATGGGAAATTTTTACTTCCTCGTTGTAGGTACCGTCCAAGCCATACCTGGGCTTAGCACGACTGGTTCATATACCACAATCGCACCACTTGCCGTTTTCGTCTCGTTATCAATGGCAAAAGAAGGATACGATGATTATCGGCGATATCTCCTTGCCAGGACCGAAAATCTTAGTCGCGCTTGGGTTTTGGGTGAAAGGTCTAAGAAGGCAACGGCCAGGATGCGACGACACAAGGCTGCGGATGCAGAGATGCCATCTGAAGGGCCGTCGCCAGAGGGGTGGACAGAAGTCGAATGGCAGGATATCAAGGTTGGCGATATCATCAGGCTTCAGCGAGACGACGATGTTCCCGCCGACATGGTGCTACTCAGCGCGTCTGGTCCCAACAGCACAGCCTATATCGAGACGATGGCTCTTGATGGAGAGACGAATCTCAAAGCGAAAAGAGCATCTCCTCTCTTAGCTAAGAGGTGTTCAACTGTTGAAGGAATCAATTCATGCGAAGCTGTTATTGTTTCTGAGGACCCCAACCTCGACCTCTACAGATACGATGGACGTGTTACCGTTGACGAGGAGACGCTGCCCCTATCACTTGACAACGTCATATATCGTGGCTCAACTGTCCGCAATACAAACGAAGCGATCGGCATCGTCATCAACTCTGGCGAGGAGTGTAAAATTCGGATGAACGCCCACAAGCATGTGCGGACCAAAGCACCGGCAATGCAGCGCGTCCTCAACAGCATCGTCATCTGGCTCATTTTCGTGCTTCTTGGCCTCAGCAGTGGCCTGACCCTAGGCTATAGCCTCTGGCAAGATCCCACAGAAAGTGACTCTTGGTATCTCCATGGCGAATCCATCTCGCTTAGGAAGGTCTTTATTGCTTTTATCCTGATGTTCAATACCCTGATCCCGCTCTCACTATACATCAGTCTAGAGATCATCAAGATCATCCAGTTTTACATGATGGGAGATGTTGAGATGTATGATCCCGTCAGTAACACACCCATGGTTGCAAACACGACGACCATTCTCGAGGACCTTGGACAGGTCAATTACGTCTTTTCAGACAAGACTGGCACCTTGACCGAGAATGTCATGCGGTTTCGCAAGATGAGTGTTGGCGGCACTGCATGGTTGCATGATATGGATATCGAGCGCGACGAACAGGCGAAGCAGAAGCTCATCAACATGGCGCGAAAGAAGCGTAAGGGCAAGGGAAAGGACAAGCATCGCGAAAAGGCTACAATGAACGACAATACCGAGGACCATCTATCGCACCACTTCCCAGCGCAAGGTCGACCCTCCGTTAGTTCATACGCGCGAGGGAGATCTACTAGTAGAGCTCCGCATTCAGATCCGGAGCTCAAGACTGAGGACCTTCTTTTGTACTTGCGACGCAAACCGGATACAGCCTTTTCAAAGAAGGCAAAGCAGTTTTTGCTCTGCATCGCCCTCTGCCACACGTGTTTGCCTGAGACCTTGGAAAACGGCGATATTGAATACCAAGCTGCCTCCCCGGACGAGCTTGCCCTGGTCGAGGCAGCACGGGATCTGGGCTACGTTGTCATTGATCGGCCTGCGCAGTCTGTCATCCTCCAAATACCCGAAGCCGATGGATCTATCAAGAAAGAGCAATATGATGTTCTGGACGTCATTGAGTTTAGCAGTCAGCGGAAGAGGATGTCCATCATTATCCGCATGCCGGATGGTAGAGTCTGCGTGTTTTGCAAAGGCGCCGACAACGTCATTCTGCCCCGCCTCAAGCTCAGCGGCCTCGCTATGCAAAAGGCAGATGGAGTTCAGCGGAGGGCGTCAATCCGTCGCAGCGTCGAAAGAGAAAAGGCCCATAGTCAACATGTGGGCGGCACGCCTCGCAGCAGCGTCATGCTTCCGCGAACTTCAATGTCGGAGCGACGCAGTTTGATGCTTAGACGGGAAAGTCTACGGGTTTCTACGGACTTGCACAGACGGTCGAGTGCCGCCACTGATGACCACGAAGCATGGCCATCGCGAAGAGATTCTCATGATGTTCTGTCGCCCATCAATACTCAGGAAATCTGGTCGTCTCCGCGGCCTAGTATGGCTATGAGCGAGAGCGACATTGACGAATTCATTGACGAATCGATCGCTCTTAATGAAGGTGTGGTTTTCGAGCGATGCTTCCAGCACATGAACGACTTCGCCTCGGATGGTCTTCGAACTCTTCTCTATGGATACCGGTACATTGGAGAGGAGGATTACAAGTCTTGGAAGAAGATTTATCAGGATGCCACAACCAGCTTAGACAACCGACAAGAGAAAATTGAAGCTGCTGGCGAGCTGATTGAAGACAAATTCGAGCTTGCCGGAGCCACTGCGATCGAAGACCGGCTGCAAGAGGGTGTCCCTGATACTATCGAAAAGCTCCGTCGTGCGGAGATCAAAGTCTGGATGCTAACGGGTGATAAACGCGAGACCGCCATCAACATTGGACATTCTGCCGGTCTTTGCAAACCGTTTTCGGAGGTGTTTATTTTGGACGCTTCTATGGGCAATCTTAAGGAATCCATTTTGTCTACTCTGGGCGAGGTAGCTAGAGGCATGCTTCCTCATACGGTGGTCGTCGTTGATGGCCAAACCCTGGGAACCATCGAGAGCGATGCGGACTTGAGCTTCCTCTTCTTTGACCTTGTTGTCAGAGTCGATTCCGTCATCTGCTGCCGCGCATCCCCATCTCAAAAGGCCACACTGGTGAAAAGAATCCGCCGTCAAGTGCCACACTCCTTGACGTTAGCCATCGGTGACGGTGCGAACGATATTGGTATGATTCAATCTTCCCATGTCGGCATCGGTATTTCTGGTCGTGAAGGTCTGCAGGCCGCTCGAATTTCCGATTATGCAATTGCTCAATTCCGTTTCTTGCAACGCCTTCTCTTCGTCCACGGTCGTTGGAACTATCAAAGAACAGGAAAATACATCCTAGCTACCTTCTGGAAAGAGATTGTGTTCTTCCTCCCGCAAGCCTACTTCCAACGCTACACTGGATATAGCGGGACCTCACTCTACGAGAATTGGAGCTTGACAGTGTTCAACACATTCTTTACTTCATTGGCAGTCATCCTGCTAGGTGGACTGGAGAAGGACCTGCAAGCCAGCACTCTTCTGGAGTTTCCCGAGCTATATACCTACGGTCATAAGAACAGAGCCTTCAACATCAAGCTATACATCGGCTGGACATTCATGGGACTAGTTGAGTCTGCAATCATATGGTGGGTGACGTGGGCAGTCTATAGAGTCTTGCCGTTCGATCAGGATACGACGCTCTATGCCATGGGAACAGTTCCTTTCACTGTATGCGTGGTATTCATCAACATAAAGCTGATGTAAGTCTCCGCTGTTCCTTCTTTCTTCACGTTGGTGCTAACGAACCTAGGGTTCTTGAAATGGAGAACAAAAACGTGATCATACTGGCTGGCTTTCTCATCTCAGTTGGCGGTTGGTTCCTATGGAATATTATCCTCTCAGCTGCGTTCAGGCACGAACACCGTATATATCTGATTCGGCGCGCTTTCCTCGATAACTTTGGCCGGACCCTCAATTTTTGGGCTTTGGTTTTTGTTACCCTCTCGGCAGTTATTGTCTTTGAGTTGCTTGTCGGTGCTGTCCGACGGGTCTACTGGCCACAAGACGTTGACTTCATGCAACGATTTGAGAGGGATGGCAAGAAGGCCAAGGCTGGCCGGGAGGCCGAGCAAGCTGACGGATCAACGATCCTGGAGGTTATTGGACACAAGCAGGACTCTAGTCACAATGAGGGAAGGCCGTCCAACGTTGAGGGTGTGCCTAGGAAAAGTTATCATTCAGGCCATACGCCGCAACACCATGTCAGACTTTCACGAAAGTCACGAGACGAAACCGCTGCAAGGGCATTTACCCCGCCCATTGAAGAGAGCAGCAGCATTATTGAGCAGGGTCCAAGCACATCAAAGCAGTCGAGGACACCAGTACTCTCTGTGGCGACGAGATGGCTGGGCAACACAAAGAGTGCGGGCACCAGTAGCCCTATCGAACTACGATCCACGGGGCACAAGCAGGCATGAGGGAATGGAAGATTACGGCGACTTTCTCAGGTCCCCGAATGAAGTCGTGTGTTAACAAACATTTTAACATGGATTGGGGCTTGTACATATGACCAACGGCATTGGAAGCATCTATGTTCATGGTCACTGGGACGGTCCTTTTTGTTCTTGATACCACATTGATGTCTGGCAAGGGGTCAGTCAGCATCTGGCGTTCAGGCATCGTCTTTTGCTATATTAGATATAAACACACAACATCGCTGCTTACACACTATGACACAGGTACATAACGTAAAATCACGTAGCGGAGTAAGGACGAAGTATTGTGAGAAGCTCAGAGTAAATTACGCATTAGAACAGTGAAAGAGTAAGTGATGTACATAGTTCCGAGTCTCAGGTGAACAAATGTTGGTGCCGGTCATTTCGTTGCGTGTCGAGTGCGCTGCTGAGAGCTGTGCTCATGAGCTGCAAAAGGCGTCGGAATCATGATCGTGCGGGGGGATTGGTTGGGGGAAGAGAGGGTCCCAGAGTGAGTGGCTGTTTTTCTTTTTAGTTGTCCTTCTTCTCCTCGGGTTTGTCCTCGGTCTTGCTCTCCTCCTTCTTGTCATCGTTGCTGTCGTCGCTCTTCTTCTCCTCCTTGGGCTCTTCAGGCTTGTCCTCAGATTTCTCCTCCTTCTTTTCCTCGGGCTTGGATTCCTCTTCCTTAGGCTTCTCCTCGGCAGACTCGTCAGACTTCTTTTCTTCCTTCTTCTCCTCCTGGGGCTGCTCCTCCTTCTTCTCCTCCTTGGGTTCCTCCTTAGGCTCCTCCTTGGGCTTCTCGTCGGACTTCTCCTCAGGTTTGGCCTCCTCCTCCTTAGACTCCTCAGTCTTCTCGGGCTCTTCGTGCTTTTCCTCGTGCTTGGCGTGCGCGTCGTGGCCCTTGGGCTTCTCACCCCACGGCAGGATCACTGCCAGACCAGCAACAGTCACAAATGCGGAAGCGAGGGCACTAGAGTAATAGTATCAGTATTTGTTATCGTGCAAGAGGGTGACCTTCAGGCCAAAATGTACAACTGAAGGGGTCCAATTGGGCTGTACAGATCATCAGCTGGTTCAAACTTACAGAGGGAGCTCGCTCTGGGCCTTCGCAGCGCCATGTTGGCTGGCGTAGGTCCTCTGGGCAAACTGGGGACGGAATTGGGGACGGATCGTCCGGCGTGCCGAGAATCGGAGCGCGGAACTCAGGGAAGTAGCTCTGGCGAAGGACATTTTTGGATATGTGTTTCAAAAATTGTATACAGTCTATCAAAAGCGAGTTAGAGCAGGAGAAAAACTCTTGTGACAACTCAATTGAAATGAACCGTTCCGGAGAGGTGGCTTCGTAAAATATCGGGACAGAAGAAGGAGAAGGAGAGAGAAAGAAATTAGTCCCGATGGTTACATTGCACATTTACGAAAAGAAACCACCAGAGCTGGGGGCTGGTGCTGCCGTCCGAAGTCCTAGAGCTCGGAGCTGCGAGCTGCAACTGGGCGCAGCTACAGCTGGGGAGCTGGGGGGTGGACGGGGGACGAGCTTGCTAGAGCGATCGGCCAATGATTCGAATAGGTTGGATGCTTCTAGATGCTAGGGTGGCTAGGCACCCCACAGCTCGAAGTGACGACATTACCGGGACCGCACAGACGATTTCCGAGATAGCTCCAGCAGCAATGATTATGTAATTTTGTCTTCGGATTTTGTGATATACCGATACCCGAAAGGTGCTTGCATGCTTGGAGGTGGTGAATCAAACAGTGGAGGCTATTGCGGGCAGGTAGGCAGGTGGGGTCCACTTTCGCGGGGCAGGAACGACCCGGCAGCAGTTAAGCAGCACCTTAAGGTATCCCCGACGCCTTCCTGCCTGGAGCTTCAACCCCACCAACAACCAACGCCTCTTCAACGAGGGTCTTTGTTGTCGTGCTGCGAACACTACAACAACTCAATCCCCATTCAACACCTTTTTCAATTTCACACTACAGACTTCGCGGGTCGGTCGAAACTTCCTACTTCCTCTGCATGGTCAGAGCCACCGCGTCCCGCTAACACGCCACCTTCCGACCTCCGCCATCTTCCTTCTCTCCCGCAGTCAGCCATCAATTAAACGTCAAAATGGCTTCCTCAAGCGTACCCGCGAATCCCACGCCGCAGACAGTCATCCAGCTCGTGCAGAAGCTGGGCGATGCGGACCCGGACTTCCGGTTCATGTCGCTCAATGATCTCCTTCAGGTTCTTGCTAACGGCAAGCCCGACTTCCTGCATCACGACTATAATGTTGCCGCGCGGACGGTTGATAGTATCATCAAGACGCTAGACGACCAGAATGGAGAGGTGCAGAATCTGGCTATCAAATGGTATGTTTTGCTCCCGTCCCCATGGCGATTTCTCCGATTTTCAAAAGCTAATCGTCTCCCTCTTGTGACAAAACAGCCTCGGACCCCTCGTCACGAAAGTCCCGACGCCCATCATCGCCCCGATGATCGAGAAGCTCTCAGCTATCAAGCTCAAAAACTCTGTTGATAACGCTGTTCCGTCACTCGCGCTGCGTGCCGTCATCATCGCCCTGCCGAAGCCCACGCCGGGCCTGCCGCCCAGCAAGGAGGTCCAGGAGGCCTACAACGCTGTCAGTCGGGTCCTGATCCCGCGACTTCTGGGACCCGGTGGCAAGGCCCCCGCGCAGGCCCAGTCGAACAACATCCAGCTGCCGCCTGTCCCTCAGGGTCTTCTGAAGGTTGACAAGGACCTGAGCGCTGAGTCGGTTGACATTTTGATCGAGGTTGTCCGGTGCTTCGGTGTTATGCTCTCGCCCCTCGAGGTTGAGGCGATGCAAGATGCCGTTATCAGCCTGTTGGAGAACGACAAGACGTCTTCGGTTGTAAAGAAGAGGGCCGTCGTCGCGATATCCATTCTCGCTATTCACTTGTCAGACGATTTACTGAGCCAGATGGTTCAGCGTATGGCCAACGACCTCGGTAAGGCCGATATATCGCCAGTCACGCGCCGTCTCTACATTTCCATTACGGGGTCATTGGCAAGGTCAATTCCTACACGTTTCGGTACTTATCTGAGCACGCTGGTGCCCTTCATCCTGCAGGCTCTCAGCGAAAGTGAGCTGGAGAAGCACCTGGAGGAGATCAGCGACGGAGACGACGTCGGTTTGGAGTTTAACGATGTGCGCGAGTCTGCTCTCGTGGCTCTCGAGGCGTTCCTGGCAGCTTGCCCTACGGAAATGCGCCCATTCACCGATGACACTATCAAGGCTTGTCTCAGATATCTGAAGTACGACCCCAATTACGCCATGGGTGACGACGATGAGGACATGGAAGTTGATGAGGATGAAGAGGATGAAGACGCCGACGATGAGTTCGACGATGATGCTGGGTTCGATGACGATGACGACGCAAGCTGGAAGGTCCGCCGATGTGCCGCGAAGGCTCTTTACACTCTCATCTCAACCCGCGGAAGCGGTGATCTGCTAGAGAACGGCGTGCTTTACAGTCAGGCTGGCCCCACCCTTGTCAAGAGATTTGACGAGAGGGAGGAGAACGTTCGTTTGGAAATTATATCCTGCCTGTCTCTCCTTATTCGCAAGACGGGCGAGGGTCTCTATCCCGCCGACCTCTCACTCGACGACCAAGAGCCCGAGGCCCCGAGCTTGATCCCCATCAGCCGCAAGCGTAGGCGTCAGAGCAGTGGTGGCGGTTCATTGGCCGCCCATGTTGCGACTGGTCTTACTTCTCCCACTCTTGAGAGAATCCCCTCCACAGGGCCCCGCGCAGACTTGGCTCGTTTCACGCCCACTATCGTCAAGGCATCCACGAAGCTGCTCAAGGGCAAGGTCATCCCTACGAAGCAGGCCATAATCAACCTCTTGGACGATATCATTACGGTTCAGCGGGGTGGTCTGTCCGACTACTTCAACGACGCTATTGGTCCTATCATCGAGTCCATCAAGCCCACCGGAGCTTCTGCGCTTTCCTCGTCACTGGCTGCTTCTGGTGGTAATGCATCCGCCACACCTAGCACCTTACGTGTTGCTGCCCTGAAGCTCACCAGCGACATTGCCAAGACTCACTCTTCAAGTCTCCTTCAGCCATACCTGACCAAGATTGTGGCCGGCGTAGTTGCCGCGGCTAACGACCGATTCTACAAGATCTCCAGCGAAGCTATTGGTACGATTGAGGAGTTGGTGAAGGCTATCACACCCCCTCGCTCTAAGATGACGGCACAGAAGTTCAAGGGCGAGCTGCAGAAGCTCTTCGATACTATTATAGATCGGATTACCGCAACTGACGCTGACGCTGAGGTCAAGCAGCGCGGTATACATGCTTTGGGTGTCCTTTTGTCCCGGACGTCTGGTGCAGATGGTGCTGGCTTGATTGCCGCAGACAAACGCCAAGCTGCACTTGGGGCACTCCTCGACAGACTCAAGAACGAGACCACCAGACTTGCCGCCGTTAGAGCCGTGGACAACGTTGCTGCTTTCAGCACTAGCAGTGGCCAACTGGAGACAGCATGGATCCGGGAGGTTGCCCTGGAGCTAGCAGGCCAGCTACGGAAGGCGAACCGGTCTCTTCGTGGCTCAAGCATCCAGGCTTTGAAACATTTGGTCGTGTCGCCTACTTCCAAGGGTCAGCTCGACGCGGACACTATCCAGGGCCTCGTCTCAGCATTGGTGCCTGTCATTAGCAATCATGATACCCACCTCCTGGCCCCGGCACTACTTGTTCTCGCAACTTTGGTGGAAGAGAACGCGAACCTCGTGGTTAACGATTCAATCACTGCCACAATCTGCAGTCTTCTGAAGTCTAGTTATGCCAGCATCGTCCTGGACCAGATCTTGATTCTAGTTACAAAGGTTGGCGAGAGCGGTTCTGGACAGTCTTTGATGCAGGGAATACTTAAGGAAGTCAGTATTGAAGGCGACCCCGTTGTAGTTGGCAAAGTCATTGGCGCGCTTCTCGTCGCCAGTGGAAATTCTGCTGGCGTGACGATTGAGAGCTTTATCTCTGAGCTGCAGAACAGCACGCAGAAGAGAGATGATGCCAGAATCAGTTTGGCTCTGGCAGTGCTCGGTGAGGCCGGTCTCCGGCTTGGACCCAACTCGCCTCTTCAACCTGACCTGTTCCTGAAGCAGTTCCACGAAGAACCTGACAAGGTTTCGATTTCGGCTGCGGTGGCTCTGGGTCGCGCGGGCTCGGGCAATGTGTCCCAGTATCTCCCAGTGATTCTAGATACCATGCAGAAGGGTGGCAACACGCAATACTTGCTCATTCAGTCGATCAAGGAGATCTTGCAGCAGGTCACCGTTCTGTCTGCAGAGGTTTCCAAGTTTGCCGCACCGATTTGGCAACATCTCCTCTCGGCCTCCACCATTCCCGATAACCGTGTGGTCTGCGCAGAGTGTGTCGGTCGACTGACCATCATCGATTCTCAGACTTTCATGCCCCAACTGCAGGCAAGTGACCAAACCAAAACGTATTGAGTTGATACTAACATCTTGAAGTCCCTTCTGAGAGATCAAAACCCGGACATCCGCGGAATGGCTGTGCAGGCTGTTCGATATACCCTGCCTGACAGCGACGAGGCTTTTGATGCCATGCTCAAGAACGTTCTTGTTGACATGCTTCTCGTCATGCTTCAGGACACGGAGATGGACAATCGTCGCCTGGCTATGTCGACATTGAACTCGGCGGCTCACAACAAGCCCGATCTAATTCTCCCTCACCTTGGTGAACTGATGCCGTTCGTATTGGCTGAGTCAGTGATCAAGCCACAGTTGATTCGCGAAGTCATGATGGGCCCCTTCAAACATATGGTGGATGATGGCCTTGAAGTCCGCAAGGTAGGTGTAAGCCCATGCTGTGGGTAGACTTGAGCTAACCCTTGATGCAGAGCGCATACGAAACTCTTTACGCTCTCATGGAGACCGCTTTCTCAAGAATCAACAACATCGACTTCTACGATCGCGTTGTCGCAGGTCTCAAAGATGACAACGACATCCGCAGTCTCTGCAACCTCATGGTATCCAAGCTCATCGTACTCGATCCCGACGAGACAGCTCGACGACTAGATACTATTGCGGAGGCTTACCGCGCCATTCTGTCGACCAAGTTGAAGGACGGTGCTGTGAAGCAAGATGTAGAGAAGCAGGAAGAGGCCAATAAGAGCGTCCTGCGTGTGACGCTCCTTCTTGGAGACAGACTCAAGAGCAACAAGACGGGCTCCGGCAAGGCGGTCGCCAACGCCGGCGCCGGCGGTGCGAGCCAGGTCTGGAGCGCGTACTGGGAGTGGGTGAACAAGGAATTCCAAGCATCGCTTAGAAGCCTGCGTGAGGAAAGCAAGGAAAACCGGGCCTTGTAAGCAGTAGAAGTTCCTGGCCGGGATGAATATCTTCTGGCGTTATTGTAAATGGAGCGGCAGGAACCAAAGCAATGCATACTCTCGGATTTCAAAAAATTGATTCATTTCGAATGTGTCTTGTCTGCCTAAATCTGGACACGCAAGCTCTTTATGAGCTGAAATCGTTTCTGCTTTCGTCATGAATCAAAGGGCTGATCAGGCATCCCGTCTTGCCCATTCCCCATAGCCTCTGAACCAGTGGCATATGCAGGTCGTGAACCTTGGCGTACTGTACCGGGCAAGCTAGCGTAACGAGCTGACAGCCAAGGCCCAGGTCATGCCGATTTTATTTTGTTTTCCTATTTGGCTGGTATCGGAATTGAGGCGCATGAAAAGATGACAGGTTTGATGTCTTGTATTCGTGGCGTCCAGGGTGTGTTACCGTTGGACGTCATGTAAGCCACTTAATGTGGGGAGGGTCACGCTTAGGCGTTATGCTGAACCATGATGAGCCATCATAACTGACAGCCTTAGCAACATTCCTGTGACAGTAAAAGGGTTTAAAAAGACAAGATTGTCTCGGATTCGCTGTGATTATAGTTTATCATTTAACAGTATTACATATATATATATTCATTCCGATTATATTGCACTGGTTAATTTCACTAGGAACACGTGAAACCTAGCATCTTGCCGGCGCCTAATACAACTCCTTAGACGAGTTCAATTGAATCAAACATACGACGGCGGCCCTTCATCAGATCCGACTCTTTTTTTTTTTCCTATCAAGTAAATATCGAAGAATCGCTGTATAATTATCCCGCAAAAATGGCAACTTCTCGTGCCTGGACCTTCGCATCCCGCGGCAACCCCCGCTCCGTTCTCTCCCTCACCTCTCGGCCAGCACCAACGCTCCCCCCCTCGTCTCTCTACCTCTCCAAGACAAAGTCCATCCCGGACCGTGAAGGGGGAAAAGAATGGCTCCTCATCAAAGTTGCCTACGCTGCACTGAATCCGGCGGGGCACCTCTACATCACAATGATCCCCGCCATGGCACGCACGAAGACCGCAGTCCCGGAGTTGGATCTAAGCGGGACCGTAGCGGACGTGTGGACTCCTGGTTCTGAACCCAGCGCCGGAGAACAGAGCATCTCTTCGAGCGTTGTAAAGCGGCCTCGTTTTAAAAAGGGCGACCGTGTTGCGGCGTTCATACCCGTCTCCATCGGCTGGCCGACTGGGACCGGCGCTCTGGCAGAACACGTCGTCCTCCCTGCCCGGTATGTAGTTCCCGTGCCGGCGCACTTGTCCCTCCGGGACGCGAGTTGTGCGTTCACGGCAGGTTGCACGGCCCTCATGACTATCCGTTCTGCAAACCTGAAGAAGGGTGACAGGGTGCTTGTGAACGGGGCGAGCGGAGGCATCGGGACGTTCGCAGTGCAGGCGATCAGGGACATTGTCGGCGACGAGGGTTACGTAGTCGCTGTATGCTCCGGAAGGAACGCGGAAATGGTCAAGGGCCTGCGCGTGGACGAGGTCGTCGATTACACCGCCTCTCCGCAGGTTTCAAACGCTCTGAAGGAGAAGTTCGGAAGGGAGGGGAAGATGTTTGATGCGGTGGTGGACTGTATCGGCGTGCAGGACGTCTACGCTAACTGCGCATCTTACCTCGTCCCAGAGGGCGTCTACGCAGCCGTCGGGATCAAGCCGCTCAGCCAGACCTACGGCGGGTTTATGAAGGCAGTATGGACGATGCAGATGAACGCTCTATGGCCTTCCTCGCCGTGGCTGGGCGGTACGGGGCGGCGGTGGATCGGAACATCGATGATGAATCCAGAGAGGGAATTGATGGAGGAGGTCATGGGTATGCTAGCTGACGGGAGGGTGAAGGTCGTCGTTGACAGGGAGTTGGGTTTCGAAGAGGCTGTCGATGGGTACGATGTGGTTGGGAGCGGGCGAGCAAGAGGAAAGATCGTTGTGAAGGTTGATGGAGAGTGACGTCTAAGAATCGACGTGGTGTAACATGTTTCTCCGCATCTTTTAGCGTAATTTTGTTGTTTATCTGCATATTCAAGAGTTACGGAAATCCATCGCATATATCAAGATAGAGGAAATAGGTAATGGAATCACAATCTCAACAGCCAAGTATACAACTCAGTTGAGGGTATATTCTAAGCGCTATATCCATGTATAACCACCTTCTTTTTAATATCGTCTTGCCGATCTCTAGATTATATTGCTTTTCATACAAAGCCTCAAAGTCAGTATAAACCCCTTTTCGCGAAGCATTCAAGCTTCCATACATGTTGCTGTCTACACATGGCTATTCCGTAGGCCAGTCTAGCAAGAAAGCCCCTGTCTGTTTCTGTAATCAAAGGACACGACAACTGCCTTTGCGTACGCAAGCGCAGCAGCCAAAACCTGTAAAGATACAGTCAGTTCTTGCGTGTTCCCTCTTTAGGTTCTCTCAGTCATGCCCAACCTACCATGATGTGCATGATCTGGTGACTGGCTCCAAACAAGTCAAAAGTTTTTGGAAACCACAGTTCAGGGAACTTAGCATTTTGTCAGTACGCACTGTCATCAAGACACTTTCTTCAGGCCACCTCGAGCCCTTGTGACTAGAGAAAGCAACTTACCTTTGCCGAATACACCAACACTGCAGCAGCGTTACATGCAGCAGTAACGACAACCCACTCCCCACCAACCCTCGCCCACTCCTCCTCTATCCCAAACACTAGAACTCCATGCCCGATGGGCATTACAAAAGCTGCAACGCCAAACGTCGCAAAAAGCGCAGCGCGGTGATGCCCCAGATGCACAGCACCAAGATTCGGTCTTGCCGTTGCTGCCGCACAAAGAACGGCCAGGAATCCAGTCACAAGGACGTAGGCATCTCGGGTGAGGGGTGAACAGGGGAAAGTGTAGTGTGCAAGGGGCGCAGTTGAGCTCCACATCAGGGCTAGAACTCCGTGAAAGTCTGCTTTTATGCCGGCAAGGTAGTAGGCTTCGCTATGGGACATGAAGGTGTGGAAGCTACGCGTATGTAAGTAACGTCTTCTGCAGAGATACTAGATATGACGTGCGTGGCCCACGTGAGGGGCAGTTATGAACTGGGGTTCAGCCAAGCACAAGAATGACACCAACTTACGCAGTAGAGAGGACGAAGCATATGGTTACCCCCAGGGCGTAGATACTGCATACGACGACGTCTGATGTTGAAGCAATGGACCATCTTGGCGGAAGGCCATCACTGAAAACAAAAGCGGGCATGAGAATGAAGAGAACTGCTCCGATGATATGCGAATAAATGTTGACTGTTTTTCGTCTTAGACTCTGAACTTCTTGATATGGATTTGGTCTTCAGGCTGACTTACCTGTTTCATTGTGAACGTACGTCCAACTCCTTAAGCATTCCCAGATCGAAAAGCACGCCTTCCTATGGCACTCCATAGTTAATGTCTGAGAGGTAGGTTGTGTTACACATTACTAACCGATAGCCTGTCTTCATATGTTCACTTCCACATCTGCTGATCGTTAATAGTTGGTTCTCGTGTTGCTATACTGGCAAGCTCACTGTTGCCACTCAGCTAAACACAACATCAGCAACTCTGACCACACAAGTTTATGCTAGAGGATGAGACTCACGAAGGTCCTCCCACACAAGTAGAGGTGGGCTCCTCTCTACCTTGACCACCTCATCATGACTTCCCCAGCTCCCCAACTTCTTCGCGGAACCCTCACTCTCAACAACTGAACGCAACCCCCGCCTCATAGCGGACGTCGAAAGAAGAGCTGCCATTGCGAGGAGAGATATGGGAAGACGTCAAAACTGTTCTGTACTAGGCCTGCAAGGACAGGATTGTCCGCTCCGTTAAAACTTTACGGATCGCAAAGAAGACGATCTCTGTGGTGAACCCACAACTCAACGGCCCGTCTCTCCTCGGAAGTAGTCACAAACTCCCGGCGCCGAGACGACTTCAGCGACCAGCAAACACAACTCAAAGCTGATAACCAAGGGATAACCTAAAAGTCATCCACAAAATCAAGGCACTCAGAGTCAAACTAAGTTCCCATCCCTCAGGCACGATTCATGGTATGAAAACAGATAGACGATAACAAGGCTTGGAAATGACCACCTACCACATCACAGAAAGGGAAAAAAAAACGACGCTTCTCACACCCGAGTCAGAATGATCGAAAAGTCCTTCTCTGTTTCTCGTTTGCCGCCGCAGTCGCCGCAGCCCACTAACTCGAAACCCGCGCCGGAAGCGCGCCGATCCGGTGTGTCGTCGTCGCATCTGACCACGGGCTAATTGTAACGATGCACTGACGCAGACCCATGAATAATGCAATAGTGCGCGAATACCGCACCGCAGAGGGGACGGCGGAGGGAGGTGGGTAAAGAGGCGAAGGAGCGCTAGTTGAGTACGGGCCGGAACGTGGTCACCGAGCATTTGATGGGATGCAGGGAAGGACCCTCGTGCGGGAGAGACCGTTGCTTCTAGAACTTTAACGGTGTTGAAACGAAACATTCTTGATCAGACTACCAGCGTGAGCCGTTCAAGCGAACAGGTGAGAGTGGGAGATTTGCACCGACCCAATATGCGAAAATGCATGTGTCTGAGGTGCTAAAGGATTGATCCCGTCAGCTTTTTTTGTGTCAAAGGCTCAATTCGACTACTTGGCTGCACGGCAATGAAGTCGCGTAGCATTGTCGTACATGATTGCGGAACAGGATTAGTTGTAATCATTCTGAAAGCTTTAGAGAATCTTCTCTTCGTCCAAGTCAACCGTGCAGATCACACAGTAAGACGCTCCAGCAAAGCTCCCACGGTCGCTTCGAAGGATGACTGGTAGCAGAAAGCACAGAAAACGACCTCACAATTCAGCTGCTTCCTTCATGGCCGTGGCGGCGAGTGACTAAGAGCAAATGGGAAACAAGGTTGTTGATGCAAAAGTCGTATGTATACCCTTAGTAAACGAAATATTGCCCCGACGGCCGTTACAATCATCTTTCGTTGGCTTGAAAGCATCTACAGCCACTCATAATACCCTAGCTTTATGAAAATTGCTACCTCCAAGTTCCCATAGCCATGGTAGGACAGTGAAGCCATCTACAACTGTCAATAAGTGAAAGGCGAAATCGCAAATCAAGCTTTTTAAGATGTAGGCCCCCCCCAAGTGTTTTTTTTCTTCTTCTTCTCTACCTAAGGTAGTTAGCGTAGGCCATGACAATGTTTACTGCTTAAGTCGTTTGTAGAAGCGTTATGGACTGGCTTGTCTGCTTTATCCCTACTTGCGTATTAAAGACAACTAGTCAAGTGGCTTGGTGGGCTTTCAAGTTTCAGCAACTCCGATTGTTGGGGAAACATAGAAAGAAACCCCAAGGTTTGTTTCCATATTTGCTTCGTGATGAACACAGTCTTGTCGGGACTTCATCGTCACCTCGCATGAAACAATCGTAGCCTCGTCAAGTACACTGCTTGCGGCTTCCAGCTCAGGAATGAGAGATCGCTCACCTCCTGGGGTTGTCTTGACAAATCAGCCATGTGCCGAGTTAGAAGATCACATGCCGCACACCAAACCTTCCTTTGCCGCTTCGATCTGCCCTAGAGCCTTGTCCAAGTGTATGTAGTATAACGTTGCCCAGGCCGCCACCTGCTGTTGATTGAGAACGACGTAGAAGAACCCTAGAAGCGGCGACTTTTGAAACAAACACATTAATTCCGCATACGGAGAGCCACCGTCTCCTCCGGTTGCTGGCAAAAAAAGAGGCCTCGTAAGCTACGACCGGGCTTCTGAAACATATCACCTACCTCGGGTTCTTCTGTCAAGGAAGACTCTGTCGCAAACAAACCGTGAATCACCAACATTAAGATGTGTCACACAAGGGAGGAAACACAGCCACAACCTCGGAACGCTTCGAGCGAGAGAAGAAGAAAAAAGTTTCGTCCGTAAGACGAACTCAACTGATGTGCGTCTTTGTCGTTTTCCGCAATACAGCACATCAACTGCCGGGCAGAGGCTGAGACAAGAGTCGTTGGTAACAAACATGCTTCAGAGACCGCTGCAGCCTTATAGATTGCGGGTTAATGCAAAAAAAAAGAAGAAAAAAAAAAAAAAAAAAGACACAGACAGCCACAAACTACCACATTGCATATAAGACCTAGGAATGCTCGAATTAGGCATTTGTGGACCCCGAAGCGGAGGAACCTCGAAGAGTAAGGAATACTACCGTCATACATTTGTGTCGCTGAGGTCATTGTCTGCTTTCGGGAAGCCCTTGAGAATGTTTCGAGGTCTCAATATAGGCGCCTCCCTTTTGGCTTGGCACGCCGCTTTTGTGAGTGGCACGAACTCAGATTAGGACCTTCAAGTTGACCTCAATACCCGAGAATACAGACTTTCGCTCTTCTAACTTCGTTCTATACCCATTGCTCCGCCAATTCTTGCGTCCTGAATCGCTATCATGCAAGGGCTGACCTCAATCACAACTCAGTAATGGGGCGGAAGTACCATGCTTTCGGATTGGGGCCATCCTCATCATAATACGCCTTGGTAGATTCGGCCTTAAAGATCAAAACTAAGAAAAAAACTACCGACGCCTAAGAGGGAGGGCGGAAGAGACAAGTGCCTCTGGTAAACTGAACAATTAGTGCGCGATCGAAAGGGCAAAAAGCTCATGGCCGGCACATATCGCTAGCACCAGCTGGGCCGACTTCAAAATCGACTCAGACAGCCCTAGAATTAGCTCCGGATCTGAGAGCGCTCTGAAGACATATCCCCGGTCTCACGGTGTGCCGCCCACCGATGGAAGTAAGGACGGTCAGCGGGGGCTGGATGAACTGATCTACTAATGCATTACGTGGGTTGCCCGCCCCCGACGTCGCTCGCCTGACTCGCTATTGGGGCTAGCCTGCACCATCATCAATTGTTGAGCGACTCAAGTTGCCTACCACCCAGGCCTGACCAACTCCGGGTTTCTGGGATTTTGATTAACGACGAGCCAGAGATGCCTATATGCAGGGTTTTTCTCCATGGGAAAAGGTTGCCCGTGGGGCGAGTAGGCAATTAGCTCATTGAAGAAGACTGCAACCTCAAACCTCGCGATCAACCTTCGGTTGGGGGGGTGGAGATGTGACCCTGCCCCCAAGACCCTCTCTCCGGGAGGATCAATTTCAGGCACGAGGCGAGGGGTGGACTTTGCGTAAAGCAACCTTGCTGATCTGCCTTCTGCAGCCGGAGGTGGTCTTGGTCTTGGTCTGAAGTCAATGCTTTGGCTGACATTCCTCACCTCCAGAACGGGATATAACCCGAATAGCTGGGATGGCGTCCTATACCCTTTTTCTTTCTTTGTTTCTTTTCCTGAACAAGTGTAACCTCAAGTCGGACCAGCCAGCACGACCAGCAGCTGCGTAGTTATCTAGGGGCGAAGTTTCCTATTGAGATATTTTCGTTGTCTGAAAACTCAAATAGAGGGGAGATGGATCATTTGTGTGATGGAAGAGGGCCAACGTCTACAGTTGCCTTGTTTATCCCCGGTGTGCGAGTCAAGACCTCTGCTTCCTACTAGTAACAATTGGAATGAAATACGATGTGTCCGATGTTACTGTAGTTTGGGTTGCCGCTAAGAAAAGCGGTTTGTGCTCAAGAGCAGGGGATGTGACATACACAATGATGACGGCGGCGGAAAAGACCGTTAGAACTCATTCAAGTCACACTTGCGGATGTGCGAGGTATTTGCAATGCCAACAAAGACGGGGACGGCCAACATCGGCCGTGGTTAGGCGGGTGCAGTATCCGGATGATGAGAACGGACTCATTTCATGCTGAGGCAAGACATGTCCGTGCGGTCAAAGAGGGTGTGCTTGTCGCTGGGCGATCATCCAAACAGCTCTCTCTGTAGGCGTGGTCATTTCATGCAGCAATGGCGGCCGCAGAGGGAAGGCCGATGAACTTCGTTGTATCAGGAAGGAGCCTAAGATGTCGAGTTTTCGAAGAAAGCCATTGGTGTACGTTGTAAGCCACTTAAGCATTTCCATGTTGGCCATGCGCTTGGCAGGAGAAACGAGACGGGCGAACTATGGGTCTCTCTACATAACTAGTAGTAAGCCGTGATGGCGTTTTTCTCGTTTTTCTCGTCCGAGGTTGTGGCTTTGTAGGTGCTATCCGCTTGGCCACGCGATTGACAAGTTACTCAGCTGGCTTAGCCACGAGAGGAAAAAGAAAGCGAACAGCTTTAGGAGTGTGGGGGTACCGCTTCCACAGGGAATGACGATCAGGCTTGAACGAGGTCGGTCTTGGCTTTCAGCAGCCCATTCCTTTATTTGCCTCATCCCTACAGTGGATATTCAAACCGTCCTAAGGTTGATACGCCACATTTCAGAAAGGGATTAGGGAGAAAACGTGCTCCTTCATCAGGGGAGCACTGCCCAAAAGGAAGACGGCATCGTCAAGAAGCACGGAAATCTAAGGCGCACCGTTCTCGTCAACTGAATGCGTACATGTTCTTGCCTGTTTGACATGGACCAAGGCATGTGGATTTCGAAATCTTTGGTCCTAAAACGGCAGCGTATGCCACATTCAAGAAGTCGTATACTCAGGATAAATGGCGGGAAGCTGGCGTACAAGGGCACTGCAAACTAGAAGAAAAAGAAAAGAAAAGAAAAAAGAGGATGCTTTGAGAGTTACAGAGTATATTCCTCCGAAGGGAATAGGCGAGTTGCTCTGGCGTCAGCAAAATACCGTTGACGCCAGGTCCGTCATCCGGCCCCGGATTGGGGTGCTTTGTCCGCTCCTTAAACCCGTTTGTCATCACCCCTGATCCCAGTTGCTTCTGCTCTGTTTGCCCTGCGAGATTGGCGACGTTGGGCCAGGGGGCGCATACGTTAGGTGCGGCAGAGATATTGCATGCGTTTGATCCGTAATAAGCGTGATACTTAGGAGAGGGTCGCTACCGTTGCTAAAGGGGACCCGTGAGAGATACGGCGTACGTATTCGTTCAGATGGGAGCCGAGATGAGAAGGAAGGATGGCAACTAGGTGACCGGAGCAACCAGTTTGATCCATTGATAGGACAACTGCCGGGGGACAGGGGGCGCCTTGGGAGAGCACATGGTCGAGTCCGACTCGGTTGTGCCTTCCGAGGGCATTTTCACTGATTGTCGGCTACAAGGACTTGTCCAAAGAAGGAGTTGGCCCGCAGCTGATTGCCGGAACTTTGTGCAATGAGCAAACATGTCGACACCATCTTGGGGATTTGAGTGCTGAGAGCCCTTGCTCAGTTCCGCACATGACCTGTGATTTTTTACCCGACAGGCCAAGCTATGCCAGGTACGAGCGGCATGGGCAGGTCTAGCTCAGGAGGCGCGGATTTCAGGGCAAGGCACAATAGATGGGTCCTCGGAGGTCTTGGTAGCTGCATGCATTGTGATCTCCGCAATAGTGCAGAATCATGGCGAAGTATGTATACTACTAGCTGGCGAACCAGCGGAGCAAGGAACGGGTTGGACTAGACCAGGCACTTCCAAATTTCGACCAGCCGTATTGTGTTAGTCAATGACGGTGGGTGACACGATGACTACTGGTTAGGCCAGGCAGTACTGCATCGCGCCCGGCCGGACTGAATGTCAGAGAGGCCACATGGGCTTTAGCTTGGTCAATAGTGAGCGTCGATGGAATGCGATGCAACGCGATGTCATGCTATGCCATGCCATGCACTCACTACCTGCATGAGGTGCATATCTGAGAGCGCCCGCCCGACTGCAGCTTCGACCAAGAAAATGTGGACGTGCTGGAGCTGGAGCTGGACCGGACCTTTCGAGGGCACTGTCGACTGCAGGCACTACATACAGCAAGGTCTGGGGTGATAATGGAGGGGGGGGGGGGGGGGGCGCAACGGAATGTGTGGATGAAGGGTGGAGACTGAGAAGGGACGGTTCGGTCCCTCAGATCCGCAAAGTTCGCAGCGAGTTATCATTGGTGAAGGCAAAGCGAAGCACAACGTGCAAAGGGTGCTGTCGTGGCGGGTAAGAGGGAGGGCGAGGGGAAGATGCCCGGTTGATCCAGCATGGTTCGATAGTGATGTCTTGAGATGAAGTAGCGGTGGAGGCGCACGTATGGGGTTTCTCGTCGAACGATTTGAGGGCATGGCAATGTCCGTGACAACGGCTTCCGCTCCCGTCAACTGACAAGTACTATAGTAGCCTCCAAGGACCCAGTTGTTTGCCTCTTTCCTATTCCCAGTCGGTAGAAGTACTACTAGTACGTAGTACTCCGTAGTCGCAGACCGTGATCCGCCAGTGATGTCGTGTTGTAGTGGAGGGGCACCAGGACGCAAAAGAAAAAGGATGTCGCAGGAGGCGAGTTGGGGCCGAGAGGCTTCTCGTGAGATTGGGTAGCAAGTATACAACATCAGAAATTGAGCTCGCCATTTCCACTGGTGCAATACGATTCGCGAACCAAAGTGGAATGTCGTCTGGTAAAGGCATAGTTGAGGGGGGATTAAACCTGGTACAACACTGAACTTGTGCTACCCGTGACGGTGGGAGTATCGCTCGTGCCGCTGTTCAGAAACGCGGGAGGACTTGGAAAACGGGACAGGGTCTTGGGTATCTGCGGGCAAGGTGAAGACAAGTTTGAGTTTGTTAGTTAGTGAAGGCATCCCAATCTGCAGGTATTCAAGGCCGTCCCAAGGGCAAAGCCTAGCGAGGAGACGGGTCGAGTACAACTCCACAAGTGCCGGAGATTCCACCGCTGTGCAAAAGACATAGGCTCCAGCAACACCACAGCGGCAGTAAATAGCTACCGATGGTGCGGTGAAGCATTTTCAGCTCCCAATCCAGGTTCTTGGTCTAAATGCAGTGACATTTCGTAGAACCCAGGGAATGTGTTCCGCTCCACGAAGTCGAAGTGCGCTTGTCTCGTTTTGCATAACACATAGCATGGGAAAGCAGTCCTGAAACACTACGCCGGACGTTGCCTGAAATAGTCAGCTATGATCTGGTAGCCCCAAAGTCCTAGCTGGCTCGGACATGTCGATTCATTGGGGGGTATGGTGCTGTATACGACATCATGGGGCGAATGCCATCCGTCCTGGCGTCGGGACCAACAACGTGCATGGCGCAAAAAATCTGTCTCAGAGACGGCACTCGCAGACGACGGAGAAAAGCCAAAGAACGGAAAGAAATTTTTTTTTTGCTTTCTTTCTTTTTTGTCGAAGAATGGTCGAAGAGTTTGAAAGAGAGTCAAAGAATTGGGTTTGAAGACTGTCAGCAAGACATTTCATCGGCTGGATCGTGGAGAAGGGCTCCTGCTCGCCGTTTTCAGACAAGATTGGCGCTGTTTGCAGAAAGAAAATGGATAACTAGCCGTGGGTGGTTGATTGACGGCCAGGGGGGAAAGGGGGGAGAGGATGGATCCAGGGCATTGCATGGGACGGCAAGGCCCAAGGCAGGGCTAGCGTGGCTGGCATGTTTCTCCTTTAGCGATGGAAGTTTTCGACTGTTTCCGCCCCATCCAGCGGAAGCGTCACGACACGGCCCTTGCGGAGCTGCCACTTATCGACAGAAGGTACGGAGTACGTCGTCCTATGTCGCTGCTCTGGGCTTGTGGGTTGTCACTGGCGAAATCAAGTCTTTTGATGATTTTTGCTATATACGTATAGTATGTAGACAGGTACATGCTAGGTGCTGTTTACTCGGGTGTATCTTCTATACATAGATTACACCCTAAATGCCATCACTCTTGCAGTACGTCTCCTTCTCAAGTCATCATCTTTTTGGTTTTTATTTTTATTTTTAACTCTTCACCTCTCCCACCATCTCTTCTTCTCTCACGCCGGCGTTTGGAGCGCTTGCCCCTGGACGCAATTCTGTTCATCCAGGGGGCAGCCCAGATGTTGAGGCACGATGCCGGCAAGGTAGAGTGATGGGTTGAAGGAGCGGTACGTACCGCCTCTTGTCTCTTCCGCAGTCTCCATTTTTACGCCGTGAGATATCTCCTTGAAGCCCATTTCCGCTTCAATGCCTTCGTCCATTGGACAGCAGAAAAATGCCAGTCAAGGTGCCCCAAGATGCAAAAAGGTACTGGAAGCAGGAGTGGCAGGGGTCACCTTTTCTTAGCGCATTTGTTCTTTCCCTGACCCCGGTAGTTGTGGGTTGCACTTGCCGTCGTAGTTCCGCGCAGGTACCGTTCGTTCCTTCTCGTCCTTTCCTCTTATCCTAGGGTCTTCAAAGCCTTTTTTTTTTTTTTTCTCTCTTCCCTGCTTCTAGGTCTTGGGGGCCCCTGCCCCTTCAAACATTGCCCCCCTCCCAAGTCCAGCGCGGCGAATGCACCTTGGAGGGGTTCATAAGGTACCTTTCTATTGTATACACTCTGCTGTAGCCGGTGTTTGCGATTGCTGCGAGTACGTAGTTGACCGAGTACTCCCAGGTGTTTGGCTTAATCTCGCCTACTGACATAGTTCATCTGTTCCTGGACGGTGCCCTTCTTCTTTATGTGCTCCGTTTTCTCGCCTCTCTTGTTATCTCCTAGCATGTCCGCGACTCCATGTCATTGCGGGTTGTGGACTGTCCCGGTCTGCAGTAATCGTAATCAACCACCCCCAGATATATCCACTTCATTCGCCATTATTAACGACAATTTTAAACAAAAAGATTCTGATCCCCTCCGGCAGAACATTCCGTAGGCATCCTTCATACTCCCTTGTACCTCTGTCTCTGCCTCTCCCTCACTCTCTCACCGCTGGCCTTTTCCCTCACCTTACCCTTCCCTACTACGTCCAGTACCCTGCGGATCCTAACTACGTACCTTATCCATACTAATACGTGAGGCAGGCGGCAGCACTGACTGTGACTAGCTTGCCATACGAATACCTCACCTTACATTAGTGACCTTTTTATCCTTCACCCACCCCTCCATTGCTGGCGACGCACCCCTCCTTCATATCCTTTACCTACCGATACCTGTCCTACACCATTCTGCCTCTTTTCTTCTTCTTCTTCCAAGCCATCCATTCTTCGTTCCAACGCGAACGTTGTTATCCACGCGCAAGCCAGGGGCGCTGGGGTTATCTGGGAGTAATACGGATTGGTCCCTTTGTGCAGGAACCGAGAACACCGACAAACCATTTTCGACTATTGTTTCTTCTTTTGCTGCATGCGCCGTCGCTGCCCCTCTCGTTATACATCCTCCTCTTCGCTCTCACCCACAAGTCCTCCGCTCAGGATGCCTCTTTAATCATCCACTTGGCTTGACACCCTGTTGTTGTTTTTCCTCTTTGTAGGGCCACGGTGCCCCTTCATACCGCTCACTATACGCTACCTTGACAGGACCACTGCATCGTCATGGAAACCTGCGAGGGAGTTCTTTTGATCCCTCCTGAACGGGGTCAAATTCTGGGCCGCGCAGTCTGGAAGGTAAGAAGACGGTCCATATTGCTCATCTCGTCTGACTCTCCGTCTTGTTTTTGCTACTGACACCTCTCGCCTCAGCCGCGATATGTCGTGGTTGGTAGCCGCCACATCCAAAGAGAAGGCGTAGCAAGTCCTACACTTCCCCAGACCAACGCAACGGCCCGTACCAATGGAGCTGTTACCCCCAAAGTTCCGCTGAAACCTATCGCGACCGACGACTACTACATCTCCATCTTCAAGTCAAAGGTAAGGCTCAACACGACCGAGTTCTCTGGCCAAAACCTAAGCCACCTGAACTTGCAGGACGATTGGGAACCTTCTTATCAATACCCGGTTAGCTCTGTTATCGATTGCCAGGTGCAGATGCTCGCCCACCGCAAGCAAGGTCCAGTCTTGCCTACCCTTGTTGTCACCATCAACGACAAGGAGAAGAAGCGCCGGTCGAGTAGGGCTGCCGGCTTGATTTCCAGCAAGGAATCTACTGCTACCACCTTATGGTTCCGGACGCCTCCCGATGACCACCATATCAGCCTCCACGAATGGGCCCGCTTCATCATCTCAAGGAAGCTTCCCATGAGCCCGGAAGAGAGCCCAGCATCTCCTTCCTTCACCAACCCATTTTCTCCCCAACAGCAGCGGCCCCGAGAGATGCCCGATTTCTTCCCCCGCCCGTCAAGCGGGAACCCGAATTCCCGTTCCACTCTTCAGCACAAGAACTCATCTCAGACCTACTCAAGCAGGGAACGACCTGTAACATTGGGCTCGGATTCTCCAAGCTTGCGCTCCAAGCGCAGTGACGTCTCGTCGCCCACAAGCATTCATCACCCGGCACATCTGGGCTTCCCGGCTCCCGATCCAAACAAATACACCACTGTCCTTCCTACCGATATCCCGTCTCCAATTACAACCATGAGCGACTACCAGCAGAGTGAGTTTATTGAAGGCTGGACAGCAGCCCAGGGGAGATCGTCAACCGTCAGCTCTCCCATTCGCGGGCGCGGCAGTGTAAGCTCTGGCGGCCCCCAACCTTTCCCTGGAGCCGACTCCAGCTCGCCACCTGGGCCACGAGAAACGATCCTTGACAGAGCATTCCATTTAAGATGCATCCCTGGGTCTGAGCGCGAGGTTCCGGGCGAGGAAAAGCTGACGTCCCTGGCTCGGTTTGATGCTTTGATGCGGGAGGCAGATGAAAGACGACATCATCAGGTGAACGCCGCGGAAGCTGAGAGGGCTGCCATGCAGAGTGCTTTTGACGTGGATGAAGATTCATCCGAGGATGAGGAAGGCGACGATGACGATGACGACGACGATGACGAGGAAGACTACCGTGAGGAAGAGCAAGACGAGTACGCTCATGAGGCGGAGGTCAACGGTAATAGACATACGTTGATCCCTCCGAATGCGCAACGCGCCCTCGAATTCCTTGCCAACCGGCCTGACGATCTCATGTCACCCCGGTCACCAGTGATGAGGAGCTCACCAGCCAACTTCAGCGTTCCATTGCAGGCGCCTGTGCGACCACACACGGCGCATTCGAGAATGCGGCCGAGTGCGATGCAGAGGACATACAGCCAACCTCAGCCCATGGGCCAAGAACGGCTTGATGTGCCAACCTCATCATCCGGTAAGATATCCGAAGACGGCGACTTTCGAGCCAACGGGGATAAGCGTATGTCCAGCTCCAGCACCAAGCGACTCAGCTTCACCGAGTTCACCAAGCGTCTCTCCAGCACCAGCAGCTTACTTCTCGTCCAGACCAACACGAGCATCGGGAGCAGTTGCGGAAGCAGCGAGTTAGACCCAAGTCCATCACAGGTACCCAGAGGTACTTTGAACGCTAGAGGCGTCCCTCCGCGGCCTCGTGACCTCGAAAGAGATGATCAAGACCGACGTTGCGGGTGGCGGAACAGCGTTGGCTTTTCCGACGGGGGCTTAATATAGCCTCACCGGCCGATAATCCGGTCGAATCACCCCTCTTCTTTTCGACTCATTTCGACTCCAACCAAACCCGACTCACCCACCTTTACTGTCACCACCACACCCGACACATTCACACCGCAACATAGTTGACAAATATGTTGTACGATTTTTGATCTGACGATACCACTGTTTGCATCTCATAACGACTAATGATCTAGGCTCATGGTCTAGGAACCTGGCGTTTGATATCCGTTCTTGTTTATTGCATTGTTTTCGCAGTCGGACCTTTCATATATATACTTCTTGTAAGGGGTAGAGGTTCATGGTGGAAGGAGCATTGTCAAGTAGGAGTGGAGGAAGGAGAGGCGGAGTGTTGGCAGACTTTTTACCCAGAACACAGGTCACGCTTGTGAGATGTCTCTGGTACGGTTTCAAATCATTCCCTTTTTCAACGGGTTCCAATCTAGTGGACAACATTGGTGAGCGCATTGCAGCAACTCTGAGGGATGCTAGATGAACTGGTCTTTTTTTTCTTGAAGATTTTTACGCGTTCAGATGAACATATAGATACGTTTTAGTAGAGCTGAGAAGAGTGGATGATACACACTTGATGAAAAGCTAATGAAATATTATCACATCAAAAACCTTGGTAGACCTCACAACATTTGGATGCTTGGCAACCGGCCGGAGAACCAAGGCTCATGTCCCATGCAGACCCGGTAGAATCAGTACCCTGAAAGTGAAGCTCTTGGCATTGGAAGGCGGTCAGCTGCTACACTACAGTCGCGTCCCGCCTAGGTGGCCCCCCAAGATCATTACCATCCGCTATAATTCCACCTGTTCCCGAGGAACCCACGACCCTGGATTGCTACAGATCGACACCGTAGTTTGCCTCATTCAACAAACAGCCTTGTTCTCATCGTTTCCACTATTACGTCTTTTCCATCAGCCTCGGACCTTGTCCGCTTGTTTGTTGGTAGAGATTGGGGGGGAAGGGGGGGTGTATGACGAGGATCTCGTCCCTGTCTTTTTCAATGTTCCCTTCTCCAGTAAACATAGCGTAAGAAAAGGGTCCTTCTCTCCCCCGGTCTAGATATCCATTCTTCAAAGGCCCACGTCCAATCATACGCCTGTGGAAAAAATCTCTTACCCGGACGACACTCTGTGGTCGTCGCCACGCGGACTAATATCGGCGCAAGGAACTTTTTATTTTTTTTTTCCCCCCCCCTCTCTCTCTGGATAGCAAGCAAGGGCATGATGAAAGGGTCTCGCCTCCTACCCTCGGAGGCGCCGATGACAGGGACTCAAATAGTCACCTCCAGGGTGTTATATGTGCACATGCTGATCTGCGCTGAGGCGGTGGGTGGGTTGAAGACAGAGGACAAGGCCAGGAATATCGGGTCATGGGTCCGGATCGGAGCGGTGTGAGGCGGTAGGGAAGGGGGGGCCCCGGGCGGAGAGTGAGCGGCAGGTGCCGAATGTCACTTTTCTTATGACGTGTTTTCGCAATTAGCTAGGGCTTCAAGAGCCTCCAAGACAGGTTTAGGCGTCTAGGTATTCTTTTTGGTCTTGCTAGTTGATAGCACAGGGTTGCTCACCGTCTATCATGCATCTAAACGCACAATACTCAGGCAAAAACTCACAGAGACAGGAGTCACTGTGTCGCCGGGCAACGCAAAAAGTAGAAACAGCAATATCAAGATGGCTCAAAATGAAATGCTTTGCTTTTTTTGTCTTCTCACTACCTGAGAAGGAATGACGCTTGTCAGTCATGCGTGTGTCTGTCGACACTATCTTGATATAATCATGCTTCTAGACAGGCCTGACAGCTATAACCCGCCCTCCACTCGAGCCTGTTCTAGTCCTGCATCCAACGATCTGTCTAGCCGTGTTTGTTGATGTTCCTCCACCGCGTACGCCTGATTACTTTCTTAATAAGGGAGTTTCCCCATCCGCAACCCTTCCATTTTCCTAGTTGACGACGCTGTCCCACGCCTTTTGTTCCACCCTTCAGTATTCGCCAAGTTCACTCACGCCCTATGGAATTTCTTCCAACTGCCCATTGAGAACGCGCAATCGTCCGGCAGGCCCATTTTGCCATCAGGTAACCTCTCCTATTGCAGGTACACCTGCAGCGCTTGTTGCTGCTCAGGTGTGAGACGCGTGGTGATGAAGTTAGAGATAGCACCATTGTGGCGCTGGTTCGCGGAGCTGATGTAGGCACTGACCCACGGTGCCACGGCAGTGACCTCGGGATAGTCGTCACGTGCAATAGGCTTGCAAGTGTTCAGTGCCGTATATGACAGTCCGAAACCGATGTCGTCAACGTCAGCTTCGGCGATAAGCTCGTCACCCAGACCAGCAGATACGACCGGAGGGTTCACCAGCAACGCAAGAAGGATCTTGCAAGTGTTGGCCCATCCCTTGGCAAACTTCTGTGCGAAAGCCTGCGAATCGCAGAGAACCTTTGTCAAAGAGACTACTGCAAGCTTGCGATCAACAGGTCGTGCCAGCTTCTCTGTCTCAGCCAAGACAAACGACGGGTACACCTTGGCAAAAATACCCTCCTGAATCTTCTCAGCATGCTGCATGAAGTAATCAGCTCCGAAACCAGCCTCAAGGCGGGCAGAGACGAGATGGAAGAATCGAGCAAAGCGCAGCTTGAGCGAATCAGGCGGGTTGCCTTGCAGCTTGGCGAATATAAGATTCAGGATGGTGCCAAAGTAATTGTCAACCACCGTACTGCGCATTGGTCAGCGTTTTTTGTTCTGATTTTCGTGACGGGCAAATCTACTAGACTGAAGGAACTTACGGCTCGAATGCCTTGACAACTGCCTCCAAGATGTCAAAAGCGTACAGATGGTACTTCTTGAAACTAAGAAGACGTTGGAAAATGCCAAGAATTTGCTCCAGCTTGTTCTCCGAGACGATGTATGCGGCAGTGGCCGGGATAACGGCCGACAAAAGTCTGGTGCAGGCTGGAACGTTGCCCTTGGTGTCCCACAGAGTCGGCTCAAGCAGAGGAGACAAGAAGGCCTTATAGTTCTCGGAAATGGCATCCGGGGGGCTTGACTCCAGGAGTTGCGCCAGAATCTGGAAAATGTACTGCAAGAATTCTACACAAGGATCAGCAGAATCCCATGGAAACGGTTTCAAACGGTTGTACTTACCAGAGACATCCTCGACAAGAATTTGGTTAAATGGCTCCCACAGACGCTGGTTGAAAATAGCCGCGTGCGTTGAGGAGCAGTATCTGACTAGTGCACCCATGGCCTCAAAGTGATAGTAGTAGAAGCGGGGGTTGCTCGGGTTCTGCTTAATTATGTTGGTGATAGCGACCAAATGCGTCAAAATACCTTCCACGAGAGGAGCCGCTCCATCCTTGAGGACAATTAGAATCCTCATAACGCATCTCATCAAGAACTCATTCTCCTGCAGCTTGGCAGGGGTCTTCTCTTTCTCGATCAGCTTGAACAAGTGATCAAGCAGGTCCTTTGCGAAAGGCTGGATATCCTCACGAGGGAACATCGCCTTGCCCGAATCATCACTCAGGAAGAGAAGGCGTTCGACCGCAATGGCAGCGTAAGAATAAACGACGTAGTTATCTGATGCCAGGTTCTGGATCAGCGGAGGGAAAGCCACCTTCCATTGTTCCTTGGTCAGTTGGCTGCGGAAAGTGTGCAGGTACTTGATGGCGTCGACTTTAGAGATAGGCTCCACCCCTCCGCTAGCCATCAGATCCGATGCAATGTGCTGCTCGAAAAAGTCGACTACGTTAACAAGAGAGTTGACTGTCTTGACACCTTGAGCAGCTGTGACTGAACCCTTAGCGGCGACGGAGATGAAGAGGTAGACGGCCGTATCCTTCGCTTTCCAGTCGGTCTTGCCCTGCTCCAAGTAGTGGTTGATATACTTGTAGACAACTCCAGTGACAAGCTGTTCGTACTTCTCCTGCAGCCTACGCAAGAAATCAGTGGCGGAACGCCGCCTAGAGTCAGTATCAGAACCTTCCAAGTCGCGACGAATGAACTCAATTGGCTCGTCCTCGAAGAGCTCGAGATCGGATTCACGTAACGCGACGTTGGGCAGAATGACCTTCTCAACCACCTGGCCCAGGACGTCTTCGTTTGCAAACACGCCAGAATGCTGAGATGTGCCGGCAACAGCGGTCAGGAAGTGCAGGGCCTTGCTGACCAGCAAGTCGTACTTGGTCTCTGATCCGATGCTAGAGAGAAGATTCCAAGCATTGGTAATGAAAGGCTCAGTGTACTTGCTAAAGTCCTCATCATACTTGAGCGTGTAAAGTTCCAAAGCCTCGCAAATATCGGCCTTTACGGTGTCAACGACGCTAGCTTCAGTATCATCGTCGGTTTCGAGGATCGGGTTCGAGTAGTTGAGATACTTGTGCAGAAGCTCAGAGATGGAAGCTAGATGTTCCTCGAAGATCGGGGGCATGTCGTGCGATGAGAGATCGTAGAAGATTTTGATCATAAGGCTCAGAGCCTCAAACCAGCTCTTGAGAGCATCTTTGTTCTGGGCGTTCTTGGTAATCTGCTCGTCAGTTTGCACAAGGAGACGAACAAAAGGCTGCGCAAACGTGCTGATGACGTGGTTGATTTCTGTGTACAGCTCGTCTGTTCTGAAGAGGGGTCGCCAGCGGACGAAAATGGAGTGGGCGACCTCAAGGACGCCGATGTTGATCTTTGGGTCCACGGGGGAAAACTTCTCGACAAGCTCCTGGGTCAGAGTTTGCCAGCGCTCCCAGAAGTCAGAATCGGCGATGATGCTGATGGCATCGCCAAGTTGAGTCTGGATGGTTGGTGGGCAGGAAATCATCAGCCCAATAAGCTGAGACTTGATGGTTTGCACCTCCTCGGCGGGGAGCTTGTAGTTTCCATCTGCGTCAACGTAGTTGGAGCGAATGAAGTTCTTGAAAGCCAGAGCGGCAGCCAAACGGGTCTTGAGAGGAAGCGGTTCTGATGCAACGATATTAAGCAGGTGAAGCGAGTATTGGGGCTTGGTTTGCTCTGCCTTGAGGGCATTCTCGGCTATATTTCATTTGTTTATTAGCATGCAAACAAACTTGGCGGGGTATCAGGCAACGGTGGTAGCTGTACCTTTCTTGTGAGTGCTGGGGTCTAGAGTAGCGTCCAGCAGCTGGGCGATGGTGCCCATTTGGGAGGCCATCTTGACAGAGTTCGCAGCGTCGTAACGGTGTAAGGGCGGTGTTTTGGAAGAATGTTTGTCGCGGATTCTGCCTGCGTTGAACTTTTTGGGATGGGTTGTGTTGCTGTGGGGGACGAGGCCACTAAGAGCTTCCAGGAAAAAAGGGAAGGTACTGTGGGGGTAACTGTCATTGGCTGATGATGGGAGAGAGGCAGTACTGTAAGCGCTCTCTTGGTCGGAAAAATTATGGAGCCAGTAGAGTTGGCCCGTGCTGAGAGACGGAAGAATGAAGATGGTTCTGTTGGTGCTTGAGGATAATTAAGACCGAGCTTGCTGAAGAATATGTCAGGAATGAGAATCTAGTAATTTTGGGAAGATTACCTACTTGTTACTATCTATGTTGAAAGTGAAACCCACTCGTATTGTTAGATAAAGAGAAAAAAATACGAAAGAGCTTTCAACGAGACCCAACTTAGCCCGTCAAGTTTATCCATTGTAACATCAGCTCTAATATATACATTAGATTTATATACGGTATACTTGTTAGCAATAAGAAAGTTACTGTAATTTGCTCGTCAGGCTTCCTGACCGTCAAGCAGCCTTCCCGTTAAATTCGAGCCGCGCCGGCGCCGGTAGTGGGGCTTGATCGGAGCTGTGAGTCGGTGCTGCTGACAATGACGCCACAGCAATATTTTGGGGATCGGTTTACGGAGCAATATTAGTGCGGGTTTTCCTCGATCAGCTGGTCATATCAGGTGGGGCAAAGTCCTGCAACGAGGGAAAAAGCGCATCGGGGAGCTCATGAACTGTTGGTTCCTGCTGCAGGTACTTGCTGCATTTTCTTTCCCCCCTAAAAAAAAACCACTACCTCCACCCCATCCCCCTTGACCATACAGCCTGGCCCTGCACTGACTGATGGGATCAGCATTCAAGTTTTCCTCCACGCCTTTTTACTAGTTGCACCACCATAAGAGACCCTTTGGAGCCCTCGTACAGTATGACGCTGTAAAAGCGCATGGGCAAATCCGAATATTTGACACGACATACGTACAAACAGACAGTCCGGAGTAAAGACCACACCACCAGCGTCCATCTTTCTAGCTTCTGTCACCTACGTCTTTGCCTGGCCTGGTTACATTTGCGCTGGGGACCTTGTCACTTGCCCCCTCCCGCTTCCACTCAATCCCACTCCGACTCGCACTTCTTTGGGGCTATCTGGCCTGCAGCTTGCCTCGCTGCCGTGAATGGGTACTCTAGACCTTCTCAACTGAGCTGATTGCAGGTTTCGCTGTGAGTTGTCAAACACAACAGCCTCCGTGTTTTTTCACGCCTCTCTCTCTTCATACTCCACGCTACCATCCTACCTCTGCCGTCAATATCTTGTAATCTGTGGACCCGACGAGGCTATCATCGTCATTTGCGATACGGATGACCACATCAACCCACTTTTGCCGCCTCTGACTCCTACCAAGCCGATATGAAGAAAACTGCGCTTCAAATCAGCTAACATGCTACGTCGCATAGTATCATCGAGGAACATCCAGGCGGACTCCAACCACCCAGACGAGCACATGCCCCCATCGCCAGGAGATGCGCCGTTATCGCCAGACTCGAGCCGCCCGGGGGGCCTCGCCAGCGTTTTCAAGGGCTTGACTGGTGCCAAGTTGACGAAATCCCCTCCGCCGAGTCTCAAGTCTACTTCTTCGATCCTCTCGCCGATAGCCGACAACGTAAATGCCACCCGAACGACCCTGGGCCTATCACCTGGCCATATGGAGTCCTTTGAGCTGCTGAGAAGCGGGAGTGGGACAGTCAGCGAGCGGATAGCGGCTGCTAACTCCCTTCGATATGCCGTTTCCGAATTCCCATTGAACCCAGTTCAGGATATATGGTACGCTGCGAAGGACATGATCGAAGCTACGAAAACAGATGCCGAACGTATTGCTGGCTGGGAACTTCTTTCGGAATGCGTCAAACACAAAGAGTCGTCAGAACTTGATCGTAAAGAGTACTTCCAGACTCTGACAGCCCCTGCGAACCCTGAAGATTTTCATCTGCAACTGGCTGCAGTCGTGGATCTCACCAAACACGGACGCTTCCTTGACGGCTTCGCATACGACGTGATTCCATTGCTGCGAAGATGGCTTTGCGAGGCGTACCAAGCCGTCAAGGTCGCTCGGAAACAGGCTAGCCGAGATGCAAAAAAGAACTCCTCAAAAGCCAGGGCTGCTGTGGTTGGGGAGGAGAAGAATCTGCACCAGCTCTTTGTCTTCATCAGCGAGGTTATCAAGTTCGGCTCCAACTCAGCTGACGAAACTGCCATGTCCGGCCTCATGAAAGCGCTTGTCGGCATCTGTTTGAGCACCACTATCGAAGAGGATCTCCGGGCTTCCATCAGCGTTATTAATACTATTGTGACATTTGGCAATTTGCCGGCTGAAAGCTTCAAGGAATGTGTTCTTGTCCTAGGTTCAATATACTGTCTAGTGCCAAGCCTTTCCAAGACCGCATGGCATACAATATCTCTACTGCTCAAGTCACACAATGGGCCCGCAGCAGTGAGGGTCCTCGTCGATCTTTTGCGACATCTTCCACCAGACGGTACTAGCAAAGGCAAAGACACCAGGGATATCCGTGGTGTACTGGCTGTTCTGGAGAAGCTGTTGACGAAGAGCACAGAAAAAGGGTACCCACCAGTGCCCTTTGCGCTACTTATTGAAGGATTAGTTGCAGCTGTTCATAGCACGGATTCAGGTCGAGTTTACTGTGCCATCCTCAAGCTGGTCAACTCATTGTTCAGAGACGCTGATGGAAAGCTTCACGCTCTGATTGTTGAAGAGGATTGGTCAACGCTATTGGACGTTGCCATGGAATGCTCCAAGAAGGCATCCTCTAACGTGGTGACGGGTATGGGGTTGATAGCTCCAGAGACCGAGCCGGACCGGCCAGATGAAGCAATTGGACTGGAATTACTAAAACTCATTGCACGCCTGGAAGAATTAGCAAGTAACAAATTGGGCGACTTCGTTCCGCGACAGATTGTCATCAAGTTCTTCACCAACATTCATTCTCGGCTTCCAGACTCAGCAGCGCGAGTTGTTCTCACCTACTTTCAGGAGTTCCGATGCTGTTCTCCATCTGACCTGCAATGGGAAGAAAACTTGTCTTTGGTTCTCAAAGAGTTCTATGCCAACCGGAATCGCACTTCTCAGACCCGCTTATTGGCTCTTCAAGCTGTCACTGAATCTTACGATATGATGGATCTCATTGGAGAGGGACTTGGTGATGACATTGTTCCAAATCTAATCAAGGATCTTCTCAGCGATATAGCCGATGAGACCAATCTTTTAGTCCTAGAGGCTGTAGTCTCCTTCATGGTTTCTGTCGCAGTCTCATCGGACCAAGAACTTTTCAGCTACATCACAGACACGCTGAGAACTATAGTCGTCAATGAACGACTCCTATCACCTATACCATTGTCCGCAACATCCAGACCCACAACGCCCGTGATAGCTAAAGCTGCGGCTCCCCAAAAAAGCCACACAGCCTCGGGAGTAGTGGCAAGAGGGTATGTCAAGCTCTTCATGCGATGTATGAACCTTGACGGTGCAAAAAGTCTGAAACTCTTCGACACTCTTGTCAACATTGCAAAAACCAGTTCTTGCAAGACGGACGCCCGGCTTGTGGCTATGAAGCTCCTCTTCCGTTTACGGGCCGATTGGGCCAACCGGGTATTCCTGATCCAGGATACAGAATCCGAAGGTCTGGCAGCGACGCTCCAGCACACCGGTTCGCTTCGAGGACGAAAGCAAGCCGAAGATGTTGCTCAACCCGCTAGGCCAGCAAGAGCAGAGCATGGCGCCGTAACACGGACTACGAGAGGAATATCTTTTAGCAGCTCTGGGACACAGGATAGGGCCTACCCAATCCGCTCAGCCAGTGGCGCAAAGCAGAGTCAGCCGTACAAACAGCTGTGGGCCTTGCCTGACCCTGAAGCTCTACCCGAATCTCCGGCAGCCATTGCAAGCCCTATCTTAGTATCCCATGTCGAGGATTTAGGCTCCGTCAGCACCGAAGATAGTGGCGTTTCCATTGTGGCCGCGAAACAAATCGCTCTTAATATGGAAGCTTGGCTTGACACCATTGTCCACATAGTTGAGAATGGGGCAGACTGGGAGGTCTACAGCATGGTATTGGTACATTTGCCCTCCCAACTTACAAACCATGCCATTTTCCGGGGTGCCGTACCACAGGTTCAGGAACTTCGACGTGTAGTATGCGAACAGATACGGACAAACAATTTCCAGGAGCCGCCCAACTCTACTAGTCTGAGACGTGCGGATGTCGCCATCTGCCTCTTTCACAGTTTAACCATGATTCTGAGCTATCATGAGTTCTTCCTAAAGGATCAAGAGGACGAAATCGTGCAAGCCTTCGTCAAGGGTATATCTACTTGGGAGCGGTGCGCCAAGTACTGCATTCATGCCCTCTCGATCTGCTGCCACGAACTACCTTTATCCACGAGCAAGACTCTGGTGCAGATGCTGCAGAAGATGGCGCAAATTATCACCCAGCCACACGTAGCCATGCATATCCTAGAGTTTCTTGCCTGTTTGAGCAGAATGCAGAATTTGTTCGTCAACTTTAGAGAAGAAGAGTACCGCATTGTATTTGGAATTTGCGTCAGATATCTTCAATACGCACGGGACAAGAAGCACACTCAACGAGGTAGCATCCACAGCGAAGTGGCAACGCCAACCGGATCTTCAGCGCCAGAGATTATTCATCCAAACGCGGCTGATGACCTTCCCCAGTACGTGTATGCTTTGGCATACCATGTCATTACTTTTTGGTTCTTAGCATTAAAGTTACCAGATCGTGCCAACCATGTTGGATGGATTGCCAAGAACCTACTCACCGATGTCGATGGAGGGCAAAATTCCGAGGAGCAGGCATTGGTTACGCTCGATTTCATGCAAAGAGTGGCCTATGCTGATGCCGACGAGTCTTCCGAAGATCTACTGTTTACTAAAGAACGGTTCGGCGAAATTTTGAAGCGCCGCTGGTTGATGGGAAACAGTATCGTGACAATTGAGCAGTCAACAACCACCGGTTGGTCCCAAATCACCAAGCGTCAGCCATCTGGAACGTCCTCCTACATTGTACATGAAAATTTCCGACCACGCCCTGCTCATCAAGCCCAGTACATATCCGACGTATCTCGCGATGGGCAGCCAACCAACAACAACATACTACCTAGCCATATCATGGTCCAGTTGATGACTTCCACCCCGCAAACTGCAGACGGCGCTCGTCCAATTCCTCTCCCAGATGATGACGCAGTGCAACGAGCTGTCAGGGTATTCGACCGCAACTCAACTGTAGACGGGCACAAGGTGGGGGTCATATACATTGGCGAAGGCCAAACACAAGAGGCAGAAATATTGTCCAACGTGTCTGGCAGCAGCGACTATGTGGCATTCCTTAACGGGCTGGGAACCTTGACAAAGTTAAAAGGTTCCAAGTTCAATACGCAAGGCTTGGATAGAGAGTACAACACTGATGGCGAGTACACTTTCTGCTGGCGAGATCGGGTCACGGAAATTGTATTCCACGTTATCACGCAGATGCCAACAAATCTTGAGCGAGATCCACACTGCATTAACAAGAAGCGACACATTGGCAACGATTTCGTTAACATTATTTTTAACGACTCCGGAACGCCCTTTAGATTTGACACATTTCCGAGCGAGTTTAACTATGTCAATATTGTCATCACGCCAGAGTCAAGGGCATCATTCCTCGCAATGAGAGAAAACCCACCAAGCGAAAAACACCCACCTTTCTATAAGGTCCAGGTTATGAGCAAGCCCGGTTTCCCTGAGATCTCTCCGGCATCCGAGACCAAGATGGTCAGTCTGAGGGCGCTTCCAGGCTTTATTCGGTTATTGGCGCTCAACGCTTCCGTCTTCTGCCTTGTATGGGCCAATCGCGAAGGTGGCGAGCATGTCAGTTCATGGCGCAACCGCCTCAGGGAAATCAAGCGACTGCGCGAGAAATTTGGTCCCAAAAACGTGCCAAATAACAATCATCCATCGCACCCCCACCTGGGCCACCTGAACAGCGCCTCAACACCGTCACCGCCGCCAACTTCGCTTGGGGGTGCAGTTGTCGGTCCCAATCCTCAAGGAATAGACACAAAATCGGCCGCCAGCATGCGTGACAGCTTTAGTAGTCTCCGTCGGTCCTCAGTAGCCACGTTTTTCACTAGTACGAGCGAACAGACCAGCCATCGCAGCTCAATGCTGTCCACTACTACCAACGACACCGAGATCGTGCCTGGCAATGGCCTTGACTCATTGGTCGAGTCGGTCGACTTCTCCAAATGGGCGTAAAATATACAAACCTCAATCAGTCTTTACCCTATTTAAGTCTAGTAGCAATCAACAATAAAAGTTCGGCGTGGGCGTGTGTTGGGTAATGAAACAAAACATGTGTTGAAATCCTCAACACACGGCGTCTTTAATGGGATTCAAGGCACGGAAGCCAAGGGAAAGGGAGGAGGCGGCAGAATTTTTGGGAATGAATACCATCAAAAGTTTTTTATTATTTGCTTGAAAGGGGTCATACGTATAGGCTACCGTGTTTAAAAGACTCCTATTCATTTGTTATAATCTTCCTCTGTTCTTGGTCATCTGTATCAATCAACGGGTTGGATTTAAAGCTGATATCACGACGTGCTAATGTCTTGTTTACTTCCGCTAAGAACAATGACTGTGATTTGGTCCTACAAAATCTGTTTCTTAACGCATGTTCCTCCTCTGCGGTACGCATATCTGTTGGCACCAATGATATTACCCACAACTTTCCTATAAGCACCTTACAAAGCATTGATTGTTCTGCCCCGTAACTGCATGTGTATCTCAAGCACGGAATCGACTCTTCTTGTCGCCTTTCTATAAACACGTACTTTCCCAAAATCAGGTTCCACAGGCAATTCACCTTCTACCAACCAACTACAATCGTGCCTGAATTTACATCTACTCAGCCAGGACAGAGTAACTAGAAGAGTAGAACCATCGTCAGAGAGTTCAAGGAGCTTAAGAACATCAGGAATTGCTAATGTACCACCCACCTGAGCAGCCTCCCCCAATGATACTTGGCTTGGCATGGATAAGCCATGACAGATTACGACGACGTGGACGACGATTATGACAACACATCGGCGCTTGATCATCCATTTGAATCACCGAGCTCCTTCTTGAACATAAGTGAGATGTGCTCAAGTGTTGACCCAGAAGGATGAATCACGGTCATCCTCCAACGGTGCCTGTAGGAACGGAGCCCTTTGGTTTCTGGTGAGCTTTGGACACAGACTGAAACTTTGATTAAGCCAATATTTTGGTGCGTGTGTTCATCCTTCATGGTCTGCTATAGTAAGAGCTCATTGGCTCATGTATTGAGAACTGACACTTGAATTTTAACATGACCGAACACTTGCTTGAGTGGGTAGCAGAAAAAGCGCGTTTCGTGTTCCATTCTCAACGCTCCTTCGTTAGACAATGCAATACGTACGGTACCGTCCACAACCACATCCCACCAACCCCCGAAAGTAAGGAAAACAAACTGACAAGGGATTCCATTGACTGTCGCCCGTATTTCCTCATTTTAGCCTTTCCGAAAACACCGCTTGATTTGACTGTGCAAAAGCAGCAATCAGTCAATGCAAATAGGCTTTCCCTTCCGAGCTGTACACTTTACAAAAATACCAACTACCAGAAGAACCGTTTTACGTATGACTAGTGGCGGTCCAAAAACACAAATCCTTTTCCTCGGGCTTTCAGACACTATTCAGGCACGATACGGGTACACCAAAAGACACAGCTTGATAGTAGAGATAAGAGAAGGCATGGGATGAGGTCCTATCAAACAATGCTGTCGGCACACTGAAAGCTCATGATCCAAGAGAAAACGATACTCACAAATCAAGAACACAGCAAAATCGACAGAAATTCACACAGCACCGTTCTGATTCAAGAGGAGGTTTGATACTCATTAGCAACAAGCGCATTCAGGCAACGTCTCATGCAAAATAGATCAGTGAGGAAAGGCAGAAGTAGGGAGGGGGACTCAGCATATTCCGGCGTCAAAGGTGCCACATGCGTAGAATATAGGCGTTTTGTCGATGAAGCACCTCTTGAATGCACCATCGTCTTTACAGATCCAATACACATTTACCCCTCGGGCACAAATGTATCGAAGGTTCGCCCCTACCACTCTATCGTCCGCTATACCATGCTTTACTATACCCCTCAATAAGCCACGCGCGAGGCCTAAGCACCGCCCAAATCGGCAACTCTAGTAAACCTTCTACTATCGTAGCGTCCGCATCCAGAACCTTGGCAACTCCACAGTAGAAGCACTTGGCAACCTCTGGCCCTAACTGAACCGGTTCTACAAAAGTAAAGCCTCGTAAAATACCCAACAACGCTTCTTCTGTCACAAATTATCCTATCGGGGATCGCTCCAGATGAGTAGGCACAAGCTCTTGGTATTACTCTACTTAAACGCTCTTTATAGTCCGCCATGTTCGCATTCAGGTTCCATGAGACGAGACTGAGAGGTGGGACAACCCCAACTATGGTGCCTGAGCGAAAAGTATGAGCTTAGATACGATAGAGACAGACCTATTGGGCGCTTCTGACGGCGCTGGAACTCTCGTGCTTACATATTAGCGGCGCTCCGTGATAGGCCGGCTAGGTTTGTTTTGCCAAGGGGAACGAACGGTGTCTGATCCAACCAAATATCCCCTCTAACAATGGAAAACCATAATTTTTGTATGGTTATCTGTCTTAAAGCCTTACCTTTTAAAGGGAGACACCTCCAGCCTATTCACGTGCAGTTGCTAGTAGCCTCCTTTACTTTTCCCCTCAAAAGTTTGCTGTCATCTCTCACATCTTTGTCAAAACATTTCATGTTATTTGTCAATTACGAAAAGAACGGCTAGTTTGCAACAGGCTTTACAACACTGTTCTTTTCTCTCCCCAACCCCTGAAAGTTTCTTGACAATCCCTAGTTCTTTTTGTGTGATGGAGCCATAGAATGCCAATAATAAGCCAAGAGTATACCTCTAACCCCATATGCGTCTTCGTGACGTAAGCTACAGTTCTATCAAGAAAGATCTTTGATTCTACTCGATATTTTTTTGCAAAACACGCCCGCCACAGAGCCGCCAAGCCAGCAACTTAAGGGACTTTGGTGAAGTGGGGAGAGTAGATCGTGTAAGCGAGAGCCACACCATGAACACTTTCCTGCATTTTCCTCAAATGTCCGTTACTCGTCCTGGTTGCCTAGTTCTGGCTTGGTTCGAGTCAGAGATAGAAGGCACGTATTGTACATACCGTTTTTTCATCATTGTTGCCTCAAGACGGTAAGGTATAGATCAAGTCATCGTTGTGCTGAGCAGTGGGCACTCATGTACGGTTCGACACTCATTCCATCGCTACATTAGGTTGGAATATGCTGCATCCGGCAGCGGAAGCTCCGCTGCCCCTTGTCAGTCTATCGAGTAGAGGCGTTACAGGTCATGGGCACACATGGAGCATGGTATCGGTTTTGAGACAGAAACACCTGAAGCAAAGGTCCTTGATGGGCACCGCATCGGCTTGCCGGACCAATCTACTCCTGTAGTTACCCCGTGGATATTGTATCCAAGAGAGGACGAGGGCTTGGCTCGAGCATCTCTTTCCCATCAGTAGTAAAAAAAGCAAGAAATGAGAAGATGAAAAAAAGAAAGGCCGGTGAGATCAGCCGGGGTTCCCGGTTCCTTGGGACCTTGCCCGAGGCAAAAAAAAAAAAAAAAGAAGAAAAAAAAAACCGCCGAACATAATCATGTGGACTGTGTAAGCCGACGAATGCTGTTACCTGTGGGGCACCGTTCTCCGCACATTTACAAATCTTCCCCCTCTTATCTCTGACAGTTAGTTCTGACAATGAAAGCCAGCAGGGACAAATCAAGACCTCACATGACGCAGCAAGCGCTTGAATAGGTAATTGTTGCACGATGAACATTTCAATGCGTTGCCGAGAGGCTTCATGGTGGGTATAGTGTGTGTGAGTGTGTGTGTGTGTCTTGTGTCGGTCTTCTCAAGTACCCCCTGTCCGTCCCCTCTCTTCCTAGACACCCATGTCGGCTGCGCGTCAGCTTCGTTGGCTGGTCACCTTGCGGGCCGTGGGATGGACATACGCTTCTGCACCTAGGCGAGCACCCAGAGAGCGGCCGCCATTGATCACCTCGTGGGGAGCTTTCCCCTCGGAGGCAGGTGGACATGACCCGCAGCTGCTATGTCCTTGACACCGTAGTGAGAAGGGGCCCGGACCAGCGGTGACCTTAACAGAATAAAAGTACTGGGGTCTGGAGACTGATTTGCTGCGCCGCTGGGTTGAGCGGTTTCGGTCACCGTCCAGGCTGTCTGGAACCAGGCCGGCGGTGCGAATTACGTTACGTTATTGGACATGATAAAACGGTGTTTGTCAGTTAAATTCATATTATGGGCGACTAGTGCACAGGGATGGCCATGTAAAGCTGCAATTAGGGGGGATAAAACAGTAGTAGTGAACTTATCCACATGATGCAGGTCAGATGAGAGGCTCCCCGATAGGGTCTGAAAGAATCTATGGTGACTCTGAGAGAGCATACTGTGTATGTCGGGCACTCTTTGCTCCCACAAGCTGCTGCTCAGGTGTAGCCTGAATGAAGCTGAGGTGGCATGCCCCAAGCTATGTAGCTCTGTTCAAGAGCAGGAACTGATGAAGACCAATAATCCGTGATTTAACTTGCATCAATGATGCAGTAAAAGTCGGTACCTGCGACCAGGGATCTGGAGAACAAGGGTGGCTGTTGTTAGGCTTGGTCGGTTCGGTTGGCTGGTCGCACGTACGTAGTACGGAGGTGACCCCGGTGATGTGACCGGGATACCGGACACTAATCCAGTAGTCGGTCTGGTTCGGCTGCTCCCGGCCACCCGGCCAGCTTTTTGTCCCTGGTTTGAATGGTCTGCTTGCTTGTAAGCTCTGACCAGATTGGAGACACAGGGTCTGTGTGTAAGCTGTTCATCAGATCATGGAAAGAAATTTCAAAGGTCTTGACTTCGTGGGTGCTAGACACTTTAGGCGAGACATGCTGATATGGTTATCGGCCTGCCTGATCAGCAACGACGGAACCGATACAGTATCTGACACCTTCGGCTCCGATGTTTTGCAATTGTCGGTTGAGCTTAAATAACCTGCTTCGTGTTGAGGCTCTTGGCAGGAAAGTCAAGAACGTTCACCAAAACTCGCCAGTGCGGCCCCTCTTCCTCAGCTGTCTGATTTTAATCTCACCAGCTTGTGAAATCCTTTCAGTCTTTTCTATCCATGGCTTCCACTGATGCGGAGACTAGAGGGGAAACAGTTTTAGCTTTGTAAGCCCAGGCGAACAGAAGCGTTACTGGGCAGAAAAAAAGGACGTATAGCCCCCAGGGGTGAATCTGGCCCTGGCCCGGTTCTGTTTGTTGGATAGTTGTAAAGGGTTAATCCCACGTTTGGCTCCACCCAACCCCTCGCTGGCCCCGTATCAAACTCTTTTATGAGCCTTGTCTTGCCAGTGGGTTCAGACTAAAGAAGACATTACACTGATTCCATGCGTGTCGTTGGACTAGTCAATTTTGGTAGGGTGAGGCAGATTCTCATCAACCCTCACAGAGCAGGTGATAACTGACCACTGGGGGAAGTTTGTGGCAAAACACTGACCGACCGCCCACTGCTGACAGATGATACTTATGATAGGTGCCACGATTGTTCATCATGTGTCCGGGTCAGGCATGGTCAGCACTACAGAGGGCCGTCATTGGGGCGCTGTGCTTACTGTCCCATGGCCCCTGTCTAGTGTTACGGTGGGGGAAAGCCACTCTTCTGCTGAAAGTTGTGCTGCAAGATTGAGACGCACTTGATGGTTCAGGACTCCCGAAAGGGAAACTAATGGGCTGCCCGGAGCCGACTTTAACAGCCGTGGCTTCTTGTACACGAGCCAGTCATAGTAGTCCGCCATCAGTTGACCCGGAACACGCCCCGCATTCAATGTGCAGGCATCCGGTAGTCGAGATGTATACAACTTGCTGTCTTGGTACTGCAATGTTAGTACTGAGCAGTCTCATGGCGGTCAAGAATCGTCAGCAGAGAGTGCAATGCTTTAACTGTTGTGACTTGGTCCAACGGGTTCGTCGTTGACTGCAATCGTCTTATGTACGTAAGGATCTGCACTCAAACCTTTCGCCAGACGTCTTTATATCTTGCCCATTCTCGGAAGCCTACCCGAAGATATTAGATTCCGGCTGAGGGCAAACTAGGATGGCACTTACCGAGCGACTGAAAGCCAGTTTCCCCCCCCTTGACTCCGTCAATAAACATTTGCCGCATACCCCGCTCGGCCAGCATTTTGACGCAGGTATCGAGCAACCTAATCATAACCGAATCTCGACTATTTACCATCTCGCGGTTGTCGTCTGGATTCTTGTGAGCCCATTGAAATCCTCTGCCACTTCCAGTGTTACACAAACCTGTGATGCAAATGCATGTTACTCCCCCAACATCTGTGCCGATTGACTTGGCCCAGGGGAGATCTTCATCGACCGGGCTTCCAGAGTTGGGTATATAAGTCAGGGCGACTGCCACTATGGTTTCGCCCTCAAAGCCGAGAATGATGTCTTCGATGTGAGGCGTGCCATCGAGTCTGGCATACTGATCGTACCACCCCATATTGCCTTTCCGGACTGCGTCTCGGTCCACGATTTCTAGGGCTAGATGAAAGTCCATGAAGCTACACCGCCTAAAACTCAAACCTGCTGACGACAGAACTGTTACTGGCATATCGTCGAATTTTAACAGCCAATCCGAGGCCTCCAGGCCTTGGCCTGGCTGTTTACCATTCACTTGCCAACCTCGACGTGAAAACCACTCTTTCGCAAAAAAGTCCGATGGTACCCCATAAAGAAGACGCGGAAATGTTGACCCAAGCTGAAGTCGATTGACACCCCGAGTCCTCTGTAGCTGCTTTAGCGCAAAGTTGTGGAGGCTTAGCCCTATCCCCCGTCCTCGATATGCGGTCTTCACAATCAAGATTGCCAATGAGCCGAGCAGATTTTCCTGGTCACTATCTGTGAACGTGGTATAGGTCGCACAAAAACCGACGATTTGTCTGGTTTCTGGTTCTCGTACGACGTAGTTCATGGCGTATCCATCTCGCCGGAGGAGCAGCACCAGCGCATACAAGGGGAGGTGGTACCTCGGGGGCAGGCACTCTGTCCATAGTTGGTGAATTGGTGTCATGTCGGGGCCGCAAACCTCTGCTGGCCAGTGTTGCGGCGCAATAATAAGATTCTGTACGGGAACAGCGTTGGTGATAGAAACTCGTTGGTCACCAAATATGATGGAAGCGGCCAGTTCGAGATCGGACGGTATGTATCCTGTGACTTGTACGATGGTGGCAAAATCGTGGGCGGTTACATCGTAGACTTGAGTGTTGCAGCATGCCACAAGGATCTGCGGGCGTTCGTTGGCCATAGACCGTGCGACATCAGCCAGCTCAACCTGAGAAACATCACCATCTATAGGTGGCCCAGAAATCACGAAAACAATTGCTTTTGCTCTCTTTATGAACTCGAAGTGGATGTTGTTGATGCCGCCACGTTTTGTGTAAGGTACATGACGCACCATGGAATGTCGTGTGGCGATGGCACGGCCAAGCGGTTCAAAAGGGTCGCTCTCATTCTTGACATGTCCGTTATCAGGGACAACGACGGGTGTGAGAAGTACAATTATGTCGTCTTCCAAAAGAATCTTTTGCAGAGGTATGCAGTCTTGTCGGTCCCGGACCAGTGTTGCCGAAGCACTTTGCGTAAGACTTGGGCTATTCCTCGATCCAACATGATGGTCGATTTGCATTTCCGGGGAGTACCTCATGGCGGAGATGTTTGAGCGTCGTTAGCTTTAACTCATCCCTGCATAAGTCAGTGAGTGCATGGTTACAAAGTGGGCGAGAACCGTGTTGTGTTATTTGCAAGCTTAGATCAACTTATGGTAATAGCGAGACTAACTTTTCCAGCTGGTAAGGAGATGCCATGCACCCGGCATGAGGAGACCGCAATTCCGGTAACCCTATCTGTGGCGCTAAGCTGACTGAGTCTTCCTAAAAGTGGTGAAAAAGAACGATGGTAGCTAGAAAACCGGATAACCCGCAGAGAATTGACCAAGTTTATGGCAGTTTGTCTGGTTGACAGGAGTAGCAGGGGCGGGCAGTTTGAGCGCGAATATGGGACAACTAGTTGGTATCGGATGGTTTGGAGTTGAACGCGGCACAATAAGACATCCAATGCCTGTTGCTGAGCAGTTTATCAAGCGAGCAGCCACTTGAAGTGTTGGAAGTTTTCACCGAGTGAACGGGACGGCACAAGCCTAAGCATGAGCTAAAAAAAAAAAGGGGGAGACCGGAGGAGCGTTATGTCGGAAACAGTTGGTGGCAACACAGACGATGCTTTATTCTATCTCTCAGTCGAGTATAGAAGGGGAAAGCAAGTCAGGCAAGGTTGTGCTCACGTCCAGCAGTCGAGAACATCGAAAGAAGAACGACGGGAAGTTGAGGGATCAGCAAGTCTAAATGTTATCAATTTCATGTTTGCAAAGAGGAAGAGGATGGTTACACATACCGTGGCCAGCTAGTAAACAAGAGTCTAAGAAAACGATGTACTTGGGGAAGGTCTTTATCCTGATAGGTGTGGGAAGGGCGATGCATAAGGGCAGCAAAGAGTGGGGTGTGTACAAGAGGGACCGGGTGAGGGACAGGGCCGGCCGGGTTGACCGAATGGATAATCATGTACAGCGTGAGGGAAGAAAATCTTGAAAACCCCCATGCATAGAGACATCATCATAATGCTGCACAATTTCTAAATAACAGTCGTGTGTAAGAGCAAGGCAGTGTGGATGAAGGACAAGAGAGAGCGCGCGCAAGCGGCTAATGTCCAAGGCCCTCCACGCTTCATGCCGTGGGTGGGGCTTGGTTACAATGAATCAATCAATCAATGTCGTCGTGATTTCTTGGGCTGGGGGGACATATGACTTGCGATGACAAGTTAGTTTGTGTGTGTGGTGAGTGTGTATACCCATGAATGGGATGAGGGAGGGATGGGGGGGAGGGAAGGATGGATGGCTAGACGGATGGATCCCCAATGCAACCGGAGCGGTACGGGGCGGCAATAGGTCCGTTTGCCATTTGGGGGGGAGAATAACGGAACAATGAGGGACGGATCTTTCACCTAGACATGCTGACCACCGCACAAACCATGCAGCTGCCACTTAGCAACACGAGGGTGTTAGGGGGTTAGAGTACGTTACACAACGTTGCTGCAGATGGAAATTGACTTTGACGCAAGGTGAGATGACATGGGAAGCGTAAGCAGACGCCAGCGCACGGCGGCCGAAAGGTGACACAGAGCCAAGATGATAACAGGCAACTTGCGCCGAAGTTGATGATAATTGCTCAACAAACCCCCACGGGCGGTGAAGCAGACTTGCTGGAGGGGCTATTGTGAAGGCTAACACGAAGGGATTTGAACCCACGAACTTGGGGCTAGAAGGGGCAATCATTTGAAGCACGAGTGCTTGTCATTGAGTACCAGTACCATCCATCCATCCATCCATGGCCAAGGCCTGGTGATTTAAACAAGAAATGGACCAGGATGCCCACTGGGAGTAGCAAGGGGGAAAACAAGTTGCCAGGCCAAATCAGGATCAAAATTGGCCTGGTTGGTGGTACTTGTCAGGGTATAAAAAATAGGGTTTACCGGGAAAACCCAACCGATGAAAAAAGGAGAAGGAAAAGACGGCACAACAGGGGCGAGATGTCAAGTCTCTCTCGGCTGTGGAGACGTCGGGCCGCGAAAGATGACATAAAACGTTGAACCCTAGGAAATAAGAGACAAACAGGGTCGTTGGTGACTCGATTTGGGCTGATTCGATGCAACTGGTGATTGGTATGTGTATGTGCGAGACGAATACGGCAGATGGACGAGTGAAGGGGGTTTCGACGGCTGGACTTGGACCATGCTACTAGCGATTTGTTGTTGGAGTTGTTTGATGCGGTCTGGAGGAGAAAACAAGCAAGTATCAGATCTGAATTCCGGCATCAGCACGTAAGAAATCTTGAACAAAAAACAAAAACCATGCGTGCCCATGTATGCGGTGGGAGGAGGTGGAGGCAAAGAGAAATGTGGTTTCCTGTCATGGGTCGAGGTTGGCAGAAGGATTCTGGCGAGGCATTTGTGTAGCATGCTTGTGAAACCATGAAGTCAGGTAGGGGAGGTAAGCCGCTATCGGTCAGCCATCAGGGCTAGGCAGAGGCAAAGAAATCTCGTCTTCCAGATATTTGGGTCTGCTTCTGATGTCGCGTGCCGTGGGTACCGTAAGACAGCCGAAAGCCCGCATGCTGTCCATCTGATCCATGTGTACAATGGTGTAAGGGGGGACTGTGACGATGGAAGTTCTGGAGTTGCGGGACGGGGCCACCAGTAAGCGTGCTTTGGTGTACTATTACTACTGCATGGGTTTTCGTTGGAGACGGTGCCCACCGTCCCCGAAGGTTAAGGCACAGTAAGTAAGGTAGTCAGGTAGTGTGCAAGGTGAGTGTGGTTTCTCTCACCTTGGAGTTAGGTACCCATAACCATACGTCAAAACGGAAGCCAGTGGTGGGCGGGCGCAACAAGACATGACCTTACCGAGACCCACCTTTCCTTCCCAATGTTTGCTGTTGGTGCTCCTGCCTCCCTAATACAGAGAAGTTACGGGCAAGGCAGGCAGGCAGACAGGCAGGCAAGTAGGTACCTCCCTCATGGTTATTATTACAGAAACTCTGCTCTAATTAATCCGTACCAATTACCAATTGTTTCTACCAGTTCAACCTTGTCAAAAGCTCCCCGCCACTAGGGTTTTTCGTGCAACCCAACATAAGGCAGTAATAAGCCCACACATACAGGCGGTCTCTTACGTAGTACTCCCAATCTGCTACTGTAGCTGCTGCTGTACAGCTCGAGCAGCGTCCTGGATTCGCCACTATACAGCATGTCATGAGAAATCGATTACGTTTGTCTGTGCCTTGTCCTGATTGTGCATCAAATCGGTTCACCTGTCGCACCAAGTCCTTCTCCGATCTTCCTTCACAGTGGACGACGATATTATCATCTTGGATCGCGAAGTATCCATGTGCCTCACATCTCACAAAACTCCGGCTTGGCCCTCAAAAGCTCATGACCGACTTTGGAGCAAGTCCGGGCAAATAAGAGTCGCTCGTGGAAGCCAAGGCGGCTTCTACGCCGCTTACATACCTGCGGTCGGCGAAAAGGCCGCAGCAAGCAGCTTATGGGGATGGGCTTGGGAAGACTGGTGAGCAACCCAGTGGCAATCTTGCCCACCATACAGCGTTGTGCACACTACTCTCCTGCAAGACGCTCTCCTGCAGCTCCACGATGATCATCTTTGTTTCTTCGCTTTTCGTGAGCCGCAGCAGTCAGCTAAACACGCTGAGATCGGGCATGATGTGACATCCGGCAGCAATCATTAAGCATGGTCATATCCTCAGATCATAAAGTATGTTCCCACTTATTCTCATAGGCGAAATGTGCAGGTCCTATTTTCCGGTGATCAAGAGTCCAGCACCCCTTCAGTGTTGCCAAGAGCCATGTTGAATTATCGCTCACCGAAGCAAAGGAAAAGGGCTACCATTGGCGCTTACCAGTTTCGTGTACTTCTAGCGGGTTTTGCCGCTGACCGAAAGAGCTCCCCCCCACACTGGCCCAACGGCATAACCGTCATACGCCCGTGTAGCGCTATACCTCTTCTCCAGACTCCAGTCTGCTTGGCTAGCCCGACCCCGGCCGCTGAGGCACCGTAGTGGGGCACACTCGGCCATTAACAGCCATGAGGTCTACATTGGTATGTGTACCACTTTTTTTCGGTCTAAACGCGCTCACCTTGGCCTTCTCTCACCCCGCGACGCGTCCCTCCGTCCGTCAACCGCGACGGAACCAGGACCGGCGCCGGCATCGTAGCCTCCCTACGGTATATTTCCAGTCGGCGAGCGGAGCTTTTATGCCGCTTGATAGGAGCACACAAACTTGGCTAGAATGGACTTGCCCTCTGACGAAATGTCCCTGGACGGAAGCGACGGCATCGATCTTCTGATAGGAGATGTCGTTGACGGTGAGATTTGGCTCTAGTCAACTCAGGTAAACACTGCGATGCTGACCTGCCGTCAATTCTCTAGCCTCCAAATTGCCGGCCAAGAGGCGCGCCACAAGCATCAAGCCCACTGTGCAGAAGATCGCTTCATCCGCTTTTGAAAATGGTCTGCTGCCTGAGCCGTTGAACGAACTCATAGATCTCCTCACGCGGCCAAGCTATCTAGATCAGGCGAGCTTGAACGCTCTGGTGAAGAATCTTTACCCGGCAACACGCTTGTCTAGTGACGCTATTTTGAGGATAGTGGGATGTTTGGGCCATGGCGAATTGAAGCCTTCTTTAGCCTTGCAGTCAAATCTTCTCAAATGGTTGATCATGGTGTATCACATCATTGAGAACCCTGCGATACTTTCACAGGCTTACGCCGTTTTATTCAACCTTTTAGATACGGCTGCCATTCGGTGAGTTTCTCTTCAACGTGCTTCACAGAAGAAAAGGGAGTGCTGACAGGATAAAGACCGCAGCTCTGCCATCTTCTTGCTTTGATAACACGCAGAAAACATGTCCGGCCGTTTAGGATCCAAGCCGTGTAAGTATGCATTATGCCCATTGCAGGGAATTCTGGTGCTAACGGTAAGCTTAGCCTTACCCTATCAAGGAACACCGGCAACGATCCAGCATTGACCGGTCTTCTCCGGGTATATAAAGACTACTATCCCGAAATCATCGTCAGTGATGCCCTGAGAGGCAAGGCAGCAGCGTTCAAGGTGAACTTCACTGCATCTGGAACATTGTAAAGGCCATTCTGACATCTGCAGCACCCTGACGTGGAATGGAGAGAGAGACTTGACAAGATCCAGAGAGATCACTCCCAGCGCACTGCTGAGGCTACTGGCCAGCCTCGGAATGGTTTCAGCGTGAACCACCAAGTTTTGAAAGCTCGTGGTGGCAAAGGGTCACATCTCCCTTCGCTACACACCTCAGATGCCACAGAAGTGAGGAATCCATGCTTGACGAGGTATATGCCAGGTCTGTAGCTGACAAGAAGTATTAGAATTCCGTCACGCTTGAGGAGATAGACAGTGCCGACCGCCTCGCTCAAAACGTGGAAAAGATTGAGCTGCCAAACCAGTTGGCAGCAGTCTTGGCGGATCCTCTTCTTCAGAAATTCATTGCCCTGAAGAAAGATAGCGCAGCATCAAAGCGCGTGGTCCTTTGGATCGATGCCACTCTCGAGGATGTGCTCAATGGAAACGCTGACGAAAAACACTTCCGAGACACGCTGGAGATACTGGAAGAATACGTATATCGGGTCAAGGTAAGTGTTTCCATGCAGCATCAAGTAAACCAACCTGACTTTGTAGGAAACCCCGTCCGTTGTCATGAACTTCCTTGCCAAGCTGTTCACCACCTGGAACGGTGTAGATGCACAAGACCCCATTCTCAATATACTCTCTTACGCGCCACTTGCATCATTTGAAGGTTGGTCAATTGTGAAACCACACTGTCCGTGGCCTTACTAACTAGGCAAAAGAACTTTACAAATTCATTTTTCAGCCTTTAGAGAGATGCCTCCCACCAACACCTGAATCCCAACTCTCGCTCATCAAATTATACCGGAACCTCATCCGTCATTGGACCTTTGTCATCGGCTCCTTTAATTCAAGCCCTCCGGAAGCACACATAAGCGCCTTTTACGAAGTTATGGAGCATGCCGGCACCACCGCTTTGAACTTCGTCCAGGCTCATCCAAGTGTCGCCGTTCATGGAAGCGTGCTGGATCTCTACGAACAAGCCGCCGCCAGCATTCCCGACCCGATCCTACAGCCTCTAATCCGGATAGCAAATCCGCCTGCGGAACTCATCTATCTCCTCTTCTTCAGCCACTCCCTCGCTAATGTATCACGGCTCTGTGCTGTTCTCGCTGTTTATAAGAAGGGTTTCGAGACTGCCATGTCACGCCGTCAGCCGACGACCTACCTCCCGAGCTACGTTAACCACTTTAACGGCTTCCTGATGGATGTCTGTAACTGCCTCTGGCGCGGCAAGGCTTTCAACGATGCCGATAAGAACGCTCTTGGTTGTTTGAGCCCCCATGCCGTCACTCTTCGTCTGCAGCGCTACGTTGAAGACTTGGGCGAGGATCTGACGCTGTCTACGCTCTTTGGCTTCTCCTACTCGCCCTTGTTGAGTTTGCAATCCATTCAATGCATCCGAGAGCTCGAAGACAAGAAGTTGACGGAAGATGGAAATGCTATTGCGATAAGGCACGCCGGCCCCGTCACGGCTAACAGCCTGGCGAGGTTGGCTGATGCCCGAGGCTTACGCATGACGTGGTCTGAATACCGCATAATTGTGCTGCATGCGCTGGAGGCAAAGGGCCAGGGTGGAATCCCGGCGCTGATGAGGAACACCATGAAGGTTCTCATGGGCTCCCAGCCTGGGAGCTAAGCAATGGCTCACAAAGGATACGAGTCAATCACGTTGGCATCAATAATAGAGTCTGAGGGTAGGTAGTCGTGATACCCGCTGCGAGTGATTCGTGGCACGAATGTAAATATATATATGTTTAACGTACAACGTCTGTCTAGTTGAGTCGACAGAGTTCTTCTAGCGCATGTATAAATCCCCTTTTCAGTTGAAGACGTAGGATATCTAAAGGTATAAGAACCGAATATAAGTGTGCTGTTGTTGAACAGATGCAACCAAACGCCTTCAAGTGGGCAAGTTGAAAACGCCCACTCCCTTCCTTTTTTTTAATCCGCTCATAGTATCTCCTCTTTGTGCTTCAAGGTGTAGTTGAAAGACACACCAATGCCAAGTGACCCAATCGTCATCATGATGTTGAAAAAACGCCCTTCATAATGCAGTTGAGTGCCATATGCGCCGTTACAATATCCGCCCAAAACGATTTTGTTGAACAAGACAACCTCCCTCCCTCAAACAAGACAACCGGAAGAAAAGACGAGCTTATTTCAGCTTATCAGACTCGTCGCCGTAACCTCCGTAACCACCAGCGTCATACGTCTTGCCCTCAGGGCCAACTCTGCCCTGCGAACGCGGGCCGCGGTCCTTCAGGTCCTTCCGCAGCCATCCCAGAACCAGCTCGCCAAGCGTGCTGTTGCCGCTGCGCCCGTCAACGCCCTCGAGGAACTTGTCTGCCGTATTCCACTCCCTGACGGTGCCGAGGTGCATGTGGACGAGGTGCGTCGGCCATCCAGCAAGGTTATCCAAAATATGCGTAGCATAAACAATGGTGCACTCGCGGATCTCGGTCTCGTGGCGCAGCCACCCTAGGAACTCAGCTCTGCTAAGCACATCAAGATCAACAGTGATCTCGTCCAAGAGCAGAATAGTCCAGGGGCGGATGAGTCCCATTGCAAGCTGCACGCGACGGCGTTCACCGTCCGAAACAGCGTGCATGCGCCAGGCCGTGTCGATGTCGAGCACAGAGACGAGCTCATCGCGACGCTCGGGGTATGCATCACCGCCGACGCTGCGGAGGAGCTCGACGACGCCGATGTCGGTTCGCACGATCGGGTTGAGAACCCACTCCAGTCCCAGGTAGGTAACGCCCTCTAGTCCCTCCTTGAAGGGGTCGACGCCGCCGATGGCGATGCCGCCTTCGGGTGCGAGGCGCTTGCCAGCGAGCAGACGAAGGATGGTGGTCTTGCCGGCACCGTTAGCACCGATGAGGAGGGTGCGCGATCTTGCGGGGAGGGAGAGGGAGACGTCTTTGAGACCGGAAGTAGAGTCCGGGAACTTGTAGCTGAGGTTTGTCACCTCAACGGTGGGGGATTTTTGGGCGGCCATTGTTCTCGTTGTAACGAACAAAAGATATGAGAGGAATCTGAAGAAGGTGATGGATGGGATATGTAAGGGTAGGAATATGAAGAGGCGGTTGAAAATTTTATGAGAAGTTCGAGTCACTATTACACCGCCCCGCGACTGAAGGCGTCATGACCCATTGGCGGGATGAAGTGGGATGGCTCGACCCCGAGGTAAACCCGTGCTCGCTGATACGAGCGTAACAGCTATCTACCACTTTCCTATTAGTCTTTCTTAAGATATAGCGAGATACGCGGAAAACTACCCCTCAATTGTGAGTATAGGAGGGGAGAACCCCACTGTGGCTAGGTAACTTCAGGGAACCGATCGTCTGGGTCTAGGGTGCTGCCAAAGCCATAGGGGGTGATCCTCGCACTCCATTTACGCCAAAATTCGCGACTTCTCCCGCCACAATTCCTCCCGACGCGTCTGCCATCGTATCCTAGCTTCAACATTTGCTGCCACAGCCATTGACATCCCCCCAAGAGCTCCTCACCTTGACTACAGCTCGACAAGTCAAATAGTGGGATCGCAGATTCAAATAATCAACATGGTGACCCTCGATGAAGTCACGGCACTTTTGCAAAAGCCATCGTAAGTCCTCACAAAGTCTCCCTACGATACTATGCTCATCGGGACAAACAAATTAACGTCTCCCAGTGATGCAACCGCAGCCTCGTCCTCCGCCCTCATTCGTGCTCCCTCGCACTACAAACCTCTCAGTACCTTCGCCCTGCCAAAGGAACGCTCTTACCAGCAGCAATTTGCCGACGTTTACTTCCTGCGTCTCACCTCCATCCGACCCGCCGTTGATGCCGTCGCCGCTGAGGCTTGGGATGGTACCGTAATCGGCGGCGAGGAGGCCCGCCACGTTAACCGTGTTCTAGATGTGCGTCAGGGTGAACTGTGCTGGGTTACTGGAACAGTCTACATGGAAATGGCCCTGAAGCCCAACATTCTGGAGGACGTTTCCAAAGATGTACGTTTGTTGCGAAAGCACATCCCAGCGTGTGCTTGGTAAACTAACAACCTTCAGCGCTGGATATCTGCTCCTATCTCCACAGACCGCTACTATTCCGAGGACGATGCGGACCAAATCATGCTCGAGGACGACTCTGGCCGCGTCCGCCTCGTCGGAGACGTCCTCAAGTCTATCCACCTCGTTACGGGCTGCATCATCGGCGTCATGGGCACTGAGAATGCAAATGGCGAATTCGAAGTAATTGACGTCAAGTTCCCCGACCTCGCACCGCAACCCAGTCGGTGGTCCCTCACATCCCCTCCTTCTGATGATCACGACATGTCCGGCACGCCCTCACAACGGCCGTCCTCCAAGATCGCCATCGTCTCCGGGCTTTCCTTCTCCGGCACAGACGCATCCTATTCTCTCGAACTCTCTCTCCTCCTCGAGTTCCTCCTTGGAGAGGCTCTTTCTTCCTCGACTCAAACAGATTTGACGGCCATCTCCCGCCTCATCATCGCGGGCGACTCCATTTCCACAGCGTCGGCGAACCCGGTCCTGAAACCGGTCGATAGTAACAGTAAGAAGAGCGCAATCACAAAGAAATACGGCTACGATGCAAGCGCGTACAACCCTCTGCCAAGCCAGCTTTTTGACGAATTCCTCGCCGACCTCCTACCTTCGATTCCCGTTACACTCATGCCGGGCGCTCAGGATCCTGCCAACGCGAGTTACCCGCAGCAGGCGATCCACTCGGCCATGTTCCCTCGTTCGAGGCCCTATGCTTCCACTCCGGACGCTAAGGAGCCTGGCTGGTTTGACACGACCACTAACCCGTGGGAGGGCGAGATCGAGGGTTGGAGGGTCCTAGGTACAGGCGGTCAGAATATTGACGACGTCTTCAAGTACGTCGACAGTGATGATAGGCTGGGAATGATGGAGGCAACGTGTAGGTGGAGGTGTAGCGCGCCGACAGCGCCGGACACACTCTGTAAGCCCCCTGCTCACTCTCACTTTTCTCTTCGTTAGAGGTATCTAACATTTTCCAGGGGCCTACCCATTCCAAGATGACGATCCGTTCGTTATGAAGAACGCCCCCCATCTTTACTTCGTCGGCTGCCAGCCCGAGTTCTCCACAAAGGTTATTCAAGGTCTCGAAGGACAACAGGTCCGGCTGATTACCGTTCCTTCGTTCTCGGAAACCAAAGAGATTGTCCTTGTGGATACGGAGACATTAGAAGTCTCCAAGGTTAAAATTTCGACAGCATCATAAGGAAAATGAGTAGCACATGTTGAGCACAAGACGGTCATGATTTTATATACCCCCAGAGCTATGAAGATGATGGAGCAGTCTCTACCAAGAGCAGAGAGAATTAAAACTGCTAGAAAACTAAATTTAAATTAAACCACGTACTTCATTATGGAGGAAGATGCTCGAGAATTTTGCTCATGCATCTGTCAGTCGTCCAAAGGGCTCGTTCCATGCACCCGCAAAAGTGAGGATATCCAGAGCATTTTTCATCTTAGCCGAAACCACTGTAGCCAACGCCCTCGACTGAAACGCAAAAACAAAAAAACATCAGGGTACTGCCAGTTTCGCAGAATAGTTGCAGAGTCCTCAATCATAGTCCTGCCCCCAAAGAAGGTCATCGTCCGTGTCCTCTCCGTCAGATTTTTGCAACTCAAGGAATTCAGCGTTGTCCTTTTGCCAGGCCTCTCGAATCAGGGACGGGAGTGTGTCGATTTGTCTCTGGGCCTTGCCAGCCTCGAGGCTTCTATACTCCTTCATTTGTACATCTCCCTCCCATGGATCCTTCTCGCCACGACGGGCGCGTCGGAGGTTTGCGGCGTACGTCATGTTGACCCTGATGCATTCCTGGCTAGTCTCGCTTGTGTTGACGTAGATTTCGATGAATTGGCAAGGCAGGCCCCGCAAAGCCTTGGTGACTTCAGAGGTATTCTCAAAGAAGTTAAGGAACGTCAAGTCGCCAATATCGTCGTCGTATCTGGGCGTGATCTCGATGGCAATGGTGTGGATCCGCGGTCTGAGAGGCTTGAGGTTGCGGAAGACGGAGATGGCGTTAGCCATACTCAATAGGTAGCCCTTCTCAGTGCGGTTAGGCTCAGCGACAACCTTGATGTGGCGAAACTTGTGTCCGAAACGGCGAATATCAATTTCAACCTGAGGATCTTGAGTCGACTGTTCTATGGGTGTTGAGCCCTCGTCTTCAGTGTACTCTGCATCGCTGTTGTCGTCATATCCAGACCCCCGGTTTTCCACAACAATACTGGGGTGTTGGACCACGATTTCATCTTCGCCAAACTCGTCAGTTGTGGGAGGTGATATTGTCTCTCTCAGGAGGTACAAGAATTGGTTTTCTCCGTAAAGAGTGTTAATGGCCTCATTTCTGACTTGGCGGCAGACTCGCAAGATGGACGTTTCGAGACAGGGGCGATTTCTGGGATACACTGCGGACCAGCCCTGCCGGACTCGCACAGGGTTATCGGCCACAAGGAGATATCTGTAAACCCTTTGTCTGATTTCAAGGGGGAAAAGTAGGAATGAGGTTTCGTTCGGAAAATTACCTACTTCCTTGACCGCTTTAGTCGTCTCTTCGACGCCTTTCTTTTCTCCCAATGGTCCCCTTTTGGAAGATTCTGGGTTGGCAGCGCTGGAGGAGCTGCCACCTCCTCCGCCATCGGATTGAGTTGGAACTGAAGAGCGCCCCGGTTTGGCGATTTCTTTCCCCTTGCCCTTGTTCTTGGTTGGTGTATTGGCTTTTTCAGGTTCCTTCCCTATGGGTGGAGGTGTAGAAAAGACAAGGCTGGGTACTCCCCATGTATAATGAGCCGTCGACTTTGCTGCAAATGTTGCGCCGTAGTCTCGCGATGGGGGCAATTCACGATGTGTGAAATCATCGTAGCCCCAAAGCTTCTTATTGCTATTTTTCTTCTTGCGCCTCTTGGAAGGCTTGTTTGTACCATCATCTTCGCTGTCTTCCTCGGCGATTTCAAAATTGCGTTTCTTGGCATATTTGAGGACTGCCGAGGGTATTGGGCGCTTAGGGGCAGCATTCTTGGTTGAGACGCGCCTCTTTCCTTTGAAAGATTTGGGCTTGTTATCGGATGAGCTATCTTCAGTGTCTCTCTGGACCTCAGTTGGCTTGGATTTCTTGCCTGGAGCCATGGTGAGATTATGGAAAAGCCTGCGATAGCCGTCTATATCCGCTGGTTAACTGAAATTTGGGAATATGCCGGGGCAATATCAACTTAAATAATGCCGTACGGCTCTAAAATAGATCATCAGTACAAATGCTGAGTTCTTTGTATGTGAGAATGAGCTGCTGCTTATAGCTTCGCCCTGCTGCTTTTTTGCCAGGCAATATTAGTCGTCTTTGCTAATGCAGCAACTTTTTCATGGTACCAGAGGCACTTCTGCCAATAGAGAGAGTCTTATGAAAGGAATTTTGAGTCAGAAGTCGTCTTGGTGAAAGTGGCTGAACTGGAGTGGTCTCTGAACAAGATATTAAGTAAGTGCAGCCCCTGCGGCCCAGGGGCTCTGATTTGTAAACCTCGAGCGAGGTGTCAATAGAAAGAAAACGAAAATAGAAGCCTCTTTATTTGATTGCAAACCTTCTACAATATCTTGCTCTTTAACCCAGGAAGGAGCGGCAGGTCTACTGGATCTCAAGAAAGAAATAGTGAGAAAGGCCTGTTGTTTGTGGGTCCTGAGAAGAAAGAAGAGTGCAAAAGAGCGTTTTCAACACTTTGTTGCTGTTGTGATTCAAAGTCAAAGGAGCCAAGGGAATTTTCTCTGGATAATTTGGCAAGTCCAACTAATAGGAAGAGTGGATATTGCTGCTCAGAGTTACGTGCTCGTAAAGGTGGAAAGAGATTAAGATATTTAGATGGAAAGAAGAGATCCTGAATCTATGAGCTTGCGGAAGAACTGGCTCCTAAGTTGATGAGAACAGGATTGCCGTTTTTGCAGGTGAGGAAGGGGAGAATGAATGAAGGGAAAGCTGTATGACTCTTAAGGTAAGTGCCTTAAATGCCTTCACTGACGCCTGCCGCTTTTAAAAAATATGGAAAATTAAAAGTTGCAATAAAAAGACTACTGGGGAGTATTCGAAATATTATCATAAACCTGTTCAAATGTTTTTGAAAAGCCAAGGTGTGTGCGTGTCAGTCCAAGGTTTCTTTCGACTAGCAGTAAAGGCAGGATTCATGTTAGACGTAACGATGACTTTTTGGCTACGACTAGAAACTGACAGTGTAGGATTCAGTAGGTATCATTCCTTTAGCGACAGCTGAGTTTAAGTGCAAGTTGTAAAGAGCTGGGCCAGAGACAAACTTGTTGATTATCAGGTCGTTCTGTTGAAACCAGGGAACCGAGATCCATGTTCTTATGGTGTCAGATGAGATTGACGGTAACAACTATATTAGAAGAGGAGAATCGAGAACTGAGGTTTTCAACTTTGATGGCAGAGGATCAACATGGCCACCTTCAGTACATCTTCGATCGACCCTGACAGCCTAGCATACCGCACTTTCGCAATATTAAACCATGTACAAGTAACCAAACAGCTTCATTAATGCCAGCAGACCAGCCCACCCTTTGAATCAAAACACCAAAGCCCAAGGCGAGCAGGGTAATTACGCTGCGCGATTCCCGACCCCTGATTCCTCATCCAAGGCTGGGCCCGACAATATTGTAGCCTTCGAATCTCCATATAGAAGCACTTGTTCATTCATATGATCACCCAATTGGCTAAGTACAGCCTGAGCTCTTCTCCTTCTCTACTCATCACATTTTCACGGTTGCACGCCATGGCTGGCCCTCTCTGGCCCTATTCCGCGGCATCACATCAAAACTGTAGCGTCCAAATTGGTATTTCGATACAAGTGTGACCCCATGACTAACGTCAAAAGGTGACATTGATTCGTCTAGTGTTCACGGATGGTTCTTCTGCAGATCAATACCGTAGACCCCGGGAATACGGATACGCAGCGACTAATAGCGCCCTCTCTCTCCATCAGACCCCTGTCAGACCCATGCACTAGTGTGATGCACGCCCTTTGTATCCTCATTCCACACACACGCCCTTCGTTTTCTCGATACAGTAACATCTCTCCCCCAATCTGTCCTAGTGAAGCAGTTCAAGGACGGAAATTGTAGACTACAGATCCAAGACCACAGAAATTGTAAATTTACTCTTTTCAAAGAAGCAGAAAAGCAGCTGGATTATTCTAGAATTACCATCTGATCCTTGTTTAGCCGTATGTGTCTTTTTTGTGACTGACTTTTTTGCTTGATTTACATATGTACTTAGAGGCGCGCCATCAGTATGTTCCACGATGGAATTGTGTTTAAGTGATATACCTCTTGTTCCCCCTACATTGTTGGTTCCATGAAAGGCTCTAGCTCGTTCTGCTGTAGCTCTAGACTCGCATTTTGTTAGTGTGGCCAGATAAGAGCACAGGACATATCTCGACCAACCTTGCACACCCAACACGACCCCACCACCTGTTGGGCCTGTTTCAACCAGGCATCTCGAAAATATTACCACCAACACATCATCCAACGTAGCTGGTCTCGAAGCTATTTACACCAGAATTACCATTGAACCTTCGGCTGTCATCCACAAATTCAACAAAAACTCGAATCCAAGATGGGCTCACTCGGTCCAGACGCCAAGAAGCCCTGGATCAAAACGCCATGCATTGCCTCGGCCGCTCTCTCCCGGATAGCAGGATGGTGAGTCTACCACACTACTCACGTGTTCGATATTGACGATATCTCAAGCAACATTTTCCTGAAACTTGAAAACCTGCAGCCTTCGGGATCCTTCAAGTCTCGTGGCGTCGGCAACCTTATGGCTCGCGCCGCCGCTGCCGCCCCTGACGCAGAGGTGAACTACTACTGTTCCTCAGGTGGTAACGCCGGCCTCGCCTGCGCTACGTCCGCCATTGCCCTTAACCGCAAGGCCATCATCGTGTTACCAACGAACGCCTCCCCGCTCATGATCTCGAAGCTGCGCCTTTTGGGCGCACACTGTCACCAGGTGGGCGAGAACTGGGGCGAAGCGGACCGTTACCTCCGTGAGGAGCTGCTCGCTAACGACCCGACCGGCGTTTATGTTCCACCATTCGACCACCCACACGTTTGGGAGGGCCACTCGACCATGGTGGATGAGTTGATCTCGCAGCTGCCTCAAGATGTCGGCATTGACGCCTTAGTGTGCTCCGTGGGTGGCGGCGGGCTGTTGAACGGTCTTGCGGAGGGTGTTGAGTCAGGACGGTGGCCAAGTGCAAGAGGCAGGGTACCCCGTCTCTTGGCTGTCGAAACGCGCGGGGCGGATAGTTTGAATGCGAGCGTAGTAGCTGGCGAGCATGTCACGCTGCCACGCATCTCGTCCATTGCCCTCTCGCTAGGCGCGACAAGGGTATCGAACCGGACGTGGGAGGTCTCACAAAAGACACCCGGGTTTCGGAGCGTGACGGTCAGCGATGCCGAGGCGGCCATGGCTTGCGTGCGATTTGTCGACGATGCCCAACTTATGGTTGAGGTTGCATGTGGCGCGACAATAGCGACGGTCTATAATGGCTCGTTGAGGGAACAGCTTGGTGATGGCCTATCAGATGAGGAATGGGCAAAGAAGAACATTGTGCTTATCGTCTGCGGTGGATCGAACGTCACAATGGAGATGCTGAATGAATATCGTGCCAAATTTGGTAACGCAGCCTGAAGAGCTTGTGAGGTGGCCATTTGGGAGCATTTGGGTACTATATAGATGTTGGATCACACGATACATGGGTTTCATAAGCGCTTAGCTGCTTGGAGAACGGATGGAAACAAGCCAATCCTTTGGGAGTTTCTCATGTAGATCGATCGGTTCCTTCTCTATGTCTTTTTATCTAGAGTAAACGATTTCTCGAAACTCCGCCGTGGCTTTGAGCCCGGAAGGAGACTTGATAAACTGATCTAAGTCTTTGAGGACCATTTCTATTTCCCCAAAGTAATTAACCTCCCCTTTCTGCGTAAACCCGACTCTCTTGAAGAGCGCGATGCTGGCCGCGTTGTTCTCCTTGATCTTAACCATCAGCCCCTTCAACTCCGCTTTTCCACCTTTTCCCTCGCCCTCGATATACTCCTTCAGAATGCGATCCTGGTTCTGATGCACATAAACTAGCAACGATGTGACGGCAGCATATCCCACGCCTTTACCACGGTGTTCCTTCGCAGCGACCATCACGTCCACTTCACCAACATACGCACCCTCGCCCTCTTCCTCATCGTCATGAGGGTATACAAAGAAGTTAATGTCTCCAATCATGCGGGCAGGAGCGTCAACCTCGCCAGCCTGCGCACTGGCCGCGTCGGAGGTTGCAGGCAGAGGCTCGCAAATGATGAAGGTGAGTTTGTCGTGCGACGTCCGCCATGATTGCTGGTTCTCGTACTCCTCTTCCAAGGTTAGAGGCTCCGATGCCGTAGCCTCTTGGATATCCTGTTTTCCGGCCTTCAATCAGTCTTTGTCGTCAAGCAGGACATAATTATGCATGCTGACCGGATCGCTCATCCACTCATGATACTGCTCAACGTGCCTAGCCTCGTATGGTACGAGCGTCACCTTCGACGTTGCGATCGCTGTTCCCGTTTGTAAGCATTGCCCCCAAGCAAAGAAAGTCTGCAAGGTATCCTCGTATGCTTGCCTGCGTTCTCGTTCAACCTCATCGTGTAACATGCATGGGCATCTCAAGGCCTCCCCACTTAACCCTCGTCAAGAAAGCTAAAATATGAGCGATGCTGGTGCAGCACACCCCGCCTGTCTCACCTGAGCTCCACGTTTAAGCCTGCCGGCGTCCGAAAAGGGCAAACGAACGACCCTCTATCGAAACGGAAGATGCTGTCAGCTATGGAGCACTACACCCCCTAAAGTCCCAGCAAGTTAAAGGTCAAGGTGCCAGAGTGGTTAATGGGCTGCCCTGCTACGGATTACTCGAGTTTCGAGATAACCCAGCAGTTGAGGCAGTGGCTTCGGTCGCGCAGGTTCGAATCCTGTCCTTGACGGTATCTTTTTGGCTTTTCAACAGCGGATCGAAACAATCTGTCGTGTAAGTTCTGAGAGGCTTTTTTGGGATGTGGCGCAAGTGGGTGGTGAGTGGACACGAAAAGTAAGTGTGCCAGACAGGAGAGGGGTAGGTACATATCTCTAAAAGTACCTCGACTTTTTCATCAGTCAAGGTGCCAGAGTGGTTAATGGGCTGCCCTGCTATCAGTCTTCTGACAGTTGTTCAGGCAGTGGCTTCGGTCGCGCAGGTTCGAATCCTGTCCTTGACGTATGTATGTCTTTTTTCACTTTTTTCCAAAGTGAACTTTTTAGCCTCTACATACGTACCTTTTATGTTATCTATATATGTTGCATGTGCGCAAGTTTCATTGTAATGAGCGTGGAGGACTTCCCTTGCAAGTAGCACCACCACAACACCTACTCGCTGCTTGCGAATGTCCTCGCAATGCCGCTCCTGGGCGGCACGAAGGCTAAGTCATGGTAAATGAGATTTGATTCAACATTTACTTTTATTCTTACAGCTTTGTACATCATCTTACACTCGCTCAGCGATAGGGAGATTATACATATACATAAACTTGGACACCATCGCCGCATAGCTTCAACCTTCAGCAGGCTGTGGCGGGAAAAGTGCATTCCACTCTCCTGGTCGGCCCTGATCGACTATCGGCGTACCATAGGTCAGATCTGTGCCAAACGCAGCGTCTTGGAATGTGCGCTTGCCCGCATCAACACCAATCATGTCCAACAGAGTGGCCATCTTGGTGGGCATGACGGGCTGGAGGAGAATACCAGCTGTGCGCACAGCTTCTGAGGTGTAGAAGATGATTTCATGGAGCGCAGCCTTGTCTTTGGGGTCTTTTGAATTAGCCAGCTTCCACGGTGCAGTCTCGGAAATGTACTTGTTTGCCTAGACGTTTCGTCAGCTTTTTTCTGCTCAGTCAACATTTGTAGACGGGATACCCACCTCAACAAGGACGTTCAACACGCTGCGAATAGCAGCGTTGGGATTCAACTCATCCATGTGCTTCGACATCGTAGGCGCCGCATCATTGATCAACGCCTTCAAAGCCTCACTCCCCTGGACATTGCGTCCAAAAGAAACAACATTCTCTTCTGCCCATGCAACCGAGTCCTTGAGCTTCCACTTCTTGCTCTTGGCGACTCTGTTCATCAAGTTTCCTACCGTTGATTGCAGATCCTTCTGGTAACGCGCCACGATGAGCGAGTTCTCATAGTCGGCGTCCTTCTCGATACCACCGTCGCGCATCATGAAGTACCGCATCGTATCCAGTCCCCAACGGTCGACCGCAAAGAAGGGGTTAACTACATTGCCGAGAGACTTGGACATTTTCTTCTTCCCCAATGTCCAGTGCGCGTGGCTGAGAAGCTGCTTCGGAAGCGGCAGATCCAGCGCCATGAGAAGCGCAGGCCAGTAAACTCCGTGGAATCGTACAATATCCTTACCGATGATGTGAACATCCGCCGGCCAGCCCTCTTCGTGTTCCCTTCCAGGCTGCCACCCGGGAAACCCAGCCTTGGTGAGATAGTTGATGAGCGCGTCCACCCATACATAAATCGTCTGCGAGGGATCGTCTGGCACGCGCACACCCCAGTCCAGTCTTTGAACAGGCCTGGATATCGACAAATCCTCGAGGTTATTCTCCACCCACGCCACGACTTCCTTCATCCTTGCCCGCGGCACGATCCAGTCGGGGTTCTCCTCGTAAAATTTCAGCAGCCGATCTTTCAGCGCTGTCATGCGGAAGTGGTAGTTCTTCTCCTCGACCCACTCCACCTCGTTGCCCGTCTCAATCGAGGCCATGACAGTCCGTCCCGTCTGAGGCACTAACGTCTTCTCAACCTCGTTCGCAGCGTAGAAGCACTCGTCGCTAACACAATACCACCCCTCGTGCTTGCTCTCGTAGATGTATCCCTTCTCCTTGAGCAGGAACCAAAAATGCTGCACAGCCTCCTTATGATCCGGGTCGGTGGTGCGGATGAAATGATCGTTGTCCATGCCAATTGCGCGTGCGAGATCACGGAACTTCTCTGCTGTGGTGTCGCAGAACTCCTTGGGCGGGACACCCTGTCTACCTGCGGCCTGCTGCACTTTGGATCCATGTTCGTCAGTGCCAGTGCAGAGGATCGCGGGTCGACCTTTGAGCGTCTGCCAGCGCTTGAGTACATCGGCGAGCAGCATCGAGTACATGTGGCCGACGTGCGGTGCTGTGTGGGAAAAGTATTAGCGCATATCCCCTGACCATCAGATTAGAGCTTCACTCACATGCATTGACATAGAAAATCGGCGTCGTCACATAGTACGGTTTGTCGTCCTTGCTATCGGAGCTCACGAAGCGTCGCAAGGTCTGCCCATGACTGCACGAGGGGCAGACCCAGGACGGCCGCAGCGCAGGTGCATAGCGACGGCTGCGGAAAGCCGAAGCTGCGGATAACCTCACTGGTCTCATTGAGGCTGTTTTTTGTCGGTGTCTACCGGGTGGGCATGCCGTCGGAGGCTTTGCTAGGGATTCGAGTTGCGTGATGCGTCAAGCTGCAGCGCGCGTTTCTCGAAATGTTCCGATTGCCAGGGTCACCGTATCGATTGTCATCTAAGATAACGGTGCAGAAGCTCTTATCGGGAAAATATCCCTGCCACCCCGCCAACTTTCTGACCGAGTCCTTCAACTCTAGCCCAACTTTGCGACAACGCTTGCAAGTAAACAGTACCACACTGCGCACTCGAGCAAGCCTACACACTCACAACTCACAAAGAATACTCGAAGACAAAATGTCTCTCCCGTCACGAGAAACAGAACTCAGAGCCTCCGCAGACGGTAAGTTTCCCACCCGTCGTCGCCTTCTCCCCAAAACAATCCGCATACTAATGACCTACCAGCGGCATCCAACTTTGCAGACGCATACTACGACGCTCTTAACCGCCGCAAACCTCAAGGCACCCTCTCAAACTTCTACACAACTACCTGTTCAAAGTATCCCTCCCAGCCCGACATTTCCATCAACGGCGCTGTGCTCCAGGGCGGCCCCGACGAGTACATCGCCCTCCTCGACACCCAAGGCCCGGACGTCCGCTATGAGATCGAGTCCCTCGACGCCCATGTCATCAACCCCGACTTTTCGCTCGGCTGCCCCGAGCACCTCCAGGCTGGCGATAAGACCGGCGCCAAGTCCAGTGTGATGGCTCAGGTCACTGGTCGCGTGTACTACGGCAAGGGCCGCGATGCGCCCGCCAAGACCTTCAACGAAGTATTTGTTCTAGTGCCCAACTGGGATACCTTTGGCAAGAACCCCCCGCGCGGGGCCAGGCGATGGTTGATCATGAGCCAGAACTTCCGCGCGTTGTAAGAGACGAGGAGGATTGATATTCAGTATGAGCGATGCTATTACGACCTCGCCTGTTTCGGCCAGGAATATGAAAGGTGCGGCTTGATATGGCCCCCGGCAATTGGAAAGTCATCCACTAATAGCTGACATCAGAACGGAATCACGGCAAACTTAAGAATGGCCAAAGACGATAACGGGCACCTCAGAACGCACTTACAATTGTCCTGTCGGCAATGCATTCGTCCAACTCCAAATAGCGTCAACTCCCCGTTATCGGTAGAGCAGAATGAAGAAAAAAAGAAGAAGAAAAAGAAGGTCTCACTACGTAGAGACAAGATACCTCGATAGTCACACAAAACACGTCAATTACCACACGAGCTTGCTCCCCCTACTATGCGATCTGCTGCTTCCTGTACTTCCAGTATCCTGCCCTTATAGGATCCCATTTCTCCGCCAGCCGGTCGAGGTACTTGACCGCCTCTTCCGTTTGCCCCTTCTCCGCAAACACCTCGGCCAAGAAGTCCAGCGCATGGCTGCTACGCACCTCTTCTTTGTCTTCGCCTTCACCGACATTCTTAACAAACTGCGTCGCAAACGCCTCGGCGGTCGCCAGCTTCCGCCCGCCCTTCACTAGCACGCCCCGGAGGTAATTCCACGCAGCCTGGTTCTGCGGTGCCAGCAGCGTCTTCTCCTCGGCGTACTTCACCTCGCGGTCCACGACATCCGCGGGCACCTTGGGGTCGTGCTCTGTCGCATGCGAGCCCTCAGTCGAGCGCGCCGGGTCTGAGAAAACAAGGAAAAAGCGGTGTGACCACGCCGAGTTGTTACGGACGTCCTCCTCAATCCAATTCTGCGTCGACAGTAGCTCCTGCAGGGTCCAGAGGCCGAGCTTGCGCACCAAGTACTGGCGGTAGCTCCACACATGGTAGTTCTTGGTATCCTCTTCGAGCATGCGCGTGAGAAACTCCGTCTCGGACCGTCCGAAGCGCTTCAACTCATCCGGGCTGCCCTTGATGCGGTTGTAGTGATGGTCCAGCAGCAGCTGACGGTGGTGCCAGATCTGGTAGTTTTTGATGTGCTCGAGTGACACCTCGTTGAGCCACTCAATTTCATCCACAACAGGGATTTCGAGAGCCTCGACGATTTTGAAACGGTACAGCCAGACGGTGTAGTGAGCTGGGTTCAGGGTTATGACATGCTCCGTCAACCGGAGGCATCGCGGGCTGTACTCCTCGGCGACCATGACGGCCCGGAGGTAGCTCATGACTGCGAGGACACGGAGACGTCAGTGGGCTTGAAACAAGTATCCCCATGGAAACCACCATTTTCAGAACACAAGTAGAGTGAGACATATAGAGACGTGAATTATTTACCCTCAGCATAATCCTCCGGGTAAGCGATCGTAGCCAGCGCGCCCTCGGGCTCTTCGGCAGGAATGGGCACAACGTCGTCCCACTCCGGATCCGTGGCGTACGGTCCCATCTTGTCCCCGTACAGTTCCTTTCTCAGCGCCGCCATTTCCCGTCTTCTCTGCCTCTCCTCGTCGATGTCCTCCTGCGAGATCTCCGTGGCTTTGCCCGCGGCGACAGTCACGTCTGAGACGCCGTCGCGCGCAAACTCTCTCTTTTGAATGAACCGACGGTGGAGAACCTCGAGCGCCGTGAGCTTCGCCTGCTTCGCGGCCCGAACAGCGAACTGGTCGAGAGGGTACTCTCCGAGGTCGCGGCCGTTCTTGTCCTTGCCCCAGTCGTAGACGACGCTTTTGTCGGCTGTCGTACGCTGCTTCTCAAGCCGTCGGATCGGCGGGCTCTCGCGGCTAACCTGCTTCCAGAATTCACGCTCCGCCTTGTTGGTAAGGTAGATCTCCCTGTTGGCTACACGGTGCACCAGGCTTGCGTTGACCCAGGACTGGCGCTCAGCTGGTGTCAGTGCGTGTAGACCTCCGGCTTCCTCGAGTCGTCGCTCGTGGGGATTCGTCTGATGGAAGCGCTGCAGGGTGCGCTCGTTGACTGTCTTGGGGGGTTGTTGAGGTCCAGAGGCAGATTGCGATTGCTGTTTGCCTGTTGTGTAGGAGAGAGAGATGGTCAGCGAGTGGCGCCAGCGAATCGGGAGAAGTGCCAGGCCAGGCCACTGTAGAAGCTCAGTAGGAGCGGGCCGAGCCACTGGGTAATGGTATTAAATGGTTCAAACGCACTCTTATTCTCAGCTTCCTTGGCTTTGGAGCTGGCCTTAGATTTGGCGGGCATGTCTGCGGCTGGCTTGGTCTATGGCGGGGTTGAGCTGGAGGCGAGGTGTGTACCGGGTGTGGAAAATGTTCACCCACGGCCGCTACCCCACCACGGGAAGCGCCCCTGGGCGGCCACACCCACCTACGAGACGACCCTTTCCCTTCAATGCTATAGCCAAGCCACAAGGGACAATCATCGTATAGCGCCGACATCTTGTGTAATGAAAACTACCATTGAAGCTAACACTCATTATGTACGTTTGTAGCTCTTCTAACTGAACGATTAAAAAGATTTAGCACCGTAAGGTAGGCTTCTAAGATCTGTAGGCCGATTATATATGATACATGAAGCCTCCTTTCATATCCCCATCTTCCACGCCATTATCATGTCGTACAGCAAAGTAAACTGTAGAATCAAAAAAAATAAAACTTTTCCCGACTCTGCGCCCTGGCGTAGTTGGTGAAATGTAGAATCGAAATGAGAATGGTACGCTGATGCGCCCGTCACCGACTTTCCACCCTCCAGAACTTCCAGCCCTCCCTCTCACCTGCACCGCCATGAACACCTACGAGCTTTTCCACACCTTCGTTGCCGTCTGCGTTTAAGAAACTGTCGACATCAATCTCCATTCCGCCTTCGTTGTCCTCGTCCATGCCGTTCTTGAGTACAGCCGGCCAGAGAACACCGACACCGTCACCGCCAAGAGTCGTTTCAAACTTCTCGTAGCCCTCTTCCTCGAGCTGGCTTTCCAGCCGCCCGAGCTTCTCTTTAGGCACATCTGGCTTGAGGAGCGTGATGGAGCAGCCGCCGCCGCCAGCACCAGTCAGCTTCGTCCATCCAATGCCCTCGTGGTCCACCAACTCTCGTATCCGCTCAAGGCGTGGATGCGACACACCCAACGAGACTAGCAGTCCGTGGTTGATGGTCATGAGCTCTCCCACCTCCTGAAGGCTTTGTTCGCTCTTGTTATCGAAGGCATCAGCGCCAATGAGGCCGTCGGCCGTATTCGTAACCTTATCGATGGCATCAAGAATGCTCCCGACAAGCTTGGGGTGTGCGGTTCTCAACTTTGCGACCTTGGCGACTTCGAAGGCGGTTGATTTGGCCTGTTTGGTGTCGACAAGCAGCAGAGGGAGCTCAGGGAAGTCCCAGAGTGGGCGCACGGCAGGGGGCTTGTTGTAATCTGTTCGTTGGAAAACGACGGCCTTGCCCTGGGTCGCAACGGTATTGTCCACGCCTGAAGGATTTCCGTGTATGCACATTTCACATACAAAAGCCCATCTATTGATTCTCTCCACTTGCAGTCTTGCCTCGTCAGGGGGTTGATCGGGGTGTGGGCCCGACAAGGTGCGTAGCTGCAGGAGAAGAGCCGCTGCCAAGCAGACGGCAATCGACGCGCTGCTGCCCAAGCCAGCGCCTATAGGGATTGTTGACCGCAATGTGTACAGGCATCCGGGAAAAGACTGGTGACCCAGCGAGAGGAAGATGTAGAGAAACGCCGAGGCAGAATTTTGGTGCACTTTTCGCACCTCGTCAGACTTGTGTGTTGAGACTTCAGCGAGATGCGGCTGGATAGCTTCGACCAGATCTTTGTCGAGCTCTGTTACCAGGTCGTAATAGGACTTCTTCTTGGAGGGGTGCTGGAAAGTTGCCCAGGGCAGTTCGTCAATATTCCAGGTGTGGTGCAAGTCGATGTCTGGGAAGCGCAAAGACACTGTTCTCCTTGATTTGGACAACGAGGTGACGAGGAGATAGGATCGCAGGGAAATAGCGGCAGCGATTGCGGCCTGTTGGTCAGATAAAAGTCAGCCAGTGCGGTGAAAATGGACCAAAAAAGGGGTTTTTTTGCGCAACCGTACCTTGCCGTGAACAACAGCATGCTCTCCAAAGACAATAACCTTGCCAGGCGCTGAAACCATGAAGGCAGGCATCATAGGGCTCGATGCCTTACGATCTAGCTTTAGGCGGCTTTTAAGATTGCCGTTTCCGTTGACAAAATTTGTCGAAGGCACGCCGTTGACGGCAACAGCGTCGAGGCCATTTCGCATTTCGGGGGCAAATATAGCCATTACAGTTTTGGATTCTCGATCCTGCAAACGCAGGGTGGTTTGGGTGTTCTGAGTGGAACTCGTGGGCGTTGGTGTAGTCGTGGAAGAGGCGTGTTAGAGGTGCGGCATAGCACAACTGTTTGGGAACTTTTGGGTGTAGAAGCCGGTCTGCGTGGTGTCAAGAGGGGTCAATTGGTGGGTTGTACTAGGAGCGGAGCGAATTGAGGCTGCGGGATGGGTCGCGATGGAGAGACTCGGCGAGTAAGTGGGTTGTTTGGGCGCAAGAGGCGGACTGACAAAAAAGCGTTTATGGGGAAAAGTGTTGAGAAGGAGAGGAAGCAGGAGACAGGTGACGATGGCGGCGCGCGCCAGGTGGTGGTAGGGTACCTTAAAGGTAATTTGGGAGGTGTGTAATACGGTAATACAAGCACTTTTATTAGAGGAGGAGCGAGAGGGACACTCCATTCAGTTAGCCAATTTAGCTTTTCCGGGTTCTGGGGGGGGCGGATGGACAAATTGGACAACGTGGTGCTGGGACTGGAGATGGGTCCCTATCAGACAGGAAACATGGGGAAAACGATTAACAGAGGGTGAAAAAAGGTACTTACGGATACAGCCAACTGGATCTGGATCACTGGAGAAAGGGCCCAGAAGGTTGAGGTGGTGGAGGGTGGAAAGTATTTGTCCAAGGCAGAGACAAGGCAGGATTACTGTGCAAAAGGTTAGGACTAGCAAGGATGGGGGCGGTCTTGGAATGGCAGGCCTTTTGTATAGAAGGAGAAGAAGGATGAATAAGAAAAAATAAAAACAAAAAAAAATAGAAGAGGAAAAACGTGTCGTAAACGAAACCTATGCTAAGATTGGAGGTGGGAGTGGTGACGGGGCTCAAGTCCGGGGCAAGAATTCTGTTGTTTGGTGTTGGTTGCCTGTCGGCCGGCAAGTTTTGAAAGTACACTACCACCAGAAGCTCCGGCGGAGGATTCTGATGGTGACTTGGTAACTTGGGACGAAACTCGCACTCCAGGTCTGGAAAAGGGGGCAAGGGGGGGTTCAGTAAACACTGATGGTCACGAAGGTTTGAGGGCGGATGCAGGCTTGGTGGAATAGCGGTATACGCAACGACTGACATCTGAGCCCCCAGCGCTGCATTTCTTGTTGTGGCCGCGTGATGTATGAAGTGCTAGATGCACCTGTCATGTTGCGCAGGATTCGTAATTGCTGCCACCCTTACCTTAAGGTACCTCTTGGTACCGCCAACCAACAACCAACGCCTTGTACCTTCTGGTTCTCTGGCATCGGTTTGAATGTACCTCGTCATAACTCCCTCACCCGCCTGTACCTTACTTTGGATGCAGTGTTGACCACCAAGAATAATAGCCCCCTGCGTCTCCTCATTGGCCCTGTATATTTCCCCCTGACGATAGTCCCGGCCTGGTGGGCATTTCCCGGCAAGCACCGACGTGCGGCAGCAGGGGTATCTGCAGGTGAAAAGGGTGGCCGCCCACGCCGTGGTGACCCTGTCAAGCTGTATCTCTTGCCCTACCAGGAAGAGTAATGTAAGCTCGCCGTCCTCGGACAGCTGCCTTTCGGGGGTGGAAAGTGAAGGATGCGACAATTCAAAATGCAACTTTTTAGTGTCCAAGACAGTCAGCATTATCAAATAACAGTTCGTCAATCATGTGGACCCGCTCGATATCGACAGGAGCTCCCCCAGCCAATATCAACATTAGGAAGGGGGACGTGAACTCTTGACAGCGCCACCAAACCGCCGTCATTCGACTTGACAAGTTGAACAGTTCAAGCAGGGCACCTCTTTGTCCTCTGCGAAATCTGCTGCTCAAAACGCTTCCTCGCAGCTACTCCCGGCCTCAACACTGATGGCGCCTATGGTAAGAAGATGCTGACTGGCTTTCCAGTTGCCGCTTTACCGCTTCGTCCACAACAAACTAAGGACCAATTGTTATTGTCGTTCAAAAAGGCACCAAGCTACTACCAAGCTATCACTGGACAGCTTGACGCACACCAAAAGTACGCACAGACAAGAAGCGTCCAAGCCGTGGCGGGGAAGCTGTCCTACTGCGGGCTCCCTGTTGCACAGCATTCCGGCAGAAAAGCTACCTTAGCTAACAGCGAACGGAAGCAACCTGACACATCCGTCTGATAATGAGCTTCGGCATCACCATCACCAACGGCATTTCGCCATTGGTGCGACTGAGTATTGTTTCGTCTCAGCCTCGATATAAGAGGGGCAGAGTGGCTATGTGTTACTGGTTATTATGTCAATTTTCTCCTAGCTGCTGGCCGTCTAACGGGTTGAACGGGTTTTTCTTCCTCTAATGGTGTGAAATTAGGCAATTCGATGCGACAACCTGACAGCCGGCTTGATATGCACTCATAGAGCCAAACGGCTGCGCCTCCAGTGCGGATGACACCACAATGGCGGTCTCGCACTTGCGGTTGGTTTTCGTGCTGCATTCTTGACGCTCATCGATTCGAGGCGGTGAAGCAGTCAGGACTTCAGAAGAACAGCCCCCAAAAGCAGAAACATGTCGTCACCTGAACTCTGGATGTCTCCGACTTGTCTCTCGAGTTAACGCAAGACTTTAACGAGCCCCAGGTCTCACTTGACAGCTCCGTGTTTCGGAAGAAACATAACCGTTTACCACGCCCGCCACATACCAGAGACTCTCCATCTGACTCTAACGGGTCAAAGTCTATTCTGCTGCCCAGCCCGAAAGGATTGTTTCGAGAGCTCTTGGAATGTCGTTCTAGTCTTTGGAGAGCACGACGACGTAGTAAAGTGCCGCGATTCACCAGGTGATGACAAGCGTTGCCAGCGGGTGGTCACCTGCGTCGTGAGGGGCCGAAATGCGGAACCTGCGGAAATTGGCTTATCGATACCCCTTACTTCAACCAGAAGCTCTCAGCTTGAGGATTGAGGCGCAGACCTCGTAGTGCAACTCGGCTTTGCCATTTGTCAACATTTCCCCTCCTTGCCCAGACCTCTTGTTTCGACCTCGGAGACAAGCAAACACTTGGCAGGGACGTGGTGTCTGGAAGAAGCCGTTCAGCATTCATCATCTTCGAATATTCAGATTTCGAGCACAAACTAGTGGCTGATCTAACATTATTCCTTGGGAAACAAAGCTCGGCTTCCACCAAGACAAATCTCCTGACGGTGGTTGCTTCCAATTGCTGAGCGATACGCCAACGGCGTCACATTTCACTTGGAACAGCTGACACTAATTAGCGGAATTTCTCTCTATGTACAAACACCCGTACCAGCAAGTGGCAGTTAATGATGTAGGCTTAAACATTGTGAATATTGGCTTATCCAACAAAAGCCTACCTTTGCTCCAATTCCTACGAGGCAAGCGTGGAACAGCTTCCAGTTCCACCCGTCTTACGCAAACAAACATGCCGTCGATCAACAGCTGGACCAGCTGAACCTAGATATGTCTCGCAGGCTGGACAGAAGCTTAATTCATTACAAAACGAGAATCGATACTTGGGACATGTAGAACATTGCGGGGTCATTCAGTTGCGGTCACCATCCGAATCTTAGTCTTGTGAAAAAACCGCCTAGCTTGCTTGGTGCCTGCCTTTGTGTTCATATGCCAACCCAAACCATGCCATTCGGGTCTATACTGTCACGCACAATGAAGCTTATCGCTACCACCCTACCTCATCTTAGCTCCGTCCGTGCCGCAGCCGTTGGTGGTCGACGTCACCTCAGTCCCAACGACATTTGGCCACAGCCTTATTGCCCCGCCTGACAAACTTGCGAAACCAAATTCCCTCGGATATTCCGGCCTGTAGCACAAGTAAATAGACAAGATACACGTCCAGTTGGACTCATCATTACTGATCAACATCGATAAGAGCGCACACGATAATCCCCGTCTCCAGCCAACCAGGATACAGCTCACCCCCCAGTAATCCCGGCCCGCACCGAACGAACCCCGCGCAAGCAGCAAGCTCACTCCAAACCCCACGACGCCCCAGGCAGAAAGCAGAAATCGTCCAACAGCTTCGTTACCTCGAAAACACCCAAGGCACACCGCCCCTTTCCCCACGTCTCAGCCATTCATTACCTTGCCCGCCCGACACAGCCATCAATATGACCGTGACGGAGCTTGCTCTGCTCCAGTTCAGGGAGCCTCTGACGGAGGAGCTGAAGGAGCTTATGGACTACTGCCAAACAGTCCAGGACACTTGGGTCCTCCGTCAGAAGCCTGGCCTCCCACCTACGCGCGTAGCCCGTGGCACTTCCATCCTCCAGCAGGTCGAGGACCCCCGCGTGGTTCTGCTGGCGGCGCAGTGGGACTCCCCCGAGGCTCACAACGAATGGATTGCCTCGCCCGAGAACCAAAACGTCATGGCCAAGCTGAGGCCGCACATCCACATCGACGGGCCACGGGCTGTTCTCTTCTTCCATATCGATGCGCCCATCTTCGTGGACTCGCGGACTGCTTCAGCTCAGACGGCCGATGCGGAAACAAATGGAGGAGAGGCGGCTGAGTCGGAGTCAAAAGATAAGGGGCCGGAAGCCCCGGCACCAGCCGCCGCGGAAGAGAGCAAGTCGGATGGAAAGAAGAAGGCCGAAGACGAGCCTCTCAACCTGCTGACGGCACCTGTGCTTAGTGTCGGACGCTTCGGAGTGCGGTCCGAACGTAAGGAGGAGTTCGTCAAGAAATACGCCGAGGCCAAATGGGTTGTCGAAGAGCACTCGAAGCCGTACCCCGTGCGTGGTGGCTGGCGCATCGAGAAGGCGGCGGAAGGGCTTGAGGAGTTTGTCATGTATTGCGGCTGGTCGTCGGTGGAGCAGCACAGGGCCATTGCACAGCACGAGGGATTCAAAGAGTGGGCGGGCATTCAGGAGTTTGTAACGGGGACGGACATCTGGCACTACCAGAGGATCATGTAGACAGACATTGTATCTCTCGTCGGAGGTAGAGCGAAGCAGAGGAGAAAGAAAGTCAAGGGAGATGGGCGGGGACATCACTCCTGATTAGAGGATAGCGATGGCGTGTTGGGCAGTCAAGGGCGTTTTGTCAAGGTTTGTAAGAAGCCGCACGGATAAGGCATTATTCCACACTTTTTCGATCTTTGAGGTGGTGTTCAATGGTTTTTCTTCATTGGTGAACTGTCTGCTAGTAGACAGTAGACAATTCATCCAGCTTGCAATTGCCTAGGTAATCCCTCGACGCCATATCGTTTTGATGTTACGGGTCTTTTCTCGTCCTACTCTCTTTCGAGAAAAGGAGAAAAGACAAATCCCGCCTCAATCCCAGACCGACCGGACCATTGTGCGAAAACCGGTGTGAGGAAAATGATCATTCCATTGCCCTCATGTCAGGCTACTGATTTGCTCTTGACTTTTAATGAAATCCCATCGACGACATTTTTGTTCCTTTGACAAGTTGCTCAGATCGCTTATGCGGTCTTGCCCTGCTTGTTCTTCTTGGGGACGTCCTTGATCTGGAGCTCTGTTTGTGGGAATGCGGTTAGCGAATGGTCATTTCGGCCTACTTCACCATCCCTTTCGTCTGGTGGAAGACGTTTCTGGGGCGGAAACCGATCCAATCAAGGGGGTTGACATACGAGGGGGAAGGGACTGCTTGAGCTTCTCGGCCTTGTCGGAGTCCTTGAGGACGAGGGTGTACAGGTGGCGCTGGCAGCGGACCTTGAACTTGATCTGGGAGCTCTTGCGGTTACGCTTGATGCGCGCGGCTGTTTTCAAAAGTGTTAGAATATCCCTTGTTCTCTCAAATTTGCAGCCTTGATTCCAATTGTCTCGACAGAGTCTGTAATCGTCGTCAAGGCATCGTTGGCCGAGGGATGGTGGGAAAATGCATACAAGAGGCGTCCTTCCTGCGGGCAATCTCAATGAACTACAAAAACGACTTGTTAGCTGACGGTTTCTCCCCACGAAAAAAGGAGCCCACAGAATGCGAGCAGAACGATAGTCTCCGTACCTTCTTGATATCACCGATTTCACGAGGCATCTTGGCGGTATTTGGGGGGTGTTGGCGACAACGAGGGGGTACTTGTCTGGTCGATGGGTGGTTTTGTCGTGGACTTTCGTGGGTTGTTTTTTGGTGCGAATTTGATTTTGTGGGATGGACCCCTGGCGCCGGCCGCTCGCTGGCTGGCAGTGCACGGACCAGTTTCCTCCAGATGGGTAAGTTCTCCTCTGGCCAGTCGAGGGACTCGGGAGATGGGCACCGATCATGCCGACACGCTTTCGGGTGGGGGCTTTGCCGCCCCTGTCTGGACGTTGTACAGCCACAGGCAGCAACTGAAGGACTCTAGCCTGTCCCACGTCACTGTGGCTTGACGCGTCACCCAAACTCGCTTGCCCAGACAGCCTCGGCCAGTAACTTGGCACGAGTTGACGACGCCTCAACTCAATTCATCTTGCTAACACGTTGCTATAATACGGTTTAGGTATCGTGTTCTTAAGACCTTCGCTCTTATATACTTAGTACAGGGCCGTAGAGTAAAGAAAACCTGAGGTTCTCACAATCTCCCTTGGTGAACGCACAGCCACAACTGTCTCTCTCTACAAGATGCCCACGCCACTTGACAACGCCATGAAATCAAAGGTCAATATCCATTTATGAACAGTCTTTATCCATTCACTGACATATGAATTAGAATGCGGTTCTCGGTTAGTTGATTTATGAAAAAAGTCAGCTATATGGTCTATCACTGACAATCAACCAGCATTCGGCGGCTTAGTTACAGCTGTTGCAGTATGGGCAATCTACGGCGGTGACATGTTCCCAGCAGGTTCTGACCCGACTGGAAATCCTGAAGAGTGGACCAGAGAGGAGATGAGACGATGGCTGGCAGCGGTAAGAGTTACAATCCCCACACTATGATGCTGGTTGTTGACCTGACCTGGTTGACAGCGAAACTTGTTCCCTGGAGAGTCTGACACAAGAGAAGAGCTCCTTGCGAGGGTAATGGCCAATATGAGGGCTCCGAGACGTTGAAATTGGTGGAGAGGAAAAGATGGGCGGGCTCGGATGACTGGAAGAGAAATGTGAACTGTTATGAGCGTCGTCATTTTTACTACTTCATTTCCTCACTAAAGAGGCAAAACTACCATGACTTAACAGGCAGCAAGGCTACTACTATACACGATATTCTACAGGGTTGCGATTACGGCATGACTTGATGCTCTTTCGTCCTATCGCTTTGAACCCCTTACAACTCATCCCTTCCCGTGGTCTTCCCGACCGTAGGCTCCTCCGTCGTGACTCTGCCCGAAGACTTCCAGTTAAGCGCCTTGAGACGCTCTGACAGGTGAGGGTGTGAGAAGTGGTAAGTGGCGTACATCCAGTCGGCATCCATAGTGCTCAGGTTCTGGATTTGCAGCTTGAGAAGCGACTTAGCCAGCTCGGCCGAGTAGCCCAGCTTCTGAGCGAAAGCATCGGCCTGGAACTCGTACTTGCGGCTCAGAATGTTCATGAGCAGCTTGACCACAGTGTCCATTGGCGAGAGCGCATCGGAGAAGAGGAGGAAACCGATGATAATCGGGTGCTCCGTGAGGAAGCCGAAGTCAGCGTACAAGGAGTTGTTGCCGATAAAGACGGAGAACAGAGTGAAAATGTAGAGGAAGTGCACCTAGACCAGTTAGTTATTGGGGTATACACATAGATTATTCATGTAACATACTTGGGAGATACCGAAGAGACGAGTGGTGTGACCCAGGCTCCAGTGGCCAAGCTCGTGCGCAAGGACGGCAACAACCTCCTGCGTGTCGCTCTTCTCGATGAGAGTGTCGTAAATGACAATGTGCTTCTTCCAGGGGAGACCAAAGAAGTAGGCGTTGCTGTGGGCGCTACGCTTGCTTCCATCGATAACGTAGAGTTCATGCAGGGGAAAGTTCAGGCTCTTAGCCAGGCTCTCAACTCCAGTCTTCAACTCGCCCTCTTCCAAAGGTGACAACTTGTTGAACAGAGGCAGGATGGCAATCGGGTAGACAGTGATCATGAAGACCTGCAGACCGGCGGCGAACAACCAGAGGTAGAAGAAGAACTGGTTGCCAGTCTTCTTGACAATGGAGAGGAAACCGGCGAGGATCGGGGGAGCGAGTACAACAGTAAGCAGCTGGGACTTGATCATATCGGTGATGAACAGCTTGGGAGTCTGCTTATTGAAGCCGAACTTTTCCTCCAACACGAATGTTTGGTATACCGAGCTGGGAAGCGAGAGGATCTGCTGGATGAAGATGAAGGCGAGAATGAAGACGATAGAGTGCGAAATCTCGCCGGTAAACCGCGCCGGCGCGAACTTCAGCAACAGGTCACCGGTCCAGGACCATAACTTGGGAAGGACATCGAATTGAATGAAGGCGATATTCTGGATCTGACCCCAGAGACCGTTAATGAAACCGAACTGAGCTTTGGCGCGGCCATAGGCCTGACTTTTATCGAAAGTTTCCTGAGAGATTTCCTGTTCGAGGACCTTGGGCGGCTTGGTCCGCTTCAGGACCTGATACTGGCGCAGCGAGAGCAGGCTCTCGAAGACGAACTGGCCAACCGAGAAGCCCAAAATGAGGCGCTTCCATGGGAAGAGAGGACGGTCCAAAAACCGGGCGAGGCGCTGTAGGAAATCCATATTGTTGCCCGCCTTACTTGCTTAGAGGGGTTGCAAAGGAGGGACAAGAAATGGAGATGTTGCTTTTAAAGAGGGCCAGGCGCTGACCGTGTCGCAACCAAGGCAGACAGACGGACAAGACGGATACGGAAGCTCAGGCAAGCTGTCCACAGTGAGCTTGGTCCCCCAGACGGCCAAGTGGGGCACTCCCATGCTGGAAGTGAGCTTACGGGCGCGCACAATGGTGATGATTGGCTGCAATCATTCTAGCTTTTCCTTGATTTAATTGGCTGAAACACCCGACTCGTGCTTGGGACTCTAACTCTGGCGCCCCGTTTTCAAGAATAACCTCGATTGATGCATGGTCGACGGGAACTCCCGTCGGCTGCAAAGAAAGTCTTCCGCAAAATCTCAAGCCATCGACGAGTTTGGTGACGAGGTCAGCGAGCTCCACGCCAGCCAAATAACGACTGCATTATCGCTGCGAACATGATGCGCCAATCGATCACGGGCCTGGCGAGGAGCTTCCTCTCCCGCCCAACTCTTCAGTCCAGCCGTGTGGCCCAGACCTTCTCCCAAAGGTAGGCTTGAAGACATCTCACAGCTCCCTAAAAGAATGCGGCATGGCTAATTAATGCCCCTCCAGGACGTTCTGTTCCCTCCCCTCCCTCCGTCCCTCGACTACTCCCCTCACATCTGCCTTCCGCCGCCCGACGGCCACGCCATTTACCCCTTCGACAGCCAATGCTGCCGACGTCGTTCCTCAGAGCGCCATCTCTGAGCATCCTGCCATGGGCGCCATGCAGCTCCGCTGCGGTCCTCGTAACACTATGAACCGAAACACCCGATTGATCCAGAAGCGGAGACATGGCTTCATCTCCCGCATGAAGACAAAGGACGGACGCAAGATCATTGCGCGGAGGCGGGCGAAGGGACGCAAGAAGCTGGGTGTCTAATATAAACACCATGGTGGAGTTACTACGACTATAGCCAAGAGAAAAGATAAGCCTGGAACGATATCGGCTACCGGAGAAACCGGAATCGATATTTTCGACAAAGTAGATAAAGCTCAGAAAGAGCTGTGTGTGCAGTACGTCTGCAAGGCGTTGAACGTCGAGTTGTGGAGAGTACGACCCGAGAAAGACATAGGCGTCAAGACCTCCAAGCGAGAAGAAAGTGTTCAATATGTATCAATATGAAATCAATGTACAACATTACATCCCCGAAGCGTTTTTGGAGGGAGAATTGGTGTCAATTGCAACGTCTCAGATCAAGTGCTCAAGCAGGTTGGGTAGCGTCTGTGAGTAAGTCATAAGCTGCATCTAGACAGCAACATCCGCGGTGCAGTACCGGTCTACAACAGTAGTGCCCGATCTCCAGCCGACTTAGGGCATCATATTAGTTAGTCATGCAACATTTCAATGACTCAAATCGGGTTGCATGATATCGTCAATGTCTACCCTGTTCCGTATGCTCATGGCTGGTTCGATAAGTCTCATATCTTCAACGAGCAGAGGAGCCTACATTGTCACACTGTTGCGTTGTATTCTCTTTTTTTTTTTTTTTTTGGTCTTGCCACCAGTGCTTTCGTTTACCTATAACTACTGCCATTCTGTCAAATGTTTCTCAAGCCTGCCTTGTCGTTTCGTTGGCGAATACCCATTGTACCTTTCCCCTGTCAGTAGTAGCCTGGACCCAAAAGGAGATTGGTCGCTTGCATAAGCTGACCCAACTCGGGTCTCGAGGACCGGTAGTTGCAAATTAATAGGCAGCCTTAATAACTATACTAGTGTAAGTGACAACAACAAGTCATTCAAATCATGTTCACATCATTCAACATTTCCTCGTCACTGCTGAGGCGATAATTCTCGCAAGGGATGCAATATACAGATCACATGATCCAGACGCGATCGGGGATCTGGGCTCCACGGTGCAATAACATTTCGTCATATGGGGTAGACGGACGCGTTGTCTCGCGTCAGAAAAAAAGAAAGCAATAGAACAAGACACCTCCATTTAAGTTCGAAGGTAAAAAGACTGGCCACCCACGGGCTAGAGCATAGCATACTGGTTTGAATGGTTTGAAACTCTTCAGTTTTACTGCATTTTATTTATTTTATTTACTAGCTATATTCAGTGTTCTTATCTTTAACATCACTTCCCTGTCCGTTGACTTACACACCTATTATCAATATGCCTCCAAAAAGACGCTCTGATGCAAACGAGACCGCTGAGTCTTCAAAGAAGACCAAGACTGCCTCGGCGGCCTCCACCAACCCTTCTAATGAGACTCGTTGGTCCACCAAGGATGATCGCTGGTCGGCCGTGTCCAACTCGCGCAATGCAGATGCGGACTACAAGATTGCCATGGCGGACCCTGAATTTGCTTTCACTTATGTCTGCAGATGTCCTTTTGGAACCAAGCACGCTTCCCAAGTTGATGATGATGATGATGATGAAGACGATGATGAGAATGAGGGTGACAAGGGCACATCCAAACCCAAGTGTGATGGCGGCAAGACTTGTCTCTGCAACAAGCTCGCAGCGGACCACCCCGATGCTCCCTATGTCGTCACCCGCGCCGGCTACCGCAAGTTGATGAACCAACAAACCAACTGCCAGGTCCGCGACCCGGACACCTTCGGCATGTATACCTTCAATGACCACATGGCCTACGGCATCCTCCAAGTAATTCAGAACTTGATTCTTGACTTTGAGGAGGCCAATAAGAACTGGAGGGAGCAATGGGTCGTCTGTGAAGCTCTGTCCCCTTTCATCTGGTACCTTTCCGGGTCAGAATTTACCATGTAAGTGACGTCACAATAATCACCAAGGTACCTGAGTAGAGCTAAACATATCGAATAGGATTGATGATGCCGAAACCGCTGACAAGACAGCCAAACTCATTGGCACCATTTTCCTCTCCATGCTCGCCCGCCTTGAACGCGAGGACATGTTGAAGCCAGACTCAGAGGTCAAGGACCTTGGCATTGTCATGGCCGGTTTCATCAAGATCGCTAAGGTGTTCCGCGACAGCGACCTCATGGAGGACGACACCAAGACGCGCAAGTCAAAGAAGCGACCTTTCCCATTCGTGCCATCCAAATTTGACGAATACATCGCCGCTTACGCCAAGAAGTATAACATTAAGCTTGCCGGCGTTCCGGACATTGACAATCTTGTCAAGGACCTTAATGATGAGGTCGAGCTGCCCACGGCTAAGGATCATGGTGATGATCCGTGGGGCCTGGAGGCTGCGCTTGAGGAATATAAATCTGAGTGCAACTGCTGCGGCTTCTTTGTTCAGAGCAAGCGTTCGGAGATTGGCGGAGACTCACTGGACCTCACGTCCTGGACGTCTGCGCAGCGTAAGAAAGCTGCGTTTGACAAGAAGGAGCCGTTGCCCAAGGAAATACTGAAAGGCCTGAAAGACGGCCTGGTTATTGGGCTCGGCTAAGTGTTGTTTCTTATTTTACCCTGGTTGTGTCTCTATTTCAAAATGAAGACGAGCCATGTACCATTAAATTGCCAGTAATTGAATTCTGTATAACATGACTTGTCAACTATGCCGCAATCCAGATTGAGATATGCGTAGACACATCCATACTTCCAGACATTGTGTTAGGAAAGACTCCCTGGCTTTTACGCCGACACATTAATGCTACATTCGCATAGAATTTGTCTGACGAGGCCGGTGACTATTGTCAGTACATCCCTCGCTCAAGTGAGAGCCGAGCGAGCGTCAATTGGGTGTCTAGCGATCCATTATCACGATAACGTCACTTCTCCCCACTGGTAAACAAGACCTCGTAAGGATCATAGCCTAAACAGCATGATTTCTTGAGACTCAATGTAAAATTTGCTTGATGGTTTGTATGTAATCTCTTTTAAAACACATTACACGGGGCTATTGAGGCCCTGTTCGCACTGCTTCGAGTCCGTATAGCAAGCCAAAAATAGCCGGTCACTCGCATCCCCAACCCAAATCTTGTACCTGCCGTCGAGCTTCGGCACAACCCAGTTCTGGCTGACGACATCCCAAACACTTACATCCCTTCTCGTCAACTTCAGCTGAACAGTAGTACTCTCACCGGGGGCGAGGACTTTTGTCTTCTCAAAGTCCCTGAGCTGAATGATGGGTGTTTCCGGACCGCCCTCGGGGAACTGCACATACGCCTGAGCCGATGCCTTGCCCGAGTGCTTCGTGCCCGTGTTAGTCACTTTCACCGAGACGGTGAACATGACATCAAACAGAGCTGGGTTACCGCCCTGCGCACCACCGGCCACCGGGCCGGGCTTTTGAGCGGTGCTGTAGCCGGGCGGGTAGGGATACTTCTTCGTCTTAGCGTTCTCGACGGCTTCTTTTGCCTCACCCTCGGTACACCAGGAGTAGATGTATCTGAAGATCTTGTTGAAGCCCGAAGGGGCAACGCCTTCCGTCCAGTCAGGGATAGGGGCATCATACTCCAACACGTCGCCCTTTGCAGCACGAGCAGGAGGGGTCGCGCTAAGAGGGGTGACGGATTGAATGGTCGCATCGGAGAAGGTGAAGTTTGTGTAGCTAAGTCCATGGCCGAACGCGAAACGCGGCTTAATGCCGTTCTTGTTGAGGTAACGATAGTCGATGTACAAGCCCTCCGAGTAGGTATCTTGAGGCTGGCCAAGAGAGCCGCCAGTGAGCTGTGTGACGGAGTCCGGCAGGTCAGACTCCTTCTTTGTCATGCTGTACGGAAGATGCCCTGAGGGAGAGGCGTTGCCGAAGACGATGTTAGCAAGCGACTCTCCGGCCTCTTGACCTGGCAAGTGAGCCACGAGCACAGACTTGACGCTGGGAAGATCGATCCACTCGTCAACAAGAATAGGCCCAACTGTGTGGATCACGACAACCACATTGGCGTACTTGGCGGCGGCGTCCTTGACAAGCTTGTTGCCGTTGTGCCAAGCGTTAAGCCCAGACGCGCTCCGGTCGCCATTGTTGCCTTCTACTACGTACTGGTTCTCTCCCGAGTCAGAAGTAATGAACACAAAAGCTACATCGTCACCTGTCGGAGTAGGAACCGAGGGGAAGTTGTCGTTGTTGTAGTATACGACATTGCTGGCTCTTTTTTTGAAGGCAGTGATTGGATCATCCAGGTACTCGTAGTCGACGGTGCCTGATCCCCATCCAATACCGAGGAGACCCTTGTTGCAACTCCTATCGAGACAGGCATTCGGTCCATCGGGATTTGTCTGGGCGTGTGTGCCAAACACCTTAATAGGGGCGGAGGTTGTGATAGGCAGGAGGTTGCCCGCGTTCTTGAGCAATGTGATCGCCTCCTGCGCCACTTGCCTGGCTACAAGGTGATGATTGTCTTGGACTTGAACGAACTCATTGATGACACCGCTTGGGCTAAAGGGCCATGCTCCAGGGTACAGCTGGCCCTCCCGGCTGCGGGTTGATGTGGCGAAGTTCAGGGAAGGGTAACCCTGGTCTTGACCAAGTTGATACCAGGTCGCAATGATTCTTGTCGTCATGTCGTTAAGGCGCTCCATAGGGACAGAGCCATTCAGTACAGATCTTGTAAGATCGTACATCCAGTAGCTGTAACCGAAAAGGGGGACCTGGGTGTCTCCTGGCATGTTCATGTCGAGGCCTGCAAGAGCAGAATCGACACCGCTCATGTGTGACAGCCAGTCCGACATGACGAAGCCTTGAAAGCCGAGTTCGTCCTTGAGAATGCCATTTATCAGGTAACTATTTTGGCTGCAGGCAGACCCGTTAACCTATCATATAGTTAGTTTATACTCATAACAGACAATGGGCGTGCCTGTTTGCTGTCTTCTTACCGCGTTGTATGCCGTCATAACAGAGCCAACACCCGCCCGCACGCCATCAGCAAACGGCCAGAGATACAACTCGTGCAAAGTTCGATCATCTGTGTTGTCAGAACTGATTGATCCAAAGTTGAAGATTGAAGAAGACGAACCGATGTTAGAGCTGTAACCCTGTTGAAGCGGGTTGTACATACGGTACATTTCCTGCTCGTTACCGACAAGATGCTTGATGGTGGCGATAACGCCCTGTTCCTGAACACCCTTGATCGTCAATGCAGCACCTATGCCCTGCAATACAGGGTCACTGCCGAATCCTTCCCAGTTGCGCCCACCCTTGGGCTTACGCCCCAAGGGCCCAACGCTCGGTCCGAGATAGATGTTTGCACCTTTGCCTCGAAACTCCTTACCAATGGCAACGCCTCGAGCGTATATCAAGTCCTTGTCAAAAGTTGCGCCGGTCGTAATTCCAGACGGAAATACGGTGACATTGTCAGCTTGGCGGACACCGGTTGCTGAATCTGCGAGACAGAGTTGGGGGAAGCCAACACGAAGGGCACTACCAGTGTTGCCCACACAACGGCTGAAGCAGGTTAATAGATGTTTTTGCACATCAGTTACGCAGCACATACCCTATACACCTGTAAGCCAACTAGACACTCAGTTGGATGATTCAATCTTACCCATGAAAATGCCCGACCCGGAAGTGATGTTCGTCTTCTCGGCAAGAGTCATACGATCAACAAGGGCTTTTGCTCTGTCATAGCTGTCCGCCCAGTCTGATGTCCAACCGCCGTATGGCGCTGGATAATACGATGCAGCGACATATCCAGGAGGTACGTCTGACCTGGGAACAATCGCAGCGCCATCGCTCCATGATACCTGGCTCACAAGTAGGGAAATAACAAGAGACTTGGCGCTGGCCATGTTTATTTACTGCTCTGTATACGGGGCGCTGAGTTTGCTCGCAATCCGCCTAGAACCGGGAGCCGGTAATCAAATGAGAGATAGGAATGCTAGCTCGACGAGAACAAAGCCTCTAGGTAACTAGGACAAGACATCACGGCCGTCACTAGTTACTTATACAAAACACAGATAAGGCGTCCTCTCTGCCACATTCGGTGCCTTGTCGACTAATACGCGACTTACTCGAGGCGTGGTACCCTCATGACTCTCTGGCTCACATCTCGGTATGGTTTCCCTTGCCAATCACAAGGACGGTAGTTGGGGGGTTCACGAGGGTATTTCGACGGCGGACGATCGCACTTGGCACCCCCCAGTAAGTATAAACACCACTAGAGACACGCGAGGGACTGGCTACCCGTCCTGCTTTGAACGCATAATGGTAGGCAAAGGAGGCTTATTGTAATGAGGACAAGCAAATATTGCAACACATCAAGGTTGTGGCCTGTTCTATTTGGGAAGTTGGTACGGCACATTCGGGCCTATACGTGATCATAGGTAAGTATAGCGTGGGTGATCAATATGTCATATCGAGTAACGAGTAGGTAGAAAGTGACAGACACTAGCAAAAGGCGGGGGAATACCACCTTAGGGAGCCGATGCAGGCGTTTCTAGAGCCTGATACGTTTGGGGCTAGATACGGCGAGGTCACTCACACCGGGCGGGAGTTGGTGTGGACTAAACTCGGGTATCAAGCCACGGCATTCGTGAACTTGGGGTTAGGTTGCTAGTGGCAGCCGGAGAAGCTTGAAGTTCGTTGAGAAGCAAACGGTGGATATCACAAGATTAAACTGTGGATGAAGACCCACGACCGAGGTACAAGGGTCTTATAGGCCGGCGATGACAGCCGAAAATGTCGACATTTCCGATAAGAAGTAACGACGATTGCAGATCTCCCTCATCGCATGGTGAGGAGTCCGATAAAGCGGTCTGCCAGTTTTACGGGCTGACAGATCCGGCTCGGCTCCGAGACAAGAAAGAGGGGCAGCTGTACATAGCACTCGGCCCAAGAGAAAACTAGGTGTGTGGTCAACTGAGCAAGTGCAATATTTCCTTGAAAATAGTGCATGCGTAGCGCGTTGAAAGGTGTGTGACCGTTGTTGAGAAGGTGGGAAACATGTTGCGCGTGACCACCACTTTTTCTTCCCTTGTAGATGTGGTCGGGCATTCAACCTTAACAAGACTAGAACGAGTACCATCGAAAAGCTCCAAACGGCTGGAATCTCCAAACTGGGACCAGCTGCGGGGATCAAGGCAGGGAACAGGGATGGCACAGCACAGATACCGGCTGTTGACTGCACGGCAGACGGGTGGTGTTGATTGGGGTTCGGTAGCAGAAGGGATCGCGTTTTTGCGTGGGATGAATGAAGAGCGACTTAACAGGTCGCATCAGTGATAGGTGGCTGCAAGATGTGATTGCGTGTGCGTAGTAAGTGAGCGTGATCAGTAACATAATCTTTAGATGAGACAGTTGACTCGGATGATGAAAAACAGAAAACATATTAGATGGGCTGGGTCACTGCGTACCTGAAAAAGCATTCGATAATGTAACATTAAGAGCTGGGCAATGAGTTGGAAAAGGCGTCTTATTCAGCTTCAGTTGATTCTAAACCAGTTCAGGCAAAACTCAGGGCAAAACGACATCGATGTCTCAGCTTCTTTGGCTGTGAGTATTCGATCTACAGGTACAGATACAACGAGCAGGGAGGAAGGACAGGAGTGGTGGGCGGATAGGAAAGAGTGGGAGGGCGAATGGGAAGGAAAAGCTGGAGATGTGATGGAGATGGAGGTTTGCGACCTGCTACAAGGAGAAAGTGGTAAAAGCAGGATGACATAGCTCTGCCGCTGACCCAAGCCACCAAGTGCTTTATTCCCACCTCTTGACTTTTTTTTACGCCGCCCTCCCGCATCTCGTTGCAGGTGTGTACCGCCCTTCTTCCCCTTTGCCGCGTCTTCCCGCTCTCAATCACACATCCGTACCTTTCGCATCTCAACTTGGCATCTCGTCATCATTCTTGAAGTTTTCTGTCCCTGCTCGCCCGATTTGTTTACTCAAACGGGGGAGGGGGGACCCAGTATGGCAGTATGGATGATGTCCGCATGATGGGTTGATGACCCTACGCCAACACACCGCAAAGTATGCCCGAATACGTGATTACGGACCGCGGTCGGTTTTACGGCTTCTTCATTGACCACCTGGATGGGGAATTCCTGGTCTCGATTCGGCTTTTGGTCTGAATTGCAACTTTTTGTTGAGCTTCGGCGGGCCTGATCTATGGATTAGTCCAGGGGACTCAAGGCTCTAGCCAGGAACAACACCGACTGGGGGCAGCCATGATGGGCCACCGCTCATCGAGACTAGGAATGGTGCTCCAGCTTTTACCATCACGTTTTTTCTTACCGTACGCTATTGTCTCGAAGAAACCCAACAGAAGTGGGAACCGCCCAGTAACCCCCCTGGCCCCGCGCTTCTAGATGCCAGCCACTTGATTTGACCTTGTTCAATGAGCGGCAAGCCCACTAATAGAGATGCTTGGCTCACGTGGCGCCTAATACGACCCCAGTTTCTCAGACTGATTGCTCAAGGGGGTTTCCTCTCTATCTTTTCTGAACCACCCCCCGTCATGAACCTCTCAATGGCCTTGCTTGACTACACCAGAGCCTGTTTATTACCGCCATGGAGGTCCATCACACCCACGTGGTGCGTCTTAAGCACCGGGTTCAAGTCATAATTGGCCCTTCCTATTTTTGACTGCGAGCTCTACCGGTTTCCAACTGCAGTGATATTGACAAGGACAAGGCTTGATACTCTTCCATTCGATGAGGCCACCCAATGATCAATGCTGTCGGTCCGTCACATCCACCTTGCTTAAACATCTGGAGCTGAATACCTTGCCTGCATATGTCTTCGTGGAACCACGGAGGCACCACTTCCCATTGAGAATGGCTTTCTTAGTGCCGATTCCCACGCCCAGTGCCTGGCGAGATCTCTCCAAGATGCGGAGAAGTTGCCGGAAAGGACAAGGCCTTGCTTATTCTTTGCTCTAGTGCAATATTTTCCCTCCGCGGTACACGCGCGACCTCAACGTTCATTCGATGATTGCCCCCTCCCAATCTCCTTCCGGGCACCGTTGAAGTAGTTAGATGGTGGACTCTCACCGCAGACCCCTACGGACTGCCCAGGTGCACGAGTCGGTGTCGATCCACCAAGTCTCTACACCCTGTCAAGGTGTCTACAACAAGGCGGCATGTATAAGATGCTACAGCTGCGTCGTACTAGATGAGAGTTCCCTTTGGCTCTTCGTTCGGTGTGTGTCTGTCCTACGAGCGAGTTCTCGAACGAGTTTTGTTCCTGCTGCCCTGAGTCGTTGCTCTACTATCCGTCACCATGTTGTCCAGCTTGTCTCTTCTCTCTGTCCTGTCGGTCGCCGTCTCGGCTTCTCCTCTTCTGAGTGCTCGTGCCCCGGTGGCCGCCCTCAATGAGAGAGGTAAGCACTGCCAGAATACATGTCAACTACATCTATAAATACTAACACAATCAGCTGTGACTGTATCCGCCGCCAACTTCGACAACTTCAAGTACTACGCAGAGGTACGTGCCAGACTATGTAACGTATAACACATCATCCATCTAACACACGCTGCTCTGTAGGTGGTCCAGGCTGCAGCTTGCAACAGTGATGCTGCCGCTGGAGCAACCATTGTCTGCAGCTCCGAGGCTTGCCCTGCTGTTGAGGCAAACGGCGGAAAGATCGTTGGTACCTTCACGTAAGTGATCTATGGTAGTCAACTTGTCATCACCCAGCACTGACCTAGCTTAAGTGGACATGTGACTGGCCTGAAGGGCTTCGTTGGCACGGATCCCGCGAGGAAGAACATTGTCATCGCCATCCGAAGCTCTCACAACGTCCGCAACTGGATCACCAACATCCTCTTCGGCTTGGACGACTGTGACTTCGTCGACGACTGCAAGATTCACTCGGGCTTCTCCAACGCTTGGGACGAGGTCAAGGATTCCGTCATCAACTACGTCAAGGCTGCTAAGGCCGCCAACCCTACCTTCACCGTTATTGCGACGGGCCACTCCCTAGGCGGCGCCATCTCCACCATTGCTGCCGCCGATCTTCGCCGCCAAGGCTTCCCGACCGACGTCTACACTTACGGCAGCCCCCGTGTCGGCAACGAAGCCTTCACCAAGTTCGTTACCGACCAGCCCGGCGCCGAGTTCCGCATCACCCACCTCGATGACCCCGTCCCCCGCCTCCCCCCCATCTTCCTCGGCTACCGCCACACCAGCCCTGAGTACTGGCTATCCACTGGCAGCACCACCACCGTCAACTACACCATTGCCGACATCAAGGTCTGCGAGGGCTCCGCAAACACCAAGTGCAACGGCGGCACCTTCGGCCTCAACATCGACGCCCACAAGTACTACTTGAGCAAGACCAGTGCCTGCAACACCGACGGCTTCGAGTTCCGTGGAAGAGAGGAGGAAATCTCGGACGCTGACCTCGAAGCTCGCCTCAAGACATGGGTACAGATGGACCTCGAGTACGCCAAGTCTATTAGCAATGCTTAAAGGACCGCAAGGGGACTTTCACACCAGAGCAACATCATGACCGTGTTATGATTGGATCAAATCAAAAAAGAGAAAAAAATGAGCTAGAAAGCAAGGCAGGAAGCGGGGTTCCGGAGTTGGTTTTTTTTGGGAGCAGCAGGGAACTACAGATACCATTGGAAGACGCATGAAAGAGACTTGAAGGATCCCCCCCATGGCTGGGCATTCCATGATATACACATCTTCAATGTATATAATTGTGTAGTACATAATCCGTTAACAAGCCGGTTGCCCGGTGCTGGATCGATTACCAAAATTCCGACCCAAGTGCCTCATTTGCAAAATTTGCCTTCTTCCGGTTACTGCGAGATAACAGATGTGGTGAGAGGCCCAGGTAGCGGCTGACAAAATGCAACACGGACGTGATTACAACGTCGACGGTGTTGAATGACTCGCCATCAACCACCCCCCTTCTTACACATGTAGACGAAAGCTGACCATAATACTGGGTCATGGTACCCGATTGAGCGAAGCAGCCCTAAATTCAGGCCTTAACTAGTCATTTAAGTGTTTCGTCTGCATGTTCCGAGAGAGGCATGGCCCTTCGTTCCATATATATGAGCTGCAGCGTCCCACGCTTGGCGACTGATTGAAATGGAGTCTTACAGCCATGTTTTGTTCACCTGAAGATGTGGAACCAAAACCAACCAGTCACTCACGTTGCTACCAACAAGAGGTCAGAGAAGCTACATCCGTAATCACTGGATCCGTCTTCCGGTTGTTTCTTGAGCAATATAGACCTAGTTACCTGCTGTGAAGCTCAGTCTAAGAGGAAAAGCAAAAGTGAATACTCATACAAAGAATGGAAGTGCCAATCCATAATCGCGGGCACAATGCCGTCGAGCTATAAGGGGTATAACGGAAACCAACTCCACTGAAAGCTGGTCAAAGCCATACAATGTACCCATCCCCCCCTGAAACGCCGCCAGAAACCCATGATAGTATGATCCTACCAAAAGAACAACCACTGAGAAACCAGCCAAGTAATAATCTAAGAGCCCCGGAAAAGGAATTGCATGTCTTCCGGGCTCAGTGACTCCATGGCCTTCTCGTCAGCATTGACAGTGGAGTTAATCATATTGGTTTTCTTTTCTTGAATCAGAACCATGCGACTCTCGACAGAGTCTTCGATACAAAGGCGGGTAATGGTGCAAGGGCGTGTCTGACCGATGCGATGGCAACGATCGGCTGATTGCCACTCTGCGGCAGGATTCCACCAGCTGTAGCGATATGCTAGTTAGTTGCGTCTTCTTCTTCTTTTCAAAAGGGGATAAGAGACTCACGGGTCAACGATGAAAACTCGGGACGCCTCGGTAAGGTTCAGGGCAACACCACCTGCCTTGAGAGACACGAGGAAGCATTCAACCTCAGGTTTCGTCATGAAGTGGTTGATGGAAGCCTGGCGCTGCGCAGGGTTCATACTACCATCCAACATGACAGTGGTAATGCCAGCGCGGCGAAGGCGCCACTCAATCAGCTGTAGCATAGACGAGAACTGTGAAAAAATGATGGACTTGTGAGATGCGTTGTCAGAGCGAAGTCTGTGAAGTTCGTGGACGAGAAGTTCAATCTTGGACGAGGAGGTCCAATTCTCCATCTTGATCCGATTGATAATCGATGACTTCTTGACTTGGACCTCGTCCTGCTCAATCTCCGGTTGCTCCAAGTCAATGGCCAAGCCGATGTGGCACTGAGGGCAGTCGGGTTCTGCCGACTGCATCAGATAGCTTCGAGCGCAAGCACGGCAGAAATCATGCTTGCAGCGACTTTTTATGGCGTCCTCGGCAGGCTCGTCACAGATGCAACAGACAAGAGTATTTTGACCGCCCTCTGCATTCTTCTTCAGGATCAAATCAGGATGGTCCGCAACTTGACGCATCTGCATAATAAGACCAAAAATATTGGCATAATTATTAAGCAGCACTCCCTGAGCAACATAAGTCTCGAACTTGCGCTGACCGTTTGTCATAATGCTGTTGGCGAAGTCGTTCTCAACTTCACCGAAAAACTGTCGATTGACATAGATTTCCTTCACAGGAAGCTCCATGGAATTGGTATGATCCTTCTTCAGGCGACGGAGCATGATGCGGTCGGTCATGAGACGAAGCTTTTGGAACGCCTCGCGGCCCTTGCCGAAGTTGCCAAATTTTTGAATTGGGTTGAGAAGCTCTTGGTTGAACACAGAAACGTGTTGCATACCAGCATGTCCGCATGTGTTGCAGCGGTGCCTGTCGTTCAGGTTCCATTCCAAGCCAGCGCAGGGGCACTGTTTACACAAGTAGGACGCATATGGCTTGATTTCGAGGAAGCGAAGCAGGGAAAAGAACTCGCCAATCCGGTTTTGAAGAGGCGTACCAGTTAAGCACCATCTGTATTCGGTTTTGAGAGCGAAACATGCTTTAGCTGTCATGGTAGTTCGTACTTTGATGCTGTGAGCTTCATCAAGGATGACGCGATGGAAGTCGATCTTGTGGATAAGGCTCTCCTCCTTGTGAATGCCATCTTTACGAGTAAAGCCCTTCTCTTGCTTGCGGTACATGGACTCAAGACTGTTGTAAGACATCATAATGACATCAAATTGCTTCAACTCCTTAAGAGTCATCTGCTTCGTCTTGCTGAGTGAGCCGTGATATACGAAAGTTTTCAAAGTGCCGTCAGTGTAAGCTGCGATTTCCGATTGCCATTGCATCAACGCGACGGGGGGGACCAAGACGAGAGACGGAAGCTTCGCGGGGTAGTCTGACATGATCAATGAGACCGCCTGAATGGTCTTGCCAAGACCCATCTCGTCTCCGAGCAGGCCACCTCTATAATCAGTTTTCTCCATGGCAATCATCCATGCGACTCCCTCGAGCTGGAAGGGCTTGAGTTGACGAGAAATCTGTGCTGGCTGAGCTATTTTCTCGGGCCTAATAGGCGGCAAAGCTTTCAGCTCTTCCCACATGGTCTTGATCTCTGGGTGATGATGTTCAAGTCTGTTACGCTCAAGCTTGCCACGGCGTCGGGAGCCATGTTGATAAGCACGACGAAGGCGGGATTGTCTAGCGACAGCGTTCTGCATGTTCTCACCATCCGACTCGCTTGAATCCGCAGAGGCTGGGGTCGTAGCGGAGCCGTCAGATACATAGCTGGAAAGGCTGGACAGCCCGTCAGAATCGTCATCTGGGAGCGCTGCATGAGTGGTAGCAGAGACGGAGGTAGTAGCTCTGGATTGTCGGACAGCCTTCTTAACCGTCTTAGTCGATGATCTTCTTGGGTTCTCATCAATCTCCTCCTCAGAATCGCTATCTTGTATAGCGAAGTCTTCTATGTCATCCACTTCCATGGGTCCGGCGAGCTCATCGTCATCAGAATCGGCAATGGAACCCTTTTGTCGCTTTGCTGCCGGCTTTGGAGCTGGAGCACTGATGTTGGAAGACCGACCACGACCACGTCTGGCTCGCGCAGCGAGAGGCTCGTCATCTGTATCCGCCTCAACAATATCTTTGGCAGAAGGTTGGGCTGGGTTTGATGCTGTAAGTGATCTTAAACTACGCCGACCACGTTGCTGGTGTATTTCAGAAGGAGCCTCGATGAGAGAATCAGCCTCATCGTATTCCTCTTGTTGCAAACGAATGGCGAGGTCAACATCAGAAACGCCGGTGGTGCCCTTGCGATTTTCCTCATTTTGGAGGCGGCGGGCAACAATAGCATCAGGAGAAGTGTCAGAGTACTCTTCTTCTTCGTCATCGCTATCTCCGACATCAAAGCGCTTGCGTTTGGTTTGCGGCTTCAGTGAGTATTCACTTCGACGTAGGGCTCGCTCACGAGAGTGGTCTGCGGCAGTTGGAAGCTGGATCTCAAACAGCGGGTTTGATCGACGTGATCTGGCGGTACGTCTCAAGCCATTGCCTGTAGATACAGATGGAGCGGGTGTCGCAACGTTGCTCGTAGCTGGAGTAGAATCCTCGCTGGCTGAGGTGAAGTCGGCAGAGGCCGTAGCAGATGGAGCAGAGGAAACCGAATCATTGGCGAGTGAGGGAGCCTGACCAGGCTTTCCACGACCTTCTTTTGCTGGAGTCCGGTGCTGGTCCAACTGGATCACAGGTTGTTTAATTGCTGTTAAATTCTTGGCCGAGGCAGATCTAGTGACACGACCAGTGCGTGCAGCAGCAGCGGGAGTAGAGGCTGAGCTTGGGGAGTCTGAGAAACTTGTGTTAGTTGCTTGTATTTCGCTCATTTGCTTAAATTGACATATGTGATCTGAAATAATTGATTGTGAGTGCTCTAAGAACGAATGACAGGTACTCACTTGCTCGGGTGGAAGCCAAGCTCCCAGCAAGAGAAGGACGACCTCGACCACGACGGCCAGTCATTTTGATCGATATTGTTATGCCTTTGGTCTTGAAATTACCACCAAAATCAAGACTTCAGAAGCGAATGAATAATGAAATTTCACGACTGTTATTATTCGCGCAGAGGTGAAAGTTTGCTGCTGCGTAGACAAAAAAAAGTTGGGATGGGGGGACAAAGCTCGGCAAGTGTGTGGCAAACGATCTCAGAGGCTTATCGCCGATGTAGGTCCCCTGGTCTTGGGCTGATGAACACAATTGCCGTTCGACAGTTTGGAGTGGGGGAAAAGGGAAAAAGGAGAGAAAATGAAAACGTAGTAAGGCCGACGGCAGTTATGTTTTTGGTTACAGCGTCCTTGTGATGTGAAAAGGGGAAAGAGATGGATGTGTGATGAATGAAAATTAGATTGGTGAGTTTGGTCTTGCCACTTGCTGCTACTCCTTTTGGTTCAAGCTGAGAGGCCAATGGCAAGGGGAAAGTGGGAGGAAATCTGACACGCGTGAAGAGCCCACCACTCAAAAAACGGGCTCTTTACACGAAGTCACATGACCTCTTTGTCAAGGGAGGAAGGCACTTCCTGCAGGTGTGCCTGCCTAGAGCTTGCCTCGGAAGGGGCCTAGCTGGTCCCTTAGAGCCTGCTTTTGAGTGGGAGTGGATTGCAAACATTTTAGCACATTGAAGTGCAGCAAGCTAAAGCTACTCTACCTGGCTTCCTTTACAAAAAAAAGAAAAAAAGAAAAAGAAAAGAAAACATGACGTGACGCAACAGGCCATTTCTGTTTCTGTTCCTATTGAAAAGATGTATCCCCCTTAATGGTGATTACCGGCTCATCTAAGCCCAGTTGAAATGGTGGTGATGCTCCCAGCTGTGGAATTGTATCCCGATCTCCATGCTCCTGAATCTCCAGTGGAAGCTGGCCGATTTGGGGCGATCGATCCCGTACCCCGACGTCTCCGGTGCAGTGGCTCTGGCCCCACGCCTTCCCGTTAACTTGCTTACCCCACTTCATTTAAACCCCCTGGCAGCTGCCTAGTTTACGCATGGCCCCAGCCAGCAGTCTGGCTTGTCGCACGGCCTCCGTTCACCTTGACACTATTACAGCTCTTCTGTTCTCACAGGTTAGCGATCATATCTACAGTGTGGACAAAGGTGGGGCCAAGCTCGTCACAAAGGCACCCTGTCCAATTGAGCTTGACGCTGCTAGGGAGCGAAGAACACCCTTCAGCTGGCACTTCTTTATCGCCTCCCCATTTGCCCCCCGAAGAAATATCATGAGTTTTGGCAAAAATTTCCCTCCTCTCAAAGCTAGACCCCGTAGCAAGGGTTTTATTTCTTTTTAAGACACAGGAACGAGGAAAACTTCTCAGTCTATCTCCACACCGTCATCCTTTTCAGATTTTGCGGTCAGTCTTGTTCTTTCCACTCTTACATAGCTGTGTGGCGTGAAATCTCCCGCCAACACCTTCGCCACTCTGGCGGGATAGAGTTATCCCATTCAACATCAAGCTGCAGCACATGCTGACCTTCCAACATCAGAACTGCCCGCTGCAAGGTCTGTCAGCCAAACGCGGGCTGGGAGTGAAGCCTTCTAGGATTCCTGGTTACAGCGCTTGTCAACTTATTAAACCCTTAAGAGCAGGAAAAAGTGCGACCCCTTTTCTGATCGACAAATTCATTGAAAATGGCACGAACACAAGCATCGCGGAGAGCTCAGAGTAGATCTCAAGCAATAGCCCAGGCACCAGGTCAGGCTCAAGCCCAAGCCCAGCCTTCAGCCCAAACTCCAACACAAAGTTCAACCCAGCCTGCACAACAAACGCAGGCGCCTGATCAGGGCCAACCAGCCCAGCAGAACCAAGGCCCAGCCAATAATCGCCCGGCCCGTCACATCTCTGGACCGTGAGTAATTGATAGAAATAGATAGCTACGTGTCTGGGTACTAACTTCTTTATTAGTCAATCAGCCTTGACTGATTATTTGGCTGTGAGTTCACAAGCTAAACTCATACATTGCAAACACTAATGCACTTTTATAGTCCCATAACATATCTGCAAACCAGATCCGTCGTGATGCTGACAGGCGCCGTGCTGCTGCTGCACAGAGCCAACAAGCTCAGCAAGATGAAGATGACGAAGAAGCCGGCCCATCGACCGGGCCCAATCCTGACTCCCGCAATGAGACGGCAGCAGAGAAAGCTAAGCGCAAGAAGAAGGAGCAACAGGCCATTGCCAAGATCAAGGCCTCCAAGGCCTTCAAGAAGCGAAAGCGTGCCGCTGAGGATTCAGAAGATGAAGATGACATCGCTCGAGCTTTGCTGGAACAGATGTCTCAGCCCATGCCTGGCCAGTTTGACAACTGTGACATCTGCCAGAAGCGCTTTACAGTTACACCGTATTCTCGTCCTGGGCCTAACGGCGGCCTTCTTTGCGCCAAATGCAGCAAAGATGCTGCCGCCGACGACAAGCATGCCAATAAGAAGCCTCGCAAGGCTCCCGCAGGAGGGGGTGGACGTCGTAAGGTTCAAAGCAACATTCTAGACGGCACCTACCATACCGGCGCGAAAAGGTTGACAACACTGTGTATTGAGACGCTGGCCAAGAATGTCGACCTTGCCGATAGCTTGGGTGAGCTCCCTGACCATATTGTGGACAGAATTGCTCGGCTGTTCTCCAAACGTCGACTCCTCAACCCCCAGACTTTGGCGCTATTTCTTCAGCCCTCAACCTCCTTCATCAACATCTATGATGGCGCCAAGCTGACTACAGATGACTACATGAGCATTTTCCAGGTTGCCAGTAAGCTTAAGGAGTTTAAGTCTCGCAATGCGATCCAGTTCAAGGACTCGGTTATGGACTACCTACTGGATCGCGATACGCAGCTCAAATCCTTCTATCTCCATGGTGCCAACCTTCTCAGCGACGACATGTGGGCCAGGCTCATTAAGGAGAGGGGTACTCACCTAAACACTATTCGGGTGTATTATACAGACAGGCATTTTGGAGACGAGATATTGGCTTTGCTTCCAACCAACTGCCCTAACCTCACTCGCCTCAAAGTTTACCATAATCAAAAAGTTACCAACATCGGTATCGAAGAGATTGGTAAAATAAAGAGCCTGAAGCATTTGGGCCTCCACCTGCAACATCGGATCGATTCCAAAGTCATGTCATCCACAATTCTCAGCATCGGAGAACACCTGCAGACACTTTCCCTACCACTTTTTCTTGACGCCACCGATGAGGTCCTTGCTGCTATCAAAAATTCTTGCCGCTCTTTGAAGAAGCTTCGAATTAGGGACAGCGACAGGCTGACCGATGCTGGCTTCGTCGACCTTTTTACCGACTGGGAAAATCCGCCACTCGAGAAGATCGATTTTGAGAAGTGCCGTCATGTGGATTCCAATAAACCCCGAGAAAACCCGTCCGACATTGGTCTCTGTTCTAATGGTTTCCGTACTTTGATGAAGCACTCTGGGCGTAAACTCAAGGACTTAAATGTACACGGTTGCCGACATATCACGCGAGAGGCTCTCGAGGATGTCTTCTCGGAAGAGAATAGCTACCCGGACCTCCTTAAACTTGAGATCAGTTTTCTAGAGGAGGTCGATGACTTTGTGGTTGGTTGCGTGTTCCGCAGCTGTCCAAACATCAAGGAGGTCAACGTATTCGGTTGTATGAAGGTCAAAAATGCTCCAGTACCAAGGGGCAAAGTTTTGGTTGGCGTACCGAATGCAGTGGGCATGGTTATCGAAGGTTCTGCCGATTAACCACTGGCCATCATTTTCTTCACGAGCGATCGTATGAGTTTGCGAGATATTTTAGCAATGAAATTAGCTGAGTGAGCATTCAAATGGTAAAAGCTCTGATGCCTCTATGCTTTGACCCTATTTTCAGAGTTCTCTCTCAATATTGTTATCTCGATGGTGCTAGAGATTGAGCATTTCAAACGCGGCCCGGTCAGGTTGTGGGTGTTTTGGGATGCCTGGCTACATGATTAGATGGCGATTCCCTCAGATACTTATTAGAAGGACCTAGTTTGATCTTTACCTTGTTACATGGCAGTTGGGTATTTCCTAGAATCTGTGACTAATGAAATTCCCAGCTGCAGTATTCAGTTTGATGTTAACTCCCTTTTTTTTTCATTTTTTTTTTTCATTTTTTTTTTTTTTTTCACTTTTTTCGTTTTTTTCTTTTTCTTTTTCAGTTTGCGATTTTACATCTCGAAATTGCTCTGGCATCAAATCCGCTCCTGAAGAGACGGTCTCGTTCATTGGTATCCCGGATTGTGGCACCGGAACGGCTGGGAACTTGAGTCCGCTGGCAAGGCCCTGACACCGCCACAGAAAATCCACTTACAATATAATGGGGCTAGCTCAGCTCAGCCTCAGCTCCCTGCGTAAGATGCACCGCCGCTGTTCCCTCCATGGGTACTCCGTACACACTGCATGTACCCATTCGTCGTATCCACACGATTCCTTGCATGCTGGCCTGAACTTCCCCTGACTATCCAACCAGGCTGAAGCAACACGGCAATACGGGCCACGACCAAACATTTGCATCGCTCGAATCCCTCTTCCCTACCGCCATGATCTTTTTTCCTTTTTGCTCTCTCTTCGAGTGAATTGGATGGATCTTGCCTGTACGCCATCGTCGCCCGAAAATATGTCTCGTCGCTGGGCACGAAAGCTGGAGCGCTGCTGCTGCACTTTCGCGACCTACATTCCCCTAACCTTCGTCTACAGCTTGACAACCTGGGCTGTTTGGGTGGATGTCACCATCCCGTCCCAGTCTTCAAAGGCCACTTGGCTCGGTAAGTTTCACTCATGACGTCGGCCCTGACGTCGTCCGCGCTCCATCGGTAACGACAGTCAGAAGAGAAACTCATGCGACATTAGGAACTGGATCGTCCTCCATAGCTATTCTACTCTACTGCCTGCTCAACTGGTCTTACACAACCGCCGTTTTCACGAACCCCGGTAGCACGACGAACGATAATGGCTACAGCACGTTACCAACCGAGGCGCCCCCGGCCGCCACCTCATTCACCGTCAAGTCCAATGGGGAAATACGATTCTGCAAGAAGTGCCAGGCAAGGAAACCGGACCGTGCCCATCACTGCTCTACATGCCGTCGCTGTGTTCTGAAGATGGATCACCATTGTCCCTGGCTGGCGACTTGCATTGGGCTCAAGAATCACAAGGCGTTCCTGTTGTTTTTGATCTACACGACAATCTTCTGCTTCTACAGCTTCTTTGTGTCAGGAAGCTGGGTATACATGGAGATAATCAACGACACCACCTTTGAGGAAACGTTGATGCCTATTAACAACGTCATTCTCAGCGTGATGTCTGGAATTATCGGTATCGTAGTTGGTGCATTCACAGGATGGCATATAATGCTTGCAAGCCGTGGCCAGACGACCATCGAATGCTTGGAAAAGACGCGCTATCTGTCACCACTTAAGAAGTCGATGCAGAATCAGTTTGTCGCCCAGCACAGCGGCGAGGGCATTCCCTTGCCCGCTTACGGTCAGCAACTCCTCGATATCCATGCGAATGCTCTGCCCGGCATCACTCGGCCCGAAGAAGGCGAGGAATACCGCGGACATCCGGGCGCGTCAAGACCGATGCACCGATCATACGAAGAAATGGAACGAGAGCGTGCGAAGAAGCGCTACGAAGAATACCTCGATGAACAGGACTCGGAAAAGCTTCCTAACGCCTTCGACCTCGGAGCGAAACGGAATCTATTGCACCTTTTTGGTCCCAAGCCCTTGTTATGGTTTGTTCCTATATGCAACACCACTGGCGACGGCTGGTCGTGGGAGCCCAGCCCTAAGTGGACTGCAGCACGCGAGCGTCTGGCCAGGGAGCGCGAGGAGCAGCGCGCTCGTGAGATCAACGCCGGCTGGGGCACTGATGAACCCCCTGCCTTTATGCAGCCTGTACCCACAAAACCCGACGGCGCCGGCCGCCACTACCTAACCTCACCACCTCCACCCACGAATGCCGCCAACGGAAGCAATGGGCGTAAGATGCCATCCAAAGCTGACCGTGTTCTGGGCCGCGACCCCAACCTTTACGCGGATGGGTTCCAGGAGTCGATGCCGATGCGCAAACTCAGTCCCCGTGGTACGGCCCTCGAGGATGAGTTGACGGACAGCGACCTTGACATGGACGACGTTGTTGCGGCGGAACACCGCGCCATGAACCTCGTCACCAACGGTGGCTGGGGTCGGAGCGGTGCCAGTGGCTTGCTGAAGAAGCACAGTCCTACATCACCGTCTTTCAGGACTTCGCCGTCCAATGATGATACCGTGGACTAAATTAAAAAGCCAGTTCTTAAAAAATCACAGGGAGCGTGCTTGAGAAAGATATAGTGGTTTGAAAGTGATATCCAAGGCATATTCTGGCCAGCAGGTTTCAACGGATCCAAGAGGGCATGGCTGCGGCGTCGTTAGAGTGTATAGGCACTTTTGTATGATTTATTTAATTGCGGGGAGAAACTCGGAACTCGAAGGACGGATCATCTGAGGTGTATATCGACATTTGTATTTCATTGGTGTTGAGGAGTGTTCGATTTTTAGATTCTTGTCCTCTTCGTGGGCACGATACTCTACTGAGAGAGGAACGATAATCGGTAGCAACTTTGCCGTTATGAATATCAAGAAATTTTTACTTACTTTAACCGGACCTGGGGTCGCTTCTTATCACTAATGCTTGGCAGGGACGCTCATTAAACGCTCACTAGCTTGCATCATAATGTCGATATTTGTAGTGAGAGCACCTTGGACCCCGAGCTCTATCTTTCGAAACCTCTAATCTATCTCTTTGAACATATCATTCAGAATCAGAGTCACTGTAGTCGCCTTCACTACCCTCGTCGTCGTCATCATCTTCTTCGTCATCATCCTCCTCGTCCAGTTCCATGTCGTCATCGTCACCCTTGAAGCCGTAGTCATCGTGGAAGTCGGCCAATGGTTTCACCTGAGTCTTGTATCCCATCTCCTTGAAGGCCTTGTCAATATTCTAGAAGTTGTTCGTCAGTATTATGTCACCCATAAGATGCTCGAAACAAAGGCGCAACATACCTCTTGAAGAATCGGGGCACAAGTGATGACAATGTTGCTTGTCTTCGGTTCAAATAGGGGCATAATGAGTTCCTTTAGCACAGCCTTGATTTGGTCGTTTGTCACATCACGAACGTCGCGCATGACCTTCTTGTGCCAATCGAGCGGCAGGCTCCGCACAACGCCGAGCATAAAGTTCTGCGCGGCGGCAGAGGCCATGGTAGATTGCTCGTCGGCAAACTGCACGACAACCTGGCTGATGGCACCCTCCTTGAGATGCCGGTCAATTGGTGTCTCGCCGTCAGCAATCTTGCGGATAGTCTCGCGTGAGGCAGCAAATGCCTTGCTGGCGTCCGGTGAGCGGTATATCTTGTACTGAATAGTACCTGCATCGAGCTCCCGTCCAAAATACGAGCCGTACGCCAGACCTTGGCCTCGGACAGAGTTCCAGAGAGGCCCCTCAGCAGATTCAAGGTAGCCAATGGCAACCATAATCGCAGGCAGACGCGGGTCTTCGAAAGAGGTAATGCCCTTGGCCGTGCTGACGCCGAAGGAGCTGTCTGCGGTGGTCATGGGAACAATTACGGCGCCAACATTGCCGGGGTTCTTGCCATCAGCAGTGAGAAGCGTGTGTGGTTTGGTGATTGGGATCAGCTCGTTAGTAGGCTTGAGGGTCTTGCTGAGAATGTCCCAGGCGGCAATCGGCTCCGGCAGACGGGAGACGTCAGCTGTCACCAGAACGCGCACGTTGTTGAAGGTGAAAAGAGACTTGCGCAGCTGCTCGAACCAGGAAAGAACCTTTTCCGGGTCGGACGCGATGAGCTTCTTCAGTCGGCGGAGATAGATAGCGCGGACAAGCGCACGTTTGGCGACCGAGTACGACTCCTTCTTCATGTGGATGGACATGTCAACCTCAGAGGCCATGGATCTGCCGTCGCGCTTCATCTCGGGAATGTCTGCCAAATGTTTTTGCACACCTGCCTTGAGGCGCTGGACATCGAAGACGCTGTCAAACATCATGGTCCGAACCCAGTTGATAACAGTGGAGTACTTTTCAGGTTCGATCTGGAACTGTATCATAATGCCATCTGGGTCACCATAGTCTCTCGTAGAACGAAGACCGTAGCTAATGGTGTCCTGTTCCAGTTCCATGACGACCTGCTCGAAACTAACTTTCTCCCCGTTACGCATGATAGGCGTGTTGAAGAAGTTGTCGTTGAAGATGGGTACCAGAGGCTTGAGCTCAAGTGGCACTTGCGAAGTACCCAAGTAAACGGTCAAATGAACGAAGTTGGTGGGCACGCTTTCGAACTGAATGAAGAGAGGATCCTCCCCTTGCTTGGAACCATCAATGATCTTCTGTGCCGGGTTGGTAGGAAGACCCAGACTTCTTGCCTTTCCAGCTCTCGCCGTGTCTGATTCAATGAAGTGAATTGATTCGGTGCCGGGCACGGGCCATTGATCTACAACTGAGGCAGGAATAGGCTCATCGTTCTTGGCTTTGGCGGCTTCGAGGCGCTCCTTGAGCTTCGCCAGACCTTCTGGGCCAAGCTCTTCCTTTCTTTTCGCCAGTCTTGCCTCCTCATCCGCCTTTTGCTTCTTTGCGAGCTCATGCGAGGGCTTACCCAGAATAGAAACGTGGGGGGCGTCTGAGATCCATTTACGCAGAAAGTCTCTCCATTGCTCATCGGTCCACTTCTCCAGGATCTCATACTCAGACAAGGACTTCAAGTCCTTAAGAGTCGAGCCATCGCGGTTACCAAAAAGGTAATCTGTAATGATGTTTGTGGAGTAGAAGCTCTCTGATTCTTCAGCTTGGAACTTAACCTGGAGACGTTCGCGGTGGATGCAAGATGTCAAGTACTCCATATCCAGAGGCTTCGACGCAACCTCTTTCAGAAGGTCGATCAGTCTCTTCTCGACAAATTCGAGTTTCTCTGTCTCCACGCCGGTGGGCTGGAACCAGATCACAGAGTTGGGCCTTGCATCCCACCAGTATGAGACCGAGCTGGCTAGTTCCTCTCTCTCGACAATGACGTTCTCAAGTATTGATACAGAGGATCCGCATAGATATGTGAGGAGAACGTTGAGCGCAGAAGTTGCCACAACATCGGTACAGTTAGGTCCGAAGAAAGCTACGGTGATCTCGCCTACTGACTCATCCTCTTCAGGAAACTCGGCTGTTGTGATTATTGACTCTTTGAGGGCTGGAGGTTGCGCTGAGTCGATCCAGGGCCTGGAGCCGATGTCAGTACACAACTTCCCAAGCATTGAGCAAGTTTTCCTTACCTCTGAAAAGGCGAGTCCAACGGTGGGAGATCATCTTTGATGCTCTCCTCGAACTCATCAAGAATTTGCAACAGATTATCATGATCCGCCTCACCAATGATGACAACGCACAGGTTGCGAGGCTGGTACATGTCCCGATGGAACTGGCGAATGCGTTCGTTTGTCAAAACACGTAGCGCATCAGTCATACCGCCGGTCTCATACCGGAAGCCCACATTTTCAGGATACAGAAGCCGACGAGCCTTAAGATCCATGATCTCGGCACTTTTGAACTGGACAGCCTGCATTTCGGAATAGACCACTCCCGCATCGTTGCCCTCGCCATCGATGTGGTGCACCTCGGTCACGCATGCCTCATCAGTCAGAATAGGCAAAATAACGTGCTCCAGATACACGGGTAGAATCTGGGAGAAGCCTTCCCAGCCGGCGCTTTCCAAAGTATAGGCTGTATGGTCTGTCGCAGTCCAGGCGTTGGTCCCTGAATAAGCTCGGGATGCTAGTTTGTCGAGAAGACCCTTGTAGCGATAGTTTTTGGAGCCCATAAAAATCAAATGTTCAAGAGTGTGAGGAGCACCGGAATCATCAAAGATCTCAGTTGCGAGGGTAAAGTAGCCATTGGTCTTCGGCCCTTTGCGATCGGCAACGATGACTTGCATACCACTTCTTTCCGAGACATACTGACTGATCTGACAAGGAGCGTAGTCTGTCTTGAAGCTTTGGATCTTGCGGAACCGCGGCTGCGGTTTGGTTGCGGGAGACATGGTGCTTGTCTTTGCTGCTAGCGGAGTGTGATGATGTCTGTCAAGTAGAATGTCAGCGTCTCCAAATAATCAACAGGGGCGATTTATGGGCTGGCAGACAGAAGACCACGAGATTGGGGGCGGGGGAACGTGTGAATGAGGAAGGTAGTCAGCGCGTCGGGAGGGGGGGACTTGAGCAAGGTCGCAGACAAGCAACCTCAAGAGGTAGCAATTTAAAAAGACAGAACGATGGATCGGAAAAACAGGTCAAAAATTGTCGACTAGCCCGATGACAGTGAAAGTAGCCCATTCTCCAAGCGATACAGGGTCATAAATATCCGTCGGTGAAGGATTTTATCTGGACAAGAATATGGGCGGGTGGGTGTGATACTTGTAAGACACCAACGAACGAGGCTTTATGATTAAAAGAATATTGTAGGAACTGAAAAGGAACTGAAGTTCATGTAATGACACAACCTCGCCACAGTACTAACGGATTATAGCGATGTTCGTAGTAGTTGTTGAACAGACATAATGCTAGCAGGGCTGCTGCAAGAGCATAAGCCACTTGACTAGCCCCTAGAGTCGGCATAATATTAGGGATCTCTCAAGATAGATACCCCGGGATAATTAATCTAACACATAGAAAAATGTAATGCTCAATGAGGCCAGACGTGGGCGGCTTCAATGAAGGCGCCATCGTGACCAAGAGTCTCAAAGGCGGGGGGATTGTGTGACGGCAAGAATAGCCAATCGGGATTTTTGAAATAAGAGAGATGCCTAAGAGGGCTGACATGATAAGACGCTTTGAAAGTGCAACAGCTTACCTTACGGAGAGACGGCAGCCCAGCCTTATTGATTGAGAGAAAGAAAACCAATGAGGCCTCCCCAAAAACACTGGCCAGCCCGTGATAGCACAAGAAGTAGCGGTTGCCTAACCGCTCTCCACTTTGTTTGTGTCAACTGTGGTAAGTATCGCCGTGCGTCGGTGTGCTGAGGGTTGGGAACCTGAAGTGGTTTCTCGAAACCTGGCAGACTTGAGGAACTTGGAAGGGTTTCGCCTGCTATGTACCACAACTTGATGCGTTGTCGCGGGGCATGGGAATGACAGAGACGTTGTCGTTGGTACAATGACAGCACCCGCCGAACTACCCCTCCAAAAGACCAGGGCAAAGAGACTGTGGAGTTCTTTTTTATTTTATTTTTTTACACAGCGGATGACTAGCCTCCGATTGGCCCTTTGACGCCAGGCCTTATCTTATCTGGCGCCAATCTCTCGGCTTAACATCGGATCGGCTGAGTCAGTACGTACCACCAGAGACACGGATTGTGACGTGGGTTGGTCCAGGTACATTTGGGACAGCTATGCAATCGCTGTCATAATTGCTTGTAGTTCGTAGCTGGGTTATTGTGGCATCACCACGACAAGGCAGAACCCGCTTACCGTTGCTGTTGTCGCATCCGCTACGTAGCGCAAGCCTTCGAAAGCTCATTTTCAACAGACAACCTCAATACACGCCCAACCATTCCCTAAACCTTCCGAGCTCTGGCACGATCATACCGACCTTGCCCCACGATCGTCAAGCTCCGAGGAGCTACTCCAACTGTTTGCGCACAATTTCCAACCGAAGAAATGGCTACTACGACAGAGTTGAAAGCCCCAGCACAAATCGGAGAAGCCATTGTTGCTTTCGCTCTCGAGGGCAGCTTTCCTGATGAGCAGGTGTCTTCTTTGTCACTATCATCTTCTGATCTGTCACCAGCAATCGAAGCACTGGAGAAGGCGAAAGGTGACTTAGAGGTACTTATGACTGTTCTCTGAATAGATTTTGCTGTATACTGACGCGTGACTAGTCCGAAATCCATACAATAAACGAGGAAACGAAGGGCGACGTCAATTCTTGGGTGAACAATGCCAAAACACTACAAGAAGACATTTTGCGATCTAAGAGGTTGGCAGATGATATTGTGCGGCAATCAGAAACCCCTCAAGTTTCTGGGAAGGCGATAAAAGATGCCGAGGATCACATACATTTCCTTGAGAGGGAGGTGTTGTACACCCAACAGCTACACGAGGCTTTGAGGGGTGTCCAACATGTCAATGAACTTCTGGGCGAGGTCGAACAAGCGATGAATGAGCGGCGCATCATCGACTCCCTGCGATGGCTTGAAAGTATAACGAAACTTGCATCATTGCGAATGTGGGCCTGAACTGACAGCGGACAGAATCGTGGACGGAGTTGGATGCAGTACCTATAAACAAGAAAACTTGTCGAGTAATGAGGCTTCTCGATCTGCGCGCTTTCGAACTAAAGTCGAATGTTCATGATGTATTCGACCACGTTTGGGCGTCTCTTGTTCATACGGATATGCAAGCAGGTTCTCTTTCTGTCTACGAGAGCCTGGATGGTGGGTGGCTTATGCCTCAATTGTGAAAGCTGTTGCCTAACGTAAACAAGGCGAGCAGATGACCCTATCGGAAGCCATAATTGGCCTTCAAGCCTACAAGGAGGTTGAAGACAGGATGTCGCAACTGTGGCAGGATGTTGACAAAGCCATCGTCTCTCCGAGGATGGACGTGGAAGCTGATTCCCTGCCATCGATTCGCACAAGCGAAGTAAGTGTTCAGCTACAGGGTTATCTCCGACGTTCTAACCACTTCACAGAACGTTGCCGAGTTACACGGCGAGGCTGGCCGATCAGTAGACGAGCTTTTTACGGATCTCCAGAAATTGATTGAGTTCCTAGCTCAGAGACTAACTCACGATCTCTTGATGTTCTTTAGCCCGATCATGATGAGCGATCTGGTTCCAAAACTTATTGGGGGATGGCTAGATGGGGCTGTTCCCTCGAACTTGAAGGACATCGACCGTTTCCAGACCATCATTCAGTCCGCTAGAGGCTTTTGTGATGTTTTAGAGACAAACGGCTTCACAGGCTTTACGGAGCTGAAAGAATGGGTGGGCAGTGCACCTTCGATATGGCTCGCTAAGTGTAGAGAAACAGCGCTCGACTCTGTCCGGAATCAGCTCTCAAACGGTTTGTTTATAGCATCCTGTTCGTTTTCTTTTACTGACATGTTCCAGGCCTGGGGGCATCTAAGCAAGTCGAGAAAGTAGAAAAGCAAATGGTGTCTCGCTCTGAGGGCAAGGAGTTGACGGCGAATAATGCAGCTGCTGGGACTGCGACAGATGATGATTGGGGCGCTGCATGGGGAGTTGAGGATGAGGATGAGTCTGCTGGACCCAAGGACACCACGCCGCAAAGCCAAGAGGAGGACGAAGGTGTAGATGCCTGGGGGTGGGATGACGATGATCAAGATGCAGAGAGGCAAGTGAAGGAGCCGAAACAGTCACAAGAGGCGGAACCAAAAGCAGCAGATGAAGATGATGCCGCCGATGCCTGGGGTTGGGGGGATGAAGAGACGACAGAGCAGGCACAGGAGCCAGAGCCTAAACCGCAACCGCAGAAGCTTCTTGCAAAGAAGGGAAAGGCTGCAACCTCTGCGCAAGACGAAAGCAGGGAGATGGTTCTCAAAGAGACATATCACATCTCATCCATGCCAGAGCCAGTGCTGGAGCTTATACTGGCCATATTGGAGGATGGCGCAGCTCTGACCCTGCCAGAGTAAGCAGTCCTTCGTACTCATGGCGACGACTCTCGAGCTAACAAATTCTAGATACGAGAGCAGTCCTGTTGCAGCCGCGGCGCCAGGTCTCTTCAGTTTACCAACGTTCGCGTTGGCGATGTTCAGGGCTGTCTCGCCACACTACTATGCGCTGGATATCGGCGGGAATATGTAAGGACCAGCAGCCTTACCAACCGTCCTTTCGCCGCTGACAGTACTCAGGTTTCTCTACAACGATGCCATGTATCTGGCTGAAAGGCTAGCAGACCTAGCATTAACGTGGAAGTCGCGCACAGACCTCACCACGCGTGCACAAAACATGCTGCGCATAGACAACGACATTAAAAGCATGCAGAACTTTGCTACACGTGCGTACACCAACGAGCTTGGGGTGCAGAAAACGGTCCTTAGAGACCTACTAGGAGGTAAGTAGCAGTAGCCTAGGCTGATATTCGGTCGCTGTAGCTTGTAACGCGGAGCTAACGGGGACGCACAGGCGATCAGAGTCTGATGCAACAGGACGAACTGGACAGTTGCGTGGACTCTGCAGTAGCGCGGGTCAGGTCCCTGGCAGTGACATGGGAATCGATTCTCGCGCGCTCGGTTTGGTACCAGGCCGTGGGGTCTGTTGCAGATGCCATCTCGTCCAAGATCATCGGCGACGTGATGGACTCGTCTTCAATTGGACAAGAGGATGCGTACAGGATCGCGCAGCTCATCTCGAAGGTCACAGAACTGGACGACCTTTTCCTCCCCTCACGGACGACAGCAACGGAGATGTCCGGCGCCAAGGACGAGATTCCCACAACAGCACAGTACGCCGCCACGTGGCTCCGGCTCAAGTATCTGAGCGAGGTGCTCCAGTCAAACCTCAACGAAGTCAAGTACCTCTGGTGCGACAGCGAGCTCAGCCTGTACTTTTCAGCAGACGAGGTGGTCGACCTTATAGAGGCTAGTTTCGACGCTAACCCGCGGATGAGGGAGACCATCCGAGCGATTCGCGAGAACCCAAACCCTGTGCTCGCCTAGGGGACCGGACGGGTTTGCCGGAGGGCCCGGGCGGTCAGGCGCAAGTCCCGGCGAGTTCAAGGAGTGTTGACATGGAGGTTTAGTGATTAAGGTCAGTGATTGGCAAGGGCAACGTTCCCACCTTTGGATGAGCGGATGAATTCTAGCATTTCTGATGTAAATATTCCTTGATTGTTACGTGCATCCAACCGTTCCACTCGAATATCGAAACGTTTTTTTGCCACTCCTTTTCCCTTTTTTCTGGCGCCCGTAACCGATTTCAATCCAACCCAAAACGGTATGCTCATACTTTTAGTAGCACGCCCAAGACTTTGGAAACAGACACCCCATCCTCTGCACCCCCTGCTCACTCATGTCTCTTGTTTCTTCCCCACACACACGCCCTCCCCACATTCTCCAACGCGCGACACAAATCCCTGTCAACCTCGGCACCTTCCACCTCAATCCCCACCCTACCCCAAAACCTGGGAGAACTTTTTCTTTTGCCAGCAGACTCTCCTTACAGGTACCTTTTTTTTTTTTTCTCCCCAAAATGCCACCTCATAGTTTTATTTCAGTTCTACCTTGAGCCAACAGCATGCCATCTAATTTATCTCATCTCCCCAATATCGACCCTGGCTATAGACCATCGAACGCCCGAGAACCTGGAGCCAGATGTGACTTTGTCAGATATCACTTTGAAAATACAACCCCCCGCCTTACTGATTCTGAAAAATTTTCATAGATCGCGGTCCAGAACATCTCTCGTACACTCATTGCAACGACATATTACATCTTCGTCCCACGGAATGCGAAAGAATTGGAATCGAGAAGGAAAATTGCATAAAATTACTTTTTTGAATCCATCGGTGGTACCCTACTTCCTCGTTACTCAAAGAACTACGCAATTTAGCAGCAGGTTCCATCACACCATCTATCTATCCTCCATTACCACCGGAGCGGATGCCCCTTAGCTCGAAACTTTGCAATCAAAATTTTACACGTCAACCTTGTTTTTTTGCTGCCTATTCTTATGTAATGCTAATGAGGGTCTTTTTCTCTGCCCAATACGCCCAAGTTCAAGGGGAAAAGCCCAGGAAAGTTGAATGGACCGGATGTTCCACGCATGGCGTGTGCCAATCGTGATGCTGCTGCTGCTGCTGCTGCTGCTGATCTCCTGTCCGTCAACATCCCTACCCCACCGAACACACCAACGCACGCCCCTCCCCTGTGTGCCGTCCGTCATTCTGCCGGCCCCGCACCGTCACCTCGCATTCCATTGTGCGTCTTGTCCAAGAATTAAGTTCTCTCGGACTCGCTCGTCATGATTTCTCAGTCCAGTCATGTGTATACATCCAGGAATTGAAACGTATCCTGCCATCGCGATACTTGCGCCATCTGACGTGATATTGCTTCCGGCAAGTCCGTATTTTTTTTCCCCCTCCTAAGTAAGCAAGGCAGACTCTGGGTGAGACTAGGGGGGATTTTATGAATACCAACTAATTCTACCTACCCATCCAGCCCCAGTTGAAACCAATTCCCCATCCTCGCATCCGGTCTCTGCATCGGAAGTGCATTCTCGGCTTTGCTACTCGGAGCTTCCTCCGGATGAGACGGCAGCACGGGATTGAGAGGGGCACAAGCTCCAACTTGGGCCGCCTATGCAATTGGCCAATCACTACTCCTCCGTCATCACCCTTTCTCCTCCCAATTACCTGACAGCTCTCTTGTCTGCCGATGGTCCCGTAGCCAATTGTCCATGGATTCCCATTTCTCCTTTTCACGAGACAACCAGGAATTAGATCACCAACCGTCACCCTTCAACACCCCCCTTGCCAACGCAATAAGATTGTGCGATTTTCCCCCCGCTCCTCCAAACTGGAGAAACTTGTCGAAATGTGAGACAGCCTGTTTATCTAGTGTAATCGACCACCCCCGGCTCAGCACGGAAATTGAGTCACCAACCCAGTCAGAAGCAAGATTCCAACCCCCCCAGTTCCCATTCCTCGCTGGGAGGCATGGTATTATTTACGATGTGTTCAACTTGCCTTGGCTGCCCATCCTTCCACAAGCCAGGAACAGCTTGCAAAAAGCTGCAAACCCAATCTAGACCATGTCAAAAAAGATGGTGGTGCCGGCTAGATAGCAACCACGCGGCTGCAAGCACGGGACAATACGTCCGGCTCAGATAAACTCCAGTCCGCCGGCGTCGTTGCCTTAATCCTTCCTTCCCCCCGTCTAAAAGGTCTCCAGTTCCATAACAACACTCTACGTAGTACATCCGCCCCCAAAACTTTAATATTAGTATGGAGCCCCCCCTTTCTCTCAGTCCACATTTCTCACACACACACACACTCTCTCTCTATGCCCCTGGAGCCAGCCAGTCAGTCATTTGGAGAAAATATGACTGATGGTTATCTGATCGCGATCGATCCCATGCTACCTTCTCTCATGTCTTGGCGACAAGGTGCAACCTCTGGCGTATTCGCAAACGGAACAGGCCGCCTCGGAACCCGTCCTTGGCTAACGTCTAGTGTTTACCTGCCTCCTCGCCATCCGCAGACAGCTAAGCTAGCTACGTAGCCTGGGGGTCGTGTTACTGTTGCGATTGCTGAGAGGGACCCGGAAACTTTGGCTTCAATGCCTAATTCGTACCACACCACTACGCTTCAGGGACATCATACAATACATCTGTGGATATTTCGAGGCCCAAACACACCCTTTCTCTCTCTCTCTCTCTCTCTCTCGCTTACACACTTAATGCCCTCCAACAGGTTTTGCGCTCTTTATAAGCTCTCGAGCTAAAACACACCGCTAAACCAGTCGAGGCGATACACAAACCCTCCAACGCCAGAACCAACGAACGACAGGAGGAACTCCCTAGCCAAAATTAACAAGCTTCCACCCAAAAAGGAATAAAGATAAACTAAATAAATCAAACGTACGGAGTAAAAAAAAGAAGACAAATAACGGTCTGACACGCCGAGGACCCTTCATCTAATGGGATTCTTCCGCGGTCAAGTCCCAGTTCGTCAAGGAAAGTTTAGGGGGGGGGGGGGGGGGGGGGGGGGGGCTGAGAAACTCCGTCCAAACAAAACGCCCGAAAATAGACCATGGACCACCATTTTTTTTTTTCTTTTCTTACAATAGCATCATAATCTCACCATAAACAGCAGATGGTGTGCATCATTTCCATCATCAATGGCAGACTCCCTCTTCATCTTAGCTACCTAAGAAAGAGGTGAGGAGCTGCAGACAACGTCCTATTGTTTGTTTCCCTGTCATAAACTTCGTAGAGTAGTACCCCTCCCTCATCAAGCCAAAACGCCGGTTCCCTCCCACCCCGGGGAAAACCCATCCGGTTGCCTCCCCCCCCCCCCCCCTTTTCTCCTCCCCCTCCCTGAGATGATGAATAGAAGTAATTGCTATGGGCCATCCGTCCATGATATAAAACAAAGGAAAACAAATCAAAATTAAAAAGTAAAAAAAAAAGTGAGAACCGAAAGAGGTGGGAAAGGGGGGGATAAAAAAAAATATTCCCCCGCCCGAGCCATCCATTCCAGGTGATCATCCTTCACGCTAATGCTAAATTCCATCATACCATTTCCCTGCCCGCAGGCGATCAAGACCTTCATAGTTATCCTTGTTTCTGCCACTGGGAAACAGGTGGTTTTGCTACCTTGGGGGGGGGGGGGAGGAGCGGGAACAGCCAGCCAAGCCCACAATCCTCACAAGTGACCGGGCATCAACTCTTAGCATGTAACGAATTCCTCAAAGACAATATGGGAAAAAGCGAATGGTTCTGTGCTGCTGTCTCTCTCTTCATATCGTGTACTGTGATCCTCATTCGATGTTGAGAAACAAAAAGAAACTTTTTTTCCTATGGTCTTTTCTCGACTCTTGATTTCATCTCATGTCGGATTGATCCCAATTCTATGATGTTCCATTCCTTCCTTGACATGTGGTATATGCTGCTGTCCCATTTCCATTCAAGTCAACTACCCGGCCTTAGGCTCTCGGGGTGACAATATGCCCATATTCGCCGTCCCAGTGCAATAATCATCCCATACAAAGGAAAAAAAGAAGGAAGAAGGAAGAAAGAAAAAAAAAAAACCATTGTGGTATCCCTAAAAGCCTCGCATCCTTCAAGGAGAGCGGGTCAAACGAAAGAAAAATAGTCGTAGACTACACCAGGAAGCTCTCATCCATGCCAATTATACGCCGCAGTCGAATGCCAAAGGGGGTATTGATAGCACATTAGATCCAAAAAATGGCGCGCTGGGAATTCTGTCTTTTTCGGTTTCGGCCGTGTCATGTCGTCCCAGGGCTGCGGGCCCTTGGGGATTGTGTCGTTAATAATATCTGTCGATACTGATACAGAACTTGGGTGAACAAAAAAAAAAGAGAAAAGATGTAGATTTATGCCATGAAGCGAAAGTCGGAGGATTGTCGCATGTTACACGGAGAAGTAACGAATTCGGCTGGCCAAGTCTCGTTCTTAGCCCAAGGAGCCGTCATAACTCGATTTGTCCATGCTTGACTTGGGGCTGATGTTGTTGGAGCGAGTGCCGAAGATGTTAGAAACTCGCCCAATTCCTCGAGGCTTGCTGTTAGTACTGCTGATTTCTACGTTGTCGTCGGGACTCTCGAACAGAATGGTCTGAACAGAGTCGACGCTGACGCGGCAGAAAAGTGTCGAAAAGAGGTACTGTTCGCCGTTATGGTCAAACAGTGGCAGAGTACGGTAGCCACGCTTAAGGCCACTAAGCTTGGCTGTGTGCGTTGCAACGGGAGGTCGGTCGTTGTAGCTTTCGCCGTTGTGGGAGAGCTTCACCGACAAGCGGACGAAGATAAGCTCTGGGAACTTGGTGGTAACCTTGAAAGTGAACTTGCCATCAAAAATGGGATTGAATCCGTTCTCCGGAATCACTTGAGTCCTGTACTTGAGGGGCGAATCCGAGATCGACGCCATGGTGGGATCCACCTCCTTCTTGTCCCTCTTGTCGTTAGGGTGGAACACCTCGACCTCGACATAGGGATCCACCGTCTTGTTCAGCGGCATGCCGTTGGGTCGCATGAGCTGCTGGGCCGAGATCACGTCGATGCTGAAGGTCACCTCCTTGCGTTCTCTCTTGCCAGACCATTCCTCGGGTAGCACCTTAATCTCGCGAAGCTCAGTCGGCTTCAACACGTATCCCGATTTGTCGGTGCCGCTCTCGTACATTGCCTGGTTGATCTGCATGCCCAGATCAAAAGTCTGCCAGTTGAGAGCAGCCATCTGCACACCCTTGCGCCAGTAACTGACCGGGTTGAAGTTGTTCGAGGTGATTCTGGTACGGTCGGGGTACACGCGCATCATGTAGCGCATGTTGTGTCGGTCCATGGCTACTCTATCCTCCTTGAGCCGGCTATTCCTGAAGAAGCTGGATTCCATGAAGGAGAAGATGTGGTTATAAGCCTTAGCATCGGCAGTATCGAAGCCGCCAAACTTGAGCCCTGCGCAGTAGACACCCAAGTCTCCAAGAACCTTCACAGTCTTGTTGGAGGACCTCCTTGCGGGTACACGTTCACCAGCGCTGTCGTTATCGCTTGTGCTGCTGCTCATGGCTTCTTGAACCTCGCCCTCGGTGATGGTGTTGACACGGCTCTTGCTAACCAATCGTCGGGAGGAGTGGCTAGGGCTCAGGATAGGACTCTGGGGCAGAGACTGCGAGGGGATGACGCTGTTGTCGAGCTGAACTGGCTTCGGATAGGGCGAGGTAAGGCTGTTACCACGGCGGCGACCAGTGATCTCAACTGCCTTGGTTTCCTCCTTTGGCTGAGGACGCTTGACCTTGATGAGAACGCGCTCCTTAAGTTGCTCAGGAGTAGGAAGCCTGTCAGATGAAGGATCCAATGGCTCAGTGACGAGCCGGGGACCGAAAGTTTCCTTGATGATACGAGCCATCTCAGCCTGCTGCGGCGGGGAGCAGTGTACCTCCAAAGAGATCCAAAGAGGGTAACGAGTCTTAACAAAGGCATACTTGTTGATGGTCGTCATAGTCTCCTGGAAACTAATTGAGGTAGTGAGGGTTCTGCCATGGTTGACGGTAGGCTGGCCATCTGCACCATCCCAACAGTCAACCTCGACGCAGCGGCAGCCACGGGCAAGCGCGGAGATGTAACCCTCAACGCTAGAGAGGCCAGCAACCTGTCGACCAAGAAGGTAGGTGTTGTGGGAGCTGGAGATGAAGTATTCGTTGAGTGGTCGGTCCAGGGTGTATTCTTTGGGCTCCTTGTAGACAGGCAGGTTATAGGTCGAGGTCAGGAAAGCCGCGAACGCTGCATCGCCCATCCTTGGACCGTCAGCGTTCGTTGCGTCTGGCTTATCGCCCTCCTTTGTGCGGAACTTGCGGGCAAACTTGCTGTATAATGCCTCCCAAGCTGCGAGGTCGGCATCGACATTTTCGCACTGGACTTCACGTAAGAAGCCCAAAAACTCCTTGAGTGTGAGGCCCGTCTCTGGAGAAGCCGCGTTTAGATTATATATCTGTCGAATGTCGTCACGTCGTTTCATGTAACCGACGAAAGTCTGGAACTCGTAAAAGTTCAGACGACCAGTGTTGGTGACATCAGCCGCATGAAATTTAGCACGCAACTGACTGGGCGAGGCATGGATGTGGAGATTCCGACAGACCCGCTGAACCCCGTCAAAGTCGATGTCGCCTTCTTCGATAGGGTTGGGGTGCTTCTCACCACCAAGGCACTGCTTGTTCATTTCGGTGACCCAGTAGTCGCGAATGGCACGATCGTTGAACGCCATCAACGAGGCCATCATATCCTGCCGGTGTTTTGAGATTGCTTCGAGGGTGGTAACCCAGTTGTAAAAGGTACTGTCGTCATCGGCCACGAGATGCATCATCTTAGTCTTGGATTTGTCGGGTACGGCGTACATAATGGAGAACCACCGGCCCTCCTCGGTTTCTGGCACACCGTAGTCAATGCGGTACTGTCGGATATCGGAACCTGTCCTGATCTCCTTAATGTCATCAATGTAGAGGCACTTGTGCGGCCTGTTCTTGTCCCAGGAAATCTTGGCGGCTTCTTGGTCGAAGACTAAGATGAAACGTTTCTTCCAGTTTTTCTTAGAGACCTTCCTGATCCAGGTGCCCTTGAGCAGCTGAAAGGGGATTACAGGTCCAGCGGTGGTGTTAGAAGGGGAGGCAGAGCCAGCAAGGGATGCCGTTGTGCTGTTCGAGGACGATTCTCTCAGGGGCCCTTCAAGACCTATTAATGACCGGAGGTCGTCCCCGTCGTCGACAAACTCGTCGTCAGAGTCGCTATACGCGGCGAGTTCGGGCGGGGCCGTGTTGTTGCTGTCAGATCTTCGTCGAAGCATGCCAGGGCCGATGCTGCCATCGCGGCTGTTGGGGGCCGCAGAGGAGGTCCTACGACGGGAGAACCTGGCGGTGGCTCTGTTCGACAGGCGTCTGATGATGTTGTTGCTTTTGCTCACGGCCTCTGACATGGCACTTGGGCTACCCACAAGGGTTTGGCCCAGTGAGTTGTCGCTTGTTTTCCTTGACAGAACCGACTCTGGGAGTTGGAAGGAGCCTGCTGAGAATTGGTCGTCAATGAATTCGCGACCCCTCTGCTCAGGGGACGGTTGGACTGAGCTGTTGCTCGTTATGACGGCGGTCTCGGGAGACATGATGGGCGAACCCTGCTGGGAGCTGGATGCCACAGAGGATGCGCTTATAGCAGAGGCTGGTATGGTAGCTTGTTGTTGTGTTGTTGTTGAGGGGAGATTTGTCTGGACATGGCTAGGGCGAGAGCGCCTGAGCTGTGTAGTCTGAGGTGTCATGGTAGGGTTCAAAGGGGGCGAGGAGGTTGATATATGCTGTGTAGGAGTAGAACTAGAAGACATGATGGTCGAGGGGGTACTGTTCGCTCCACGCGGGTTGAGAGAGGTCCCCGGGGAGATCAAAGGTGGACGATCTGTCGTTTATAGGGAAAAAGTAGCTGTTGGAGACGGCATCCTTGGAGAGGTGGTCGTGTGGAACGGCCCGTAGAGGAATAGAGAATGCGGGGGAGGCGTGGGAGAAGTCGATCCTGGGATATAGAGGTGGGCGTTCCACACACAAAGGGCCTATCTGACAGACAGCGACTGGTGCAGAAGGGAGGCAGCAGCCGTGGGTAGACAGATGATCGATGCAGCGCCGTACTAGGTGCGACGCCGGTGGGGTGCAAATGCGATGCGATGCGGCGCAACAGAGACTTGACGAGAGACCACGCGAGTGGTAAGGTACGGCGCGGAAAGGTCGTCAACGGAGGTCCTGCTGGGTACTGACACAGGAAGCGACCAGAGCCAGGCGTGGCAGGGCGGACGGGCAGGGTAGGATGGGCCAATTATGGCCGCAGTTGTGCGTCCTTCGTCTAGAATTTCTGCCTGTCTTTGCAGTGTCCGCTGGGCGTGGCCTGAAAGCAGTGCTGCAGAAGCTCACGGCAAAAGAGGCGAGGATGATGTGGCAGGCGGTATGCAAGTAGCTGGTTTTGGCCTATTTTCAGGTTGGGGGAGACAGGACCGACAATGTCTAGCAACACGCAATGCAGCAGGGCATTCGTTCGTTCTTCTTCTCTCGTCTCCTAAACTGTCTTGCCAGCTAGTTGAAGTTGCAGTTCCAGGTTACGGAGGCTCGCGTCTGGCGGAGAATCGAACGTGGTTCGGGTTTGGGGTGGTTCGGCGCAATGAGTTTCTGGCAGGGTGCTCGGGGGGTGCGCGTGGGCGCAACACGCGAATCAGCAGTTGAAGATGAGTCAACGGGAAGGGTTTCTCGGTTTCGTGACCCGGTTCTGTTGCATGCAATGAGTTTTTTCTTTTTCTTCGATAGTGGTCTGCCGCACTTGTGTGCGCGGGTGAGCAGAGGTTGTGGGCAGCTGTTGTGTACTTGAATAGCAAGGTAGGGAAAAAGGTTGAGTCGTTGGTGATGGTTGTGGTTGTGGTGGTAAGTAGTGGCAGTAGCAGTGGTGGCAGTAGTGGTAGTGGTAGTGGTCGTTGACGGGTGCGTGTGAGACTGACTGGCAGATGGGATAGAGTGCGTGGTGGCAGTCAAGTCTTATGTGGGTGGGAGCCGTAGTTGGGGCCGGGAAATTATGAGTAGGACGGAGCGGGAAGGAGGCATAGCCAAGAGCTTTATTTTGGAGTAAGGGCAAAGACCAGCACAAAAATGTCAGGGTCAGGAGGGTGGAAACGAAGGGAAACGAACAAGTCCAGGTAGTCAAGGTGTGTACAAAGTGCTAGGTTGAGGTAGAGCAAGGTAGAGGTAGACAGGTCTACCGTTGGTGTCTGCTGGGAGCGACAAGGGCAACAAGGCCATTAGATACAGAGACACTGGCCAGGGGGAAGACAGCGAGCGACAGGCCCCCCCAGGAAGGAGAGAGAGAGAGAGAAAGACAGCGACGAGGGGGGGCAGAGTTGGTGTGCTTGCAGGGAAGGTGTGGAGGTAAAAACGGGAGCGAGCCAAGATGAGCGCCCAGATAGATGGGAAGGAGAAAGTGTGTAGTAGCGCAAGTACACATGGGAGCAAGTATATAGTTTTGCAGTAGCGCGGCCATGTACCTTCAAGATGCAGTGCTGCGCAGGCGGGTACGTGCCCGACATACAGAAAGGCAAGGCAAGGTACGGTGCCCTGTACAGACTGGGTACCGGGTGGGAGGGAGTGTAAGGTGGTAGTGGTGTAAGGCCAAGGTGCTCGTGGGTAGGCAAATGATGAGGAGGGCCGGACGAGGAATGCAAGAGAAGCTGCGCGCACATGCCCACACACACTCACACACACATATGCTCAATAAGAGAAAGGGGAGACAACCAGAGAATTGCGTACGGGTACGTACCCGAGGGGCACAGAAGGACACGGAGACAGACAGTAAAAGAGAAAAACAAAAAGAAAGGTGGATACCAAAGAAGGGCAAAATGGGGAAATGGAAGGACGTCGGGGCGTAAGTTGAGAAGCTGCACTAATCCGTCATGGGGCATTGCGACGGTACGTATCCCCTGAGAGGGCTGCCCCACGCCCCGTCAGCATCAAGTCAACCCCCACTGTCTCTCAGTCTTTCTATCTGTGTCCGCGTGTCCGTCTTGCTGATTGTCCTCGATCTACCATTTTTCCTTTCCCCTCCAATCTTACAAAAAGTGTACAGTAATTTAAAAGAATGAAAAGGCCATGAAGTCAATGAGTGTACAAAGATCTCCGGGCGGGTCCAATCCTTATTGATTGTGTCGAGGGAGCATGGTATCACGGAGACTGAGCGTGGCGCGCGCGCACAAGGCCGAGATGGAGACATTGGATAGCGAGGTGTACAATGACTGTAGAAAGAAAGCGAACACCCAAAATGTGGGAGCATGGTCCTAGGACCTGGCCCCGCTGGCGCCCTCGCCCAAGGGCGACCTGGGGGAGAGAAGAATCGGCATGGGCAGGGAAAGGTACGAGGTAGACAAAACGGCAGAAAATAGGTCCTGCACCGCTACACAGGGCAGAATACAACGACACAAGAGAAATGGAGAAAGCTGGGCAGAAACAAGGGAGCCTCGAGCCGGGGGAAAGGGAAGGGTGTGTCGTCATCGGAGGGGGAAGATCGGGGCGTGTCATTAGAAACACATTGACAACCGAATGGACCGGGGGGCGAGCAGGGAGAAGCCGAAGGAGGGGGGGAGGGGCCAGAAAGACGGGAAGGGGGAAAAAAAAAAATTAAGCACAAAAAAAGAGATAAAAAGAAGGAAATAAAAAATAAAAAAATAAAAAGAAGGAAAAGGAAGGGGGGGAAAACCTTCAGGAACTCGGTGCCCTTAACCAGGGGTGGGGAGGCTACTTCATAGGCGAAGGTACGTACCCTTCACCCCCAGCTCCCAGCTCCGGGCTTGCAATACGGGTAAGCAAACGGGCTCTGGGGAACCCAAGGGCAGCCTGAGGTAGAAGGAAAAAGAACAATTCTAATCCCAGGAACGGCTATGAGTAAGGATCATGGGCAGCCCAAGGACACACATAAGGTACAGTACGAGGCAGGTACAAAGCCATGTGCACTGGGCTCGATCAGACAGGGGTCCCGCTGGCATGGAAAAGGAGGGAGGGCGTGTGTGTGAAGTGGCTGCTCAGCATCTCCTTTACTGGATCAGTAGCTGCGGCGCCAGGCTTTCTCTCTATCCCCTCTCACTACCGTACCACCACGTATCTCCTCTCTCAATCTCCCCATTCAGTCAATCATCTGGCAGTGACTGTTTTGTGGCACCGACTCCGGCGCTGGGCTGGCACTGACACTGTCTCTCACTCTCCGGAGTGCCTTTGGGAGCTGATGATCACCGTTCCATCATCTTATAGTCTCCAAATATGGTACCTGACGCACCAGGGCCCGGTACTTCCCCGCTGTAATGAGGCTGCAAAATAGCACGAGCTCCCGCTGTAGCCATGTATCTTTCGTCTCCCGACCATCTCACCATTTTCTCTCCTCATTTGCCTCCTTCAAGGGGCTGCGCAGAGCTTGAGCGAATAATGAGAATGCAAATCTCCCACCATAAGGATGCACGGAGGTAATAATAAACCTGCTGCTGGTGCTTCTTACTGTTTGTTGTTGCCTTGTCTTTCTCTGCCGTCCATCGTCCGCCTTACGTTGCCTTACTGACTCCCTGCCTCTGCCCTGCATCGTACAACCATGGCTGCTGATGCCGTTACAGTGATGGGATGAGGTGTGTGTCTGGACGTGTGTGTGTGTGTGTCTGAAAGTGGTGACGGCGGGAGTCAGGTGAGGTGAAGTGAGGCAGACCGCAAACTACGCAGCCATTGTACTCCTTGCGGTGTAGGTACGTACCGCGTGGAGTCGTTTGACGCCGGCGGTACGGCGTAGTTCAATGCACCTCGGCGTTTGCTGTTCAACCGCGTATTGAAAAGGGGGATAAGGAAAGCATGGGGTAAAGGGTATTAAAAAAAAAAGGCAGCTAATGTGGTAGACGAATAAGATAAAAGGATAAGGCAAACGGAGAGACATGCTGGGTTCTGTGTGTAGAGCATGCATCTGCCATTATGCGTACCTTGCGCCTCTGAAAGAAAGACATTATCCGGAAAGGGGACCGGAAAGTTAGTTGTCTCTGCTTGTATTGGGTTGCTTTTCGGAGTCAGAAAGACAAGACTGCTGCTGCATTTCCTCTTCAAGATGCATTGGGGGAAGGAAGACAAGCAGGCATGTTCGGACAGGCACGTTGCAGCTCCCAATTTGATGCAACCACAATGAAAGATGAGAAAAGGTAGAAAAAAAAAAAATAGAAAAAAAAAAGCAACATACTGTGTAGACACATACTTTGCCATGTCCTCATTTTGGGTTTGGTTGTGTCCGTGTCGTGACAGACCGATGGCAAGTGAGGTCAGACTGACATGATCCAATGTTTGCCCCTATGCTACAAGACAGCTACAAGCAGATGCCGAGGAACCGTAATTAGTGCCTTGAAACCTGTCACGACCACATCCGTCGCCGTTTTCCCAAGCTCAAGACTCTCTATTACATCAACCACGCTAGTTGTGATTGTGTTTTGAAGAAAGGATTGATTTCTCACGGTGCGGTAAATAGTCTGCAAGACTTAAGAGACCATGTGATGGTGTGATGCAGCAACAGCAGCTCTCCCTCTCTCTATCTCTCTCTGTGTATCTGTGTGTGTGTGTGTGTGCGCGTGTGAGTTGTCTGTCCTCCTCAAGCAGCTTGGGTGTGCTCTCTTTTGCCTTTTGTCCAATGCCCTCTGCCCTTGATACACTCACTACTATGGTACACTACATCTGGGGCTGCTGCACCCACTCTCGTCCCATTCTTGGTTTGCCTCGCGTGCCGAACCTCCGCACTGCTACCGTGCTGCTCATCCTCGTCTTTCGTCAAACAAACCTCGACCTT